GGTTGCATCATCTGTTAATCGTTTTTCATTTAACACGAAACACAAAATTTGGGTATCATTACACCTGCTTGTAATTATAATTAGTATATCCAACGTAATGACGTAACAAATTTGACAAATTATATATACACACATATGCCTATATGTATACATACCTTTAATGAGTATAACAACAAGAAGAACAACAAATGAAAATGAAAGTGGAAAATAAAAAAAATGATAATGAAAATGAGGAAAATCGCAGACTACTCAGTGCAACAGATAAGACTAGAAATTGATTACCTGAACCTTGAGAACAAAAGCTTGAGTTTTCTTTTACTTTACACAAAGCGATGAACAAAACAATGAAAATCGATAGGAGCGATACAATTACACAAGCAATAAAAAAAAAATGATACAATTGACAGAATCAAGAATCTAGAAATATAACTTTATCCAGGACAAGCAAACGGAATCAGCAATAAATTTCAAAAAATCAGTCAACAGATTTAGTATATTACACACATCTAGAATCCTTGCCAGAAATCCGAAAAGTATAAAGCCCATACTTCCAATTTTCTCCTTTTCATTCAGCGAATAGTTCAGGGATTACGGGAAGAGTAGAATAAGCGGAGAATTATGTCGGTTTCCAAAGTATTTCAAAATCAATTCGGTTAGCTTTTAACACACATTTGGGCCAATGATGTCCTACATCTATACGTAGAGCCGTGCAATTTGAGAATATACCAAAAATATACCAAAAGGTTGATTTTTTTTTACCTAATAAAAGTTATGATTTTGTGTTTGAGAACATTATTAATTTCAAAATTCAATATTTTAATGCTCGATTTTCAGGAAACCAGGCCGATTTTTATTCTCAGTGTAGCATTTTCCAATCGGCTTTTTAGGACATCGGTCCTCTTGCTCCCCCTCCAACTTCTTTACATGGTTGTGAACGAAAAAGGGATAACAAATTAGACCAATTCCTCATCTTTAATTTTGATCTCAGCCAACTCGGTCGCACTTAACCGTAGAACACTGTAAAAAAACAATTGTTAGGAATTCGATTCGTGTGCCCTCCTTTAATGTCTTGTACTTGTAACCAATGATCATAATTATACACATGCATATATCGACTATATATATATATATATTTACAAGCAACAATAACCGATACCAATTGTATTGTAGTGCTAAAATCTGACGTAGGGATGCGAAACAACTTTCGAGGACGAGGATATGTCTTAGATACTTTGCTCATTGGGTTCTAATTGCGTAAGTGTAGCAGAAAAACAAAATATTTAAACATAAATATAGCTAATTGTGTGTATTTACATATTAAAGTTTACAACAGCCAGCGACAAGGGGGAGATAGATGAAAGAAAGGGGAGAGTTATGTCCTGTAGAATTTTTGAAAGCGTTTTCGTATTCAAACCAGAACAAATTATGGCCTAAATATGAAACTAGAACAAAATATATACCTATATGTATACATATGAATTCTACTTCAAATTATGTCTAAAGCAAGCAACAACAACAACAACAACAACAATTACAAGTGTCTGTATTTTTTTTAAGCAAACCAAAACAAAAAAAAAACAACCCATTGCAATCAGGTACTGAAATCAAAATTTTTGTAAATTATATAAAAAAAAAACCAAAAGCAAGGAAAGGTTTTCGTCGACGGGGTAAAACAAACTAGAAAAACAGAAGATATTATGATATATGGTTTATAGGAACTAGCTATAGAAGGGGCGAAAATATCGAGGATATATGTATATTCGATCCTTATTCGTTAATTCGAACATTTCTGTAGCATACTTAGCAGGGCAGGGCCAAAGATTTTTGCCTTGCCCTCGCCGAAGCCCGAAGTCCTTGGGCCTTGTAAATCACGACACAAGGAATAAAATTAAAAACACTCATATTTAAATATACGTACAGCTATATACTAATCTAGTTGTAACTTAATGTCACTAAGTAGATGCGAATCGGAGGGAAAATCGACGGCGAAGATGAAAAATTGTCCAGACGTTCAACGAAACCAAATGCAATATTTAATTATACAACAAACTAACATTACAAAACAAGCGAGTATATATATACATATATATATGAATATATATATTTTACAATTGATTTATATAACGTATAAGTAAATGCCACATCATTTTTCGTGTAAAGCCTATTGAATTGTTTGTTAAACATTTTTTGAAACATTTTCTTTACGAAATAAAAATGGGCAAAAATTACAAAAACAAAAAACCCAGCTCACACAAAGTTACGCCAAAAGAAAAAAAAAAAACAAAAACAGAAACCAAAAAAATTTATATACATTTATCGAAGGACAAATATATACAACAATGATACATTTTAGTGATTAATATAAGCAAAGACCAAAATGAAATATATTAATTTTTGAAAATAATAACTAACAAGTGGAGGAAATGACATCAACATTACAAAATAAGCCCAACAATACTAACTAAAACAAATAGCCTTACCAGAACTCAAAATCTTTTATATTTTGCGTTGTACTTTCCCCTTTCGTTGTTTACGAAATTTACGAATAACGAAAATATTTTTACAAAATAAAACAAAATAAGAGAATAAAAATGAAAATGAAAAGCAAACAAAAAGCATGGAAACCGAAATAAATAAAAATACTAAAACTAAAATGCATAACGCTTCCGACAATAAGCTTTGGCCACACTATTGTAATAATATAATATTGAAAAAAAAAAGAAAACGGTAGACCGAAATGAAAAGACGCAAGATGGAAGATCGAAGATACAAGAAGTTTTTGCACTAACGAACGATAAACGTAACGGAATTACAACGCCCAATGACAAAAAGAAAGTATTTGCCCAATTTAGTCTACAGATATATAGATGAATTACCTATGTACTTATGTAGTAGCCTTGTTCTACTGTATATTTTTAAATGGAGTTGTATTGCAGAATCAGCAAAGCAAATGTATTTTCATGACACGCATTTGAAGCGAACATATCAAAAAACCGATACCGAATATGAAAAGAAACGAAATTATCTAGAAATTACCGATACCGATTACCAATTACCAATTACCAATTACCGATTGGATGTTATCAGTGACCGTAAAACCGTTGAACGATTAGCCCTTAAAGCGAAATAACAAAATATTTGGAAGCTGGCAGATAAACTAGGTACGGTTAGGTGTCTTGAAAAATATTCGCAAAAAAATTTTAAAATAAAAAAACTAAAAAAAAAAAAGAGTTCTTAAGCTGTTTCATCATTTATTATTGACAAATATTTACAAGCGCATTTAGGACGCGAAATGTGAAGAATAATATGCAATTGAAACCACGAAAAGTGAATAATACCATAAAAGATCTACCAAATCAAATGAGAGATGGATAAAAAAATATAAAACAAAAATAAAAGAAAACACACAAAACTGAATCTAAATTAAGCATGAATATTTTTTGCTGTGTCTTAGTCCATGTGTCGTAACGAATTTATTGAACTAAATATTATACATTATTAAAATTAAAAACCAAAAAAAAACAACAACTAAAACTAAACAAAGTATCTTAAAATTTTTTGTTTTAAACGAATAAAATGCAGGCAAAGAAACAAAATTTCTACAAAATTAAGCACAAATTTTTTCAGAATAAAAACCAACCAAGCAAAAAAAAAAAAACAAAAACAAAAAATGAAAATACTACGAAAATTGCCTTTTACTTGTATTTTATTTTCTACTATAAAGAATTGAATTATTAATAATATACAACACGCTGAATTCATTAAAGCATAGAAGCGCGCCTAAAAACATCTGTGACTAAAAAACAAAAAACAAAAAAAAACAAAAAAACGAAAAAAACATACATTTATAAAATTAAAGAAAACCAGAGAAAATCCCGAAAACTGGAAAATGAAAAGGAAAAACTCCAATTAAATTATGCAAGTCAATAGTAGAATGTGCGAGGTACAAGAAATTGTTGAGGAACATATGGCAAATACATATACTAGCTACAGTTTAACTAATTATTGATAATGGTACATACATTCTACATATGTACAGCTGACACTCACACCCACACACCCCCAAACACATACATATACAGTTATACAGATATACATATATACAGATATACATATATACTGATATACAGATATACAGATATACGAATACATGCAAACCTAGTTGTATGTGTATGTGCATCATACTTGAGTAGAATGAACAACAATTTATACATTAGTATTTATGTAACAAGCTACTTTTACTCACATGCAAGTGTGTATAGTATAAAGTATACTATACTATATGCTATATACTATATACTATATAGTACGATATATACACAAATATATAGAAGACATTTGAAGACCGTAAGCCCGAACACAGCAATTTACTTATATAACAAACCAAACCAAGTTTCTTTCAAACCAAAAAAAAACAAAACAAAAAAAAATATAAATTAAATATAAAACGAAAATGCAAATATTTGGTACGAAGAGAACAACAATTATGTCACAGAGGAAAACGTTGATGAGCAGAGGCGATGAGCAAATGAAGTTGATGAAAAAAAAAACCCATGAAATACAATATATATATATACACTTATTTAAAATATTTAACAAAAAAATAAATAAAAAAAAACAAAAAAACGATTTATATACATACATATATACATACCACTAAATAGTTTAAATGTTTATTTATTGTATTTGAACAAGATGAACGATAATGAAACCAAATTTAAATAAAAGTAATAACTCAAAAAACCAACCAAAAGGTAGTTTTTTTTTAAGGATTCTGGGATTGGATTTGCCCTTTTCATTTTATATATCTTTTAGTACCTAAATCATTTTCAGAAATATTACAACAAATATTAAATTAGAAGATAATTACCATAATCTTCTCCTAGTTTTACAAGACGACATTACACACTTTCAAGTTCAAATTTCTTCGCTGATAATTTAATTTTCATTAAATTACTTATCATATCGAACAAACACAGTTACCAATAAAAGTTAACGAGTTCAAGTGCATTTGTATAATTTATTCACAATTTCATTTAAAAAATGTTGGCTATACAGGTATCAATGGTGGCGTTGATGTCATTGAATCTCTGCACAGCGTTCTGCGTGGCCTGGTTTGTGCAGGCAGTGGCATCGGTAGCCACGGCTGGAACGGTTTTCCTAAGTGCGATCAAATGACGCAGCGATGCCTGGCCATTTAAGATGAACAAAGACAATTTGGCATAATACACCGATTTGCATGTTGTGTACCGAATGCCGGTACTGTTCATATTATTGCATTTGCGTCTTTGCTTGAGGAGCTGATAGCCATCAACGGTCAGTTGGAGTACAGCCTTCTTGGTGTCCAAACACAGATCAATTGAGGTGACAGCGGCATTGCGTCCGCAGCTCAGGAAGTCCACAGTGGTTGATTCAACGATATCGGCCACACTGCTGGTCACATCGATAGCACAGCCTTCTGCTTCCGTTGCCCGCCTCTCGATGTCCTCCGCCAGCTTCTCCAGCTCCCTCACTGGGTACAGGAAGATATTCAAAAGCTCACGCTCCGCCAGCTTGACAATGTCCTTGGCTAGGGCCTTTGCTTCGCCAATGAAGAAGCTTACAATTCGGTTACCAAAGCCAAACTCTCCAGCCTCGACGTTGTCATCCTCAGCCAACAGCTTCTCCAAGTTCAGTTCCAGGTCCGTGTCGAATTTCATGTCAAGCTCTAGGCCAAATTCTTTGAAGATATCCTGGAGAGCGACCTCCTGACCCTCCTGCAGGGGCACAGCTGAAACCTGATAATAAAGCATAAGCTCAGGTTATACGTTTTGAATCACAATTAATTAGGTTTTGTTTTTTTCCAAATATTTAAATCACATTATTCATACGCAGTGTTGGCCATAAATGGAATTTTCTGGATTATTATGATTATTCTATCAAAACTTAACTTAAGTATTTTAAATATTTGATAGGCAATGACACCATTTTCCACGAGAAGGAAACAATTAAATCTCAATAATAAGATATTTTTTGGATGTAATAAGGTATATATCACGCATACGCACTGCTGGTTACTTCAAGGCGTAACAAAAATAAATACAAAAAAAAAATATAAAACTCCAATCCGATAGCAAGGATATAATCTTGGTGTACTTATATAACTCCAAATTTAGCACTTGAACTACTCACAGCTGCCAGAGCCAGGGCAAAAACTAGAATAATACTCCTCATGTTTGAAATGGTTTTTGCTTGGATCTCGGTGGGGACTCACCTTATATATGAGGTAAAGACTAGACCACTGATTCAGTTTCAGATTGTCATATCGGTACCCCCAGTTAATTAAAATATTCAAGAGTCGTTTTATCGGCCAATTGGTTTATAGTATTTCCCATTATTCTGGCTTATAGAATGTGTCTTTGTCTTGGTTTAATCGAAATAATTTCCGTCTGATTTTATTTCTCAAATCGTTCAGAGAAAAGGTCGCAAATTATATTTTGCTGTGCGTCGAGCGATAGGAAACATCTATTACTGGATTCGCCACTTCAGAATCGTTCTAATCGCAGAATCTATATAATGCCTTAATTATAGAAGATAATGTCATATAATTTATGGCTCCGTCCATGCCCTCGATTAAAAGTCATTGCGAAGTCAGTGAAACCCGCACCAAAAACAGTAGCAATTCAATCTATGAAATCACTTGAGACGTCAGATACACACGCGCTGATGTTATTGACGGTTCCCATTAAAGTGGCTATAATTCGGGGTATTGCAAATAATTCGGGTATTCCATTTTTACTGATAGAAGCTATTATCATAAAAGTTTTTCTCTTGATTTGATATAAAGTAAATAGTGTGATGTTTTAAGATAACTACTCAAATGTGATATAATTGCATAAAACCATTCACCAAATCATTTTTTTTTCTGTGTTTACATTTGAGAAATATATATGTAAGACTTATCCAAAATTACTGCATTACTATTTAAATAGTTTTACAAGTTAACAGTGTTACTTAAACACTTTTAATCACTTTAAAAGTGCCTACTTTCGCTATGAGCAGAGCTTGGTAGAGGTGTTTGGCCGAAATGATATCCCTCTTCCACTTTTGCCCGTTTGCATTTCCGTGCGGTTGCATAGGCTAGGATAAGAAACCTCATAGCCGGAAGTGGAGCTTATCAAATTCAGTTCGTATTGGTTCCTATTTTTCTTGGCCAGGATGTGAGGTAGCCACTGGTTGAAGGCAACTGGAATAAACAAGATGAAGGAAATCAATGGACATTCTCACGAGAGATCTTGTTTTACGGCATTCTGATAACCATCACCTACGACCCCAAAAAACAAAGTCAACTTCTACTACAACTTGTATGGTGTCGTAACAAACTTAGACTTTAGTATGTTATTTACTAAATTTAAGATCTTGATCTTTACCACCAGAAAGAATTTTGCGGGCTATTAAATGTTCATTATTAGAAATAGTTATAAGTTCATTCAAAAAGCAAATATTTGGTATAGTGATTCATCGAGGAATGAACTTATAGTCAGCCGTAATCCTCAGCAGAAATGGCTGTTACCCTTCCTGTAGCTTAGTGTTTATACTTAGGTTTAGAGTGTACAAATAAGAAAATAAAATCTGATAGTATGGCCTGCGACAATTTGAACTTAAATTTGATTATTTTTATTTTATTGCCTTTGGGTTATTGCTGGAAAATCATACTCGTACATTTGTCAATATGTTTTCATAAATAACGCTTTGTTATGATGTTTATAATATTCTTTGTGTGATCGAGCGACTTGGCCAACTTTAATCTAAATCCAAATACGCGAACTCTATGAATAGCGTGAAAATGTAAAGTTCAGTAATCAATCCAGGCAATGAATGATTTACGACGGCGACTATAAATTTATGGCCAGCAATCCAGATTGCCAAGCCGTCTACGAATAACCACTTTCTGGATGCCCGGGTATAAATTCGATTTTGGCAGTGGTCCCCAGTAGCAGTAGCAAATCAGCAGCAACCATGAAACAACAATCCGCCGTAGTCATTATCCTGACCCTTTTCGTGGCCAGTGGATGGGCCCAACCGCTGGATATGCCCGCCCAGCTAGACGCAGAGGTGCGCAGCGTGGTGGACGAGATGACCGAGATCGGCAAATCCACTGGCGTGACCCTGTTGCAGCAGTACGAGGAGATCGTACTGGAGCCGCAACAAGAGCTGGAGGATGCCATTGAACAGGTGGAGTCGCGTCGCCAGGAGAGCCCCGACTGTGTGGCCGCCCAGGATGAGGAGATCAATCGCATTGTAAATGCTGCCCACGACGATCTGCACTCCTGTGCCATTGTTGCAGCCCACACATCCGCCGAAATTGCCACCGATGTGAGCGCCGCCACCCAGCAACTAGTCTATGGAGGCTACAGCCTGGGCACCACCTACAACAAGTGCACCTCATACAAGAACGCCGTGCTGAAGCAGACCTGCATGGCCAAGTTCTATGTGCAGGCCACCGTCTATCTGGTCAGTGCCCGCTCCTCCATCAAGACCATCCGCCAGTCCACCAGTGAGCGCATTCCCGCTGTCTTCGTCGACGGCAACTCATGTACCCATACCGCATCCTCGCAGGCGGTGCTCGGCCTTGAGGAGGTTAACAGCCATATCGACGCCTGCGTCTCTCGACGCCGCTAGATCTGGCACCTTCATTCACCTGGTTTATGCAAATAAAAATTTTGGATATTCTATGCCACATTCCGATTATTTTTTTTTTTTTTTTTTTAAGTGTTAGTACGAAAAAGGTACCCAATGAAAGTATTACTTTTTCACCGTTCCTCCTTACAATTTAAAGTTTTTAAATTCAAACCGGTTTCCCGGTCTTCTTCAATGTTACGGTCACACTGGCCTTAGCAGCCGGTTGGCAAGAGTGAATTTCAAGTGGAACCAGTTCCAGTTCAGTGCTGAGAAGGTGCAAGATGTTTGGACTTCTTCGACACCTGTTCAAATTACAGTTTCTCTTTGTTGTGGCGGCCGTTTTGGCCGGACTTTACCACGCAGAGATTAGGCAGTTTCTACGACGGCACACAGACGACTACCTGGACAAAGCTAGCCAGGATGCAGGCATTCCGGTGGCTTTTCAGGCTGGTGACGAAGTCGGTACGCTCTTCACGCCGGCTGAACTGGCCAAGTTCAATGGCGAGGAGGACGGTCGTCCGCTTTACCTCGCTCTTTTGGGTTCCGTCTTCGATGTGAGCCGTGGCATTAAGCACTACGGATCCGGATGCAGCTATAACTTCTTTGTGGGCCGCGACGCCTCCGTGTCGTTTATTTCCGGGGATTTCGAGTCCTACGATCCGGAAACGTCAGACGATGTGCTGACTTTAAAGCCAGATGATTTGATTGGACTGGCCGGATGGAGAGACTTCTACCAGAAGGACTATATCTATAAAGGCCGTGTAATTGGACGCTTTTACGATTCCAAGGGTGATTTAACCCCCTATCATCACAAGTTCCTGGAGCTGCTGCAGCAGGCGCGGGATGCCAAGCGACAGGTTGAGGAATTGCGTGCCCGTTATCCTGGCTGCAATATTGAATGGAGCCAAGAACGTGGCACCCGCGTCTGGTGCACCACCACCAGCGGAGATGGCAAGGAGCGTTCCTGGATAGGTTATCCCCGTAAACTCTACAGTCGTGGCAACAAAAACTTCCAGTGCGCTTGTGTGCCCGATTCCGAATTGGATGAGATCGATTCAGGCGGCAAAGCAGCCCACGGAGATGTTATGCTGAAACCCTATGACAATTGCGAGCCCAGGGCACAGGAGTGCTTCTATAGGGTGTAGCCAGTTAGCCCTGGATTTGTAAATAATGCATTTGGACAAATAAAAAAAACGATACTCACAGTTGAGTTAACATATCTCGCTCCACTGACTCCGGTTCATTTCTGATAGGTACGCAAGGTCCACTGTAAAGTGTCCCATTGGGAAATGTTAACTTTTCAAATCCGAATAATGTGTACAAAAAAATGTCCAAAAACAATGACTGTTTTCTTGAAAGATAAGACAAATAATAAATTTGTATAGCTAAATATAGTTAAATTTCATTTAAATACCATTATTCTTGGAGTCTGGATTTAATCATTTAACCTTGCTTCCACTCTATAGAGCGTGACCTGTTCTTTGCAGTCACAGTGTTGCTAGACAAGATAAATATTGCTGTTAAGTGCTTTCAGCGTGCTGTTAAGCGCATTACTTGTTTACAACCGGGCATATATTTTATTGCTTGTAAATTAAAGCTTAATTACGAAGAATTTACACAGGATACTGGCTCCCAAAAATGGCTTCGACGCCTGGAAAGTCCTCCGACTTGGAAGTGAACTGCGAATCCAGCGGTCTGCTCTCAGCCACCGTTGTGGCCGGTTTAAAGAACCTGGGAACTATCATCTCGGCCCCAATAACTAAACTTCTCATCGCGAACTCGCTAAAATTGACGCTCCATCCGGATGCGAGTGAGTTGGAAACAAGAAGATACTGTATTCCGTAATTTAAACAACGCTTAATACTTCACAGCTATTGCTCCAGTTCCTGAGATATATGCCTCCAATGCCGCCTGCGCCAAGCAGAGCGAGTATGCAGTGGTGACCCTCTATGCCCTGGCAACTAAGCACGGATGGGATAGCCTTTATCTTCGCCAGCAGCTTGAGCAACTATCCATGGATTCGAGTGCAGTTGAAGAACTGAGCCGTGTGTACGAGGACAACCGTAAGGATCTAATCCTCCGCCAGCTGCAGGTGGGCCACAACTTTCCTCACATCACAGACATCCAGTGGCGGATTGTGTGCGACGTCAAGTCTTCCACCTCCGATTATAGCACGGGAGTGGCTAACTTCCACATAAATTTGGGGAACTTTCTATCAAGCAGCGGAGAACGGGTGACCATAGTCGAGTTCGTCTGCAATGCCGAGGAGCTGCAGTCGCTGATTAACCGCCTTAAAGAGATTGAACGTCACTGCAACCAGATGGCCGTGGCTTAGGATTCACGCTTTTAACATTCTTATCGATTATATTTCGCAGCATATATAACACAAGCATTTGTCGGCTATATACAATGTCGGAACAGAAAACCTAAACAGTTAACACAGTCATCATCACTAAAAGGCTTTAACTTCATCATTCCACTCAACGTCTGCAACTCTTACTCGGCGACCCTCTAATGGCCAGCGTCATTGGGACATCTTGTGTGGGGGCGGCACTAGTAGCTCCACCAGCTGGTCATAGTGATTCGGCGCCGTACAGTAGATGGTACCCGAGAAGTGGGTGCTATCGTTCTCCTCGGCGGCAATCACTGTGCAGTGGTTTTGCTGAGAAAGCCGCATGTTTAGACCACGGAAGCGATGGTCCTGTTTGTAAAGATTTGTCCCGTCCCGCGGCATAAAGTATGGTCGTCCGCTAAACGGATTTAGGAAGTCCGCCCAGTAGCCCAGCGACAAAAGACGATCGCACATGTCGCGAGCAGCCAGCACAAACTGAAAATGATGTTGTCATTAGTTAAATAGTGTGATTTAGGTTTACATCTGTAGATAATAGACCGATTTTATTACTAGCTTTTCTGTCTCTTCGTCCTCATATACTTGTATTCGAAATTTTATAAATAAATCTGACCATACAGTCGATCTATTTAAACGAGAAGTTTTACATACATCAAACCAGTAAACATTGCAATGATATATTAACAAGATAAATAACAGTATCGTTCAGTTAAGAAGGAAGGTCATCCCCAAAGGCCTAAACCCGGAAAACTGGTTTGATTTGATACTAACAAACTATCAAGGTTAAAACTGGCTAACTGTTTGCGTATAGAATGTAATCTCACCTTGGCGGCGCCCATTTCGATGTCTCCTTCGTAGCTGAGGACTAGCATGGTGATTGGCGAATCTCGCTGAGCCACGACGCGAACAGGAAAGAGCTCTACAAGAGACTCTCGGATAAGCATGGGGCACTGGCAGCAGGTGAATTCGAGGCGCGATTTGTCTACATTGGCTTCCTTGAGGAAGTTGACCAACTGGGCGAGCGGAGTGAGCAGGCCGACGGTGGTTGTGTCACCTTGCCAGGCTGGTCCAGTGGCATTGGGCAGGTAGAAGCGGTTGCTTCTGGCAGCTGTAAGTTCCCAATTGGGTTCGCTCTCCAGGCTGTTTAGATCATCGTCGCCGTCAAGATCCCGCGACTTTGACACTGTCTTGAATGCCTCGCCAGCATCCGAGGGTGGTCCGTTCCGTTTGGAGTAGTTAGCTACTGGGATGATGGTGCTCATGGTTACCTTTGCGCCAAGAAGTCCGCGCAGAGGTGTCAGTCTTTTGCTTCCCTGATTCCCGGGAACGGGCAAGGGGACGAAGGTGCCCAGTACGCGACTCAAAGAGCGCGACATTATTATATCATAGGCTTCTGCAAATGCGTAGAATCCGCTGGCAATCAGTGATATTTCGGATGCGATGTGATGAGACCAAGGTAACACTAACCTTCGCTTCCCTGGAAGAGCTGCGCCTTGCGGGCGTTTACGGATAATGCCGGGTTCCGTATAGCTTTAAAATTTAACGTGGAATTTTGTTTGAGTTATAGCCACCACTTATTGTAAAGTCCGACTGAATAGATTTTTTTTAATGTTACTACAATCCAAACGGCTGCTATTTGATTTCTACGCAGTTCCGTTTTTTTTCTCTAAACTTTTCAATATCGCATCAACAACCAGCTGATTCGATGCGATAGTATCGTGTATGCCTAGAGACGGATTTACCGTTTGAAATTATTTGTAATTTCATAGTACATTATATGATATTTTTTCCAACCCAAATGCCTAAAAGGCTTTTTTATTTAGTATTGTACTAAACTTTTCCATGTCGACAAACAGCTGATTTTATTCGATAGTTGCTTAGAGTTGCCATCTTTTATGGCAAGAACATCGAATAAAAAGCTTTGGTTCATACAATGTTAAAATTGCGCGCCACTTTTAAATAAATATGGTCTTTTGCCTGTTGTTTTGTAAATTATTAATGGTAATCCTTTGGTGTTATTCTTCTACATATTTAATAAATAATTAATCTCAAAATAATGAAGAAAAATAGGCCTTTGTGAATTATTGACAATTCAAGGAATATTTATGGTCTTATTATATAAACCCATTTAAAACTCATTTAAAAATTTAAAATATTGCACATTTTCTGCATTTGCATATTGTATTTAATTGAATTATATAGATGGGATTTAATATCAATTTCACATAGAACTAGGGACAATTACTGGCACTGGCTGAGCGCATGGGTGTAGAAGGTCTTCTCCTCGACTCCTCGCTTAATCACGTGTGGAATCTTCTTGGGCACCATGCTGGAAATGCGGAAAAAGCGAGAACAATTATTAATCAAAATGAGATCACAGCATTTATTAAGACCCACGTGATGCAGTCGATGATGGGACACACGGAGACGCAAAGTGTGCAGCCCGTGCAATCGTCGTTTACGTGCGGAATGTGTGTGTCCTTGTCGAACTCGATGGCCTGGTAACCGGAATCGGCACATGTCATGTAGCACTTTCCGCAGTTGATGCACATGTCCTGGAAGAAGTAAGAGGTAATGCATTAGATATGTGGCTTTGCCGTTTTCTAAGTCAAGATAAACTTACATCGTCAATTAGCGCCACCTTCTGCTGCTTGTTGTCCAGTTTGTTGTACGGCCCTATCTTGTCCAGCGCGGCACCAATAACATCCTTGATTCTAGGAGCTGCCTTTGGTGCACCATCAGCCGTCACCGGTGTGTTCTTTACCTGCTCCGCATCCCAGAGAGCTCCCTTTTGGCGGCGTAGGTCAGCCATCTTGAGGTCTCGCTGCCTCTGATAGGGACCAAAGAATCCTAGCGTGACGTTGCCCTCGCCGGTCAAACGAACTACAGGCTTGCCCTTCTGGTGAACCGGAGTTGGTGGTGACTGGCCATCCCAGAAGGGACCATCGACTGGCGGTAAATTGGCCTTTAGGTAGAGCAGAGCCTTTAGTGCCGTGCAGTAGTCCTCGATGACGGTGAAGTCCTGGTTCTGCACGGATGAGCAGATCTGCAGGACAGTGGCGCCGGCTTGAATGAACTGCAGGGCCACCTCGCCGGAATCAATGCCACCGATGCCCAGGATGGGGAATCCCGGCACTCGGCGGGCGATGTCGGAGATAGCCTTCAAGGCCATGGGTCGAGTTGCATTGCCGGAAACTCCGCCATAGGTGGTGCGCTGCTCCTTGCCAATCGCAGGCCAGGCGGTGGCATCCGCCTTCAAGCCCATTAGTCCTTGGACTGTGTTAATAGCCGATCCACCATCGGCTCCTCCTTTTTGTGCTGCCTCGGCAATGGAAGCAATGTCCGTGATATTCGGAGTCAATTTGATGAAGAAGGGCAGCTTGACCGCTTTACGCACCCAGCGCGAGATTTGCTCCACAAGCTGAGGATCCTGGCCACAGGCCAGACCCATTCCACGTTCACCCATGCCATGGGGACATGAGAGATTCAGCTCGAGGGCATCAGCCCCCGACTGCTCCGCCTTGATGGCCAACTCCGTCCAGTCGGCCTCGTTAAAGCTGCACATAATGCTGGCTATAACGATCTTCTCCGGGAAGTCCCGCTTGAGTTCTCCAATCGATTTTAGCCAGTACTCGGCGCGCTTCTCTGAGATGAGCTCGATGTTCAGGAAGCAGCCTTGCTGTGGTCCGTACTTGTAGCCTGATGTAGTGCCCCTCACGATTCGCGGCGAGACGTTCGTGACCAGATCTTTGTCTAGGCCGAAGGTCTTGGTGACCACGAATCCCCAGCCTTGCTCAAAGGCGCGCCTGATCATGGCCGTGCTGGTGGTGGGCGGTGCCGAAGCCAGACCAAAGGGATTCTCGAACTTAATGCCGCACATCTCAACGGATATGTCCACAGCGTCGATGTCTGTGTAGAAAAGTGGCAGAGCTGCCGGGGTGTCCAAGGGTAGACCCTGCAGCTGACAGTGAATGCTCCATGCGGCCACCTTGCCGTCGTTTACCGATTCCACAGTGGTATTGGCCACCCCAGCGAGATCTCCTCCGAGGAACACCTGTTTCACACTGCTCTGCATCGTGATTCGGTCCACCACTGGCAATTCGCCGCGGAACTGTAACGGAGCCAGTGCCTCTCTGACGTCTTGGTCCTCCAATCCGGATCCAAAGGCGGAGATCACAAAGTTAGCCTTCAAGCGCTGCGTTTGCTCCTCATCCTCAACCCACTCATCCTTGTCGTTCTGTTCCGTGCGACAGAACTCCATGGCAGTGATCAGGCCCTCCTTGACGATCACCTTGCGGGGACTCAGGTAGGGCAACAGTTCACAGCGCTCATCGCGCGCCAACTCCACTTCCTCGGGAACAGCACGGATTCCGGACGATCCCTTGCGGAAGACAACGAACACGCGACGGGCTCCACATCTCAAGGCCGAGGTGGCACAATCAAAGGCAGTATCTCCGGCTCCAAGGACGATGACATTGCCGTGTAGCTTGGGCAATCCAGCGGCGGCTTTGCAGGCACATAATCCCGGCTTCGAGCCATCGGACACCAAAGGCAGGAAGTTTTTGGACGTATAGAAACCATTGCTGGGCTCCAGACCGGCGAAGATGGGATTCAATTTCGGCTCAGGCAGACCAATACCAACGAAGACGGCATCATGGCCGTCGGATAGGAGGCCCTGAACGGTCAGATCTTTGGTACCCAGAGAGCGTCCGGTTTCGATGCGCACGCCCAGATTCTTGACCAGATCGATCTCAAAGTTGACCGCATCAATGGGCAGACGGTACTGCGGAATCTCGGCGGCACTCAGACCACCTAGATAGCTCCTCCTTTCGTATATGGTAACATTGCGGTAGCCCAGTCGGGCAAGGAAGGTGGCGCAGGACAGCGAGGCTGGTCCTCCGCCCAGGAGTGCGATTTTCTGGAACAGCGGATTGGCCTCTGCTTGCGGTGTTCTCCGCTGGCGTACACCCATCTTCTTGAACACTTCGGTGGCGAACTGCTGCAGTCCACCAATGTTGATCGGACCTGCCTCAGAGGCCTGAAGATTGCATCCGCCCACGCAGAGATCGCTAGTCGGGCAGACCATGCCACAGGTTAGACCCAACGGATTGTCCGAGAAGATCGCCTTGGCGGCGCCGTAGAAGTTCTTGTTGGCAATGCTCGTGATGAAGCTCTTGATGTCCAACTGCGTGGGGCAGGACTTCTGGCACGGGGCATCAGCGCACTTCAGGCAACGGGCCGCCTCCTCCAGAGCTCCACGCTCCGACAGAGTCGTGTGCTTGATGTCCGAGAAGTCGTTGGCCAACGTGGTGCACGGCGGAGCCGCATGGTCTGCATTACGCTTCCAGTGCTTCTTGTTCTCCTTGGTCTGCTTAGTGGGCACAACCGAGCACTGGGTCTTCACGCGGGGATTCAGCGACAGCAGATCCTAAGAAGATAAGATTTCGTTTACTTTTCAGTCTTATCATAAACACTATCATCAATATCAGAGAAAGTATATGAATACTTTGAAGTTCGAACTCTTATCAAAATGATATTACTTTTTATTTTATTTTAAAATCAATTTGCCGTACATTTAACGGATAAGGGATTAAAAACATTTAAAAAACTATTTTTAATGTCAAACGTGTGTTTGTCAAACTTTACTATTTTTGCAATTTAGGTTTTTTTGTTAAGAAGATCTCAAAACTTTCATATCTGAGGTCGCTGAACTGGTTCTTAAGATATTCGTATTAAAAATTAACTTTTCAGATACAAACCTTTCAAAAACAAAACAAAATTTTAAAAAAATATGATTGTACTTTGGGTCTTCTAAAGGTAAATTAAAAAAAAAACAATTTTTACTAACAAATCGATTAATAAAACAAAAATATGAAAAAAATTAAGCTTTAAGTTTCTTGCATTTGCAGTACAAAATAATTGATGAAAATTTAATTTGAAATTCAAAAATGAATTTTCAAAACGAAATTAATGATCTGACATGAAAGTTAGCCATCTTTTCTTTAAGTGTAAGAGTTGGACCTACCTCAATGTCGGGGGAGTCCTTGCTCAGCAGTTGGGGCGGACTCATTTTGATGTTTATCTGGAAGAGAAACAGGGATTATTAGACATGGATTATAGATGGGCGCCACGTGCGAAAGGTAGCAACAATCCCTATCGCACCGTTATGTACCCTAATCACGTCTGCGAGCCTTATCGTAGCCCCACTCGAACCGATCCTGGACAAGACGCTGTATCTATGTACACTTATAGCTCCATAGGTCTTATCATCTATAAGGGCGTTATCATTTATCAGTCAAGGTTGCGACGGCCAGGGGAGATTAGGGGGTTTTATGGAACACATAGTGGCACCACCCCGGTTTTTTATGTGCTTCTTCAAATAGTTTCGCCCCGAAATAAATGGGGCCACCCCTCGAAGAGCGAAGATTAGGGACGGGTGAAGGTCACGATCATGGGGGCCCGTTTTGTTTTTTTCCTTCTCAGCGATAATTGGTCAAAAACTAGAAATTCTTCTTTTTATTTCCACAAAGTATATTAGAATTCGAAGCGGTTTTTCTAAAAATGTTTTTTTATAAGTCATCTAAGTTTATTTGTAAATATTTATGTATGTTTGTATTTTATTTTTTAACGGCTTAAGTACAACAATCTGAATAAATAAATCTAAATTAATCTACCAAAATGTATCTTCTTATTTATTTTTCAATTCAAAAGTTTATACTCAATGAATGTAGTTTTGGTCTGATTTTAGAGTATCTTTTCATTGATTAATTTAATTACAATGTAAACTTTAGATTATTCGAAATGATTTTGTATTTACTTTGTACATTAATACGCATTTAAATATTGGTTTTACTTGCAAATCAAACTTAAATCAAAGGCGGATGTTTAATATTTTGAAATAAGTAAATTAACAGTGTTAAATTTTCTGTTTAATGGGTTAATAAGTTAATAGTTATTTCTATTTCCATTATCACAGTTAAAGCCACCTTAATTTTTGTAAAAAACTTTTATTTAATCACAAATGAAGAGCTTAAATTTACAGACCTTCGCTTACACACTTATATATGCATGTGTGTGTGCGATCCAATCGACTTCAATTCAATCCATATTTTTTGTAACACGCGCTCTCTCGCTCTTCACCTCGCCCCCTCTCGCTTCCGCACACACTCTACCGCTGATTAGAATTTTTTATTATTTTTGACATAATAGTTGAAGCCCCCAGCTGCTCCCTGAGCCGCCCCCATTCCCCCCAGATCACCATACCCATCCTCATGCCCATTCCATTATCAGTTTGGCTTTATGGTCCGGCAAGTTTTTGAATATGTTTTCATTAAAAAATAGGTATATATGCTAATGGCGAAATGCGAAAAACAAGTTCAGAATCAGAGCTGCTTATGCTTAAATTGGGTTTCGTTTCGTTTGTGTTTTTCTATAGGTGTTTGTTTTTTTCTTCTTTTTTTGGCCAACAAACAGTGCGATTGTATTAAGATTAGTGGCCGAAATACATACCGATTGAAGGAACGTTATTAGTTAATTTATGAACACTTTTGCAGCGATATCTTTTTATTGGTCACAGGAAAAAAAATATTAGCACTAACCGACAGAAATCGGTTGACACTAGTACACAAGCTCAACGAAAAACACACGAAAAACTTAAATTGGTCTTCACACTGGAAACGCCAAATTGAAAATGCTCTGGAGAACGATTTCCAAATCGACGTTGACTCGGTGCCGCGTCGCAGTCGACGTCGCTGCCAACGCCAGCTTCCCCATATTCATAGCTAATAAATACATATATATATTGCACAGAGGCGCAGAAAGGGGGTGTCCGAAGGTGCCAAATGGGGGTGGGCTCTGGACTATCCGTAAAAATCAACATAAACTCTTATTTTATTCTTTAATAAAAATGTAAGTAATTTTTAAGTTTTCAGGCTGCTCTTTATATGTATTTTTACAGATAAACCTCTATTTATTGAGAGTTATCAGTTTTACTCCAAGTACAGGTAAAGATAAAGTAAAGATTCATCCTACGCCCATGAAGACATACAAACGTCTTTGTCGAACTTGCAAAACACTGGCTCTAGTTGTTTACATTGTTAAACACTAAGAAAAAAAATGTGTAATCAACCGAAGATAGAGATCTACGTATTTGGAATTTTAAAAGTGTTCAGGAGATATATTTGTTAAAGGCAACATGGCTAAGCAGAATTAATATTAGATATACCTTTAATGTATCTTTGAGATAAGATAGTATTATCAAATTTTTTCTGTGTAAGGAATGGATTTCAAGGCGTGTCAAGCGATCGCCTCTCTTGCATTGTTTATCTATTTTTCTCTCTCAGTTTCGCTCTTGTGCTGATTCGAAACGGTAAAAACATTACATGTAACAGTACTACAGTAAACACAGTAGAGTGTGTTCCCCTTTTATGATATTTCTATGTAGGCAACCAAATTATTATTCATGTTAAATGTTTACTTATTCATTGGTATTGAGAATCTGTTCTTCAGATCAAAGCACAAGTATAGTTTTAATTTATTTTGTTTATATGTATTATTAATTATAAAATGTTTTAGTTTTTATTTCTTTTTATAATATTGATTATATTTTATTAAATTATAGTTCCAACTTGGAGAGCTTACTGTAGCTTAACTGAACTTTGTCAAAGGTAGCCCAAAAGAATGCTTAGGTATTTGCATAAACTTAGCCGAAAAGTATGCATTTGGGTAGCTGCTGGGAGGTTTCTTTTAATCAACATTTAAACTTTATGTCGTAAATTAATATTACGAAAGTGATTTTTAATAACATGAGACCTAACTGACAGCCTTTACACTAACCCCTGAAGTATTAAATATTAATATTAATATATCAAATATATTAAAATTTTATATTCGCGAGACTACACGAGGTTCTGTGTCCTTAAGATGCCCCAAATATAACATATTTTTTAGTCTCTAAATAATATCTTACTCAGATACATGTATTTCCAAGCACGTACACTTATTTCCAAACTAATATGAAGATGTTTATGGGCCATGCGATCACTGGCGGATAGTCAAGTCTTGTGGTGTCTGGACCTTGATTTACGAAGCTCTAATCATTTGGGCCATTAGCTTGCGGACATTGTGAGTGCCAAGTGCCATTGGCAGTGGCACATGACATTGGCCATAAACTTGGGATAATCTTAACGGGGTGAGCACAAACTGGACGGGAGCCGAGAAAAGTGCAGTCGCATTTACATTTTCTGCCCCCGGAAAGGGGGCCCAGCCAGTCGGCCAGCCCCCCCATAAGCTGCCCATTAAAAAGGCATAAATTATACTCGACTGGGGGCCCCAAGATCCACCAATCTCCCATCCCCCGTCTACCCAGCCATGATTTCGTAGTAAATCAGAGCGCTTAATTAATACACAATGCAGGCGGTTAATAAATTACATTCGAAATGCATGCCAAAATTCTAATTTGTTGCGTCTCGACGGAACGTGTTGACTGGCGGATTCCGCCATTCGCTTTCCCCTTTTCGACAGCGGATTAGGATTTAGCCGGACAGATTGTCAGATCCATTGTCACATCGCTCACTCATCTAGTGGGCGGGATCTTAAAACTATTGTACATACAAGCATTAGATGTGACACTCTGACGGAGGGCCAAGGAAATCAAGAGTGAAGGCGCAGTGCCTTTACGGATCATTTGGATTATTAGAAAATGGAGGAAGCAAGGATCGATCTGGTTTATGGAATATAATTTGTTTTCTAAAAATATTTGATGATATTATGTATCAAATAATGAATAATAATAGGTATTATAATTAACAATCCACATTTGCTTTTATATTTTTTATTTCCAAGTAATAGCAACTTAAACACAATCCCAGTATACTCCACTCCAACTCCCTTCAGAGGGTATCCATTGGGCAGACAAATGTATTGTAGGGAAATGGAAAACGCGTGCAATTAATCAAAGTGGAACCGACTGCACACCATCCACCTCTCCACCTGCCCCATCAGATCCCAGAAAATGACATGGGCTAAAAGCCATTTGTGATTAGAACAGCCACATGCGACAAGCTCCCTGAGTTCTTCGGCGACAAGTCAGTGCAGATACAGACGATATAGAGAGCAGATATTTAGACATATAGATGCTAGATAGATAGGTCTGTAGATGTAGATAGAGAGCTGGATCGACGGATAGATACACTCGGTTGGGTCATTATTTTCGGCTATATGCAGCATAATTTATTGGCATTTTTATTATTATTTTATTTATGATTTCTGCGTTTTCAAATTTGTTTGGCTACGCTCCGCTTTCGACGAGCTTTTATTGTTATTGCAAATACAGATATATGTATTCTATACCATACTATACCTTACTATATACATCGTCTTACTATATCTTTTCGCACTGCCATTCATTAAGATCACAAGATGACACTGGCAAAGGCTAGGGCTTTCGAACAAATTGATGAGACAGGTGGAGCCGAACTGAACAAGAATCTATATCCATATGGCTGGTAGGAGCCGAAATATGTTTCTGATAATTCCACAGCGGCAGTGAGAGATTTATTTAATTATTTTCATGTACACGATTTTCGATTTAATGAGCAGTTTACTGGGGCAAAACTGAATCAAATCGAATATTGAATGCGGCAAATGGCCAATTCCCATTAGACAACCGCCCATACATATATAAACTTATTAATTTCAATCTGAATCCAAGTATATATATATATATTCGATCGTAAAGCGGCGGGAGGCGGTTCTGAAGGCGTCGCTGGCCTGGCCTGGCGATCAAAAATAGATACGGCCGCCAGCTTTAACGGTCGCCCAAAGTCGCCTGTCGACTGCAACTTTTAATGGCAAATAAAACAAATGCCAGGCAGCCAAATCGAATTAAATGGCAACAAATTTATGAGTAGATCACACAAAGTTTCCGGTCCTCGACTTACTTTTTGAAGATGTAACTATTTAAGGATCCCATAAATCTGTATATGCTTTCATGTTTTCCCTGTTTATGAGGCTTAAATACTTTGATTTATTCGAAAACATTCACAGTACTTACTGTTCCTACTTTTAGTAATTAGGAAATTGTCATTATTATTCATCAAATTCAATAAGTTTAAGCTTCTTATTCTATATGCTTTTCTATATATATCATATATAAAAACACGATTTATACTAAATACAAACTGTAGGTTCCTAAGAGTAGGTCAACGTCTTAACCATTAACATTTTGGCTCAACGAACTAATGAATGTATTTATAATCTCTCCAAGAAATATCTCAGCAGAACCCCTTCTTAACTCAGAATATTTTCGTTATGATTTCAGAAATATTTCTAGCCAGGTGGATTAAAAAACGTTTTGACAAAACGATTTTAAAGCCCCGAAAAAAGTCGAAACGGGCAGACAGATCTTTGGCAGACTTTTCCAAGAAATTAGCACTCGTCGAGTATAATTTTTAATTTATTATAAATAAATAAATACAAATACAGATACGATTATTTAGTTTAGTACGCACAACACAGAACTAGGAGAGGTGGCCAGAGGACTGCTGGGGGACTAGACATATTTAGCCCGCATTTTCAGGAATCGAGCTCTCAGCTAATTATATTTATCACTGCAATCGTTATTCTTTGGAAAATTCAAATCAAAGAACCCACTCGAATTCCGGAAAATGAGGCTGGATACAGCGAATATCTAAGCCAGCTCAGTGGCGGTCGGCGGAGGAGCAGGGGCCGTCAGAGGATCAGCTGTGCCCGCCGCTGTGGCCGCCTGCTCTGACTGCTCAGCCTGCTCTTTCTCCAGAACCTCCAGCAGCTTATCAGCCTCGGCGGCCTTGGCCTGGAGTTCGGCAAGCTTTCGTTGCTTCTCAGCCTCATCCGCCAGCCGCTTGGCCCTACGCTCCTCCTCGCGACGCAGCTGCTCCTCCAGATGAGTGCGCAGCAGGCTATCGCCCAGTCCCAGCTTGTCCATCACCTGGGTGATGTCACGGCTATAGCGTAGTCGCGTATTATTGGCCAGCTCCTCAGAGCAATCCTCGCGTCCTTGCTGCAGGCGCTGCAGGACGGACATCTTGGCATCGATCACCACATAGTTGGAGTTCGGGATGAAGCTGTCGCTCTTCTCGTTCAGGTACTGCACCAGGGTCCTTAGCGAATTCGAATTGGCCTTGGCATTGATGGCTCCGCTGGCAAAGTCCTGCGACTTCATCATCTGCGCATGCGTGGACTTCTGCTTGCACTCCAGGCAGTTCCAATTAGGATGCGGCAGGCCGGAGATTTCAGGCACCACCAGGCCAGAGCAGTTTGTGTCCCGACAGTATAGGCCTGAGATGAAGGCGCCCTTCTCCTGCAATCAAAAGGAAGAATTTGAGGTTAGAGGTTGTAGGAAAATTTTTTAAATATTGTAATTATTGTTGGACTTATTTTTGGCTAATGAAAAATCTAAAAAAATGTTTCCAATATTATTTTACAATAAATACCTTAAAAATCTAATAATTAATAATAAATATTTAAATCATTATTAAAGTTAGTAACGATGTCAAACTTATTTTAGAACTTTAAAAAAGGGTGGTCTTTAAGTCCATTGGCCGTGCCAATAGCCTGGCTTATATCGTTTAGTTTTAAGTTTAAAGGCTTAAGTTAAGGGATACCTTAATCTTATGTTAGTCTTCTCTAGGCCTCAAGGGTACTCAATATAAGCTCATAATATATAGCTTCTTTGAACTTTATAAAGGTTGTAGAGGTCCTTTCTATAACTTCATTTGTTTTCCATGATTACAAAACTTTATTAAAGATATTCCCATGATATTCAAGACATAATAACCACCCTTTAATATCCAAAACCTGTATCAAAAAACTATAATAAAACCTTTCCAAGAACATATTACCGTAAGGACCAGCCATTGAAACTTCCCCCCTAATTTATGACCATATTATCCGATGACAGACACATCATTATCAATCGAATCGGTAATCGGTACACTTGCCAGCCCATCGATCACTCGGGAACTGGCACAACACTTTGGATATTTGGCGGGTGAATCATTGGGGCCAAATGTCTCGGCTAATGAAAAGCGTTTTCGCATTTCTGGGATTCCGATTCCGATTCGGATTGCTATTCCGTTTCCAGCTAAAAATAATCCTCGACGGATTGAAGAAGCTCCGACAAGTGATCGCCGTGTATCTGGGATATAAAGATGCTTGGCTATATATCCGCCGCCGATCCGCGAGATTGACATATAAATAATAATAATAGAAGAAAATAAAGAAAAACTTGTCGCTCCGTGTGCGTTTTTTAATATTTTAATATTCGCTCGTGCGATCGATAAATATCCACACACAGGTTGTTAAGGATGTCGGTCGTCCGCGGCCACGTCATCTCCATAAAATTCTCAATCCGAATCGTTCGCCCAATTTGCTTGCTCGTAAATTAAGTCGGATAATTAATGGTTCCGATCCGCAGACTGCACTGAAGACAATAAAAATCCACACTTTTGATATATATTTTAAAAAAACGTTTGTTTAAGTTTTGCCAAATGAGAAAAGTTATTACTTGGATACCTGAAAAAGGTGATTTGTTTGGTATTTTTGTAAGAAATAGTCATGGAAGTTCAAAAACTTCAATTTAATTTAATGCGAAATTAAAATAACAAATATGTTTGTCAAATCTCATTACTTTTTATACCTAAGATATGCTTTTTGCCCACAGTATTCCAGATTAAAGTTCGGAAAAGCGGAAAATCTGATCATAACCACTCGGAGCAGGGAAAACCCAAGCATAAAACATGAAAACTAAAATCCGTTTAGTAGCAGTTCGCTGAACTATCGTTTAAATTATATTTTAAATCAATTAGAGCCACACGTGCCACAGTCAAGGGCAGGCAACTAGCAACAGCGGCTATTTTTGACACTTAACAAATGGGCAATTGATGTAGACTTGATAAATGGAAAAACGCTGTTAGCAATGAAAACACCAAGGAAATATATATTTATACAAATTATGGCACTACACAAAAGTAGAAGAATGAACTAAAAATAAACAGGGGAACATAAATATAATTTTTTCCATTACTGGGATATTTACTAACTTTTCAAAATTTTGTATAGCTTGAATTTGTATAGCTTGATTTAAGTTAATAAATATCCAATATATTCAATTTTTTCCTTATAATATTTCTCAGGTGAAATAACCCAAAGACTTCCCCACAAAATTTGCAAATCTGTTTAAATTAAGAAAACACCTGCTAAATTATATATATCACCTGTATAATGAATATTTTGCAATATTTTCTCAACCGTTAATAATTACTAAATATTAGTTTTTAGTCTAAATTTAGTTTTTATTGCCAACAGCCAATATTTACAACAGAAAGTCACCGTCAATGGACTCTCTTTATGGCTTAAATTAATCCAATTTCGAGGGCTTTTCTGGCCCGGCAGTTTTCATTATTTGGCCTCTGAGCTGTGCCATTCGCATTCTCGGCGAATGTCAAACGGGAAATTACGATCCGAGGCGCTATATGTGTTGGCCATGGCCACGAAAATCTGTTTCTATATGCATATGAAAACAAAAAGAACAACAGCCGAACCGAGGAGAATAAAAAGTATCCGTCGGATAACATCACAAAAAAAAAATGTCACAAAAATGAAAATGGGCGAGCGGGGATCGTAAGAAATCAAAATCAAATCAATATGAGCTGAAAATTCCAACGAAAACCAAATGCCACAAGACATATATATATGAATATATATATCTATGCATATATACAGATATGAAAACCGAGAATTGGGGTTTTCAACTTTTTCAGGAATTTCAAAAAAAAAAAAAGAAGAAAAAAATTGCCAAGCGAATTAAAAAGCTTTTTGAAACCATCTATTTATTTGTGATTTAATTGAATTGTTTTCGGCCTGTTAAAAATAAACAAAGTTGTTTATAGCCATGTTTTGTTGTTGTTGTTGTTGTTATTGTTGTTTATGTGGCTTGCCACTTGTTGCGCCTGGAAAATAAAAATTGGGGGAATAATAGGAAAAAAAAATCGGAACATCGCGTAGGAAATCAATCGATGGCCAAGAACAACACAAATCCCAAAACTTGTAATAATAGTGGCCAAAATCGATCTGGCCGCGAGTCTTTAATTGTTTTCGGATGAATTTTGATGGGTACAGGAAATCCTTAATGAAACTTTTCGCACCCCAAAAACAATTGCGGTGAAAATCAAAAAGCATCGCGAACTTGGGAAATTGTCTTCTTTTGATCGATCGTATGGCCCAAAAATGGATGAAAATCTTTTAGGAGCACGGCACTTCAGTCCGCAAATGCCGACCTCAAACGAAGCTATAAAGATGTTTGATTATTTCTTTGCCTAATTGGCTAAATAGTTTATTCAGCTGGCCCATCGATCATCACAGGGATTGTTGGATGAGTAAGGGCAGATCTCTGGTCAGAAAGTGTGTTCTTTGGAGTGATCATCATAAGCAGGGAATTATTTAACTCACAAAGAGATTGTTAGGAATCATACTAGGGACTAGGGACATAATTAATATGCCTTTAACGATTTAAGTTAACATTAGGAATATTCTACGCATTGATATTTATCTAGGAAAATCCACAAAGTTCTAAAGATCGATCACTCTTTTAAGAAAGTAAATGTAATACAAATACAAATTTAACAAATATGATTAAAAAATATGAGTAAATTTATACAACTTTGATTTTCGTAATCTCGTGAAACGTTTTTTTAACGTGTCCTAACAGTGTCCTAAAGTTAAAAAGCAATTTGAGTATCAAAAAGCAAACTTCAAAAATAAATTAGTTAATAATTCCACTAATAACTCAACCATTTAACACCTTTTATGTTGTTGTCGTATCAGGTCGTATCAGGTGTCGTATCTAATTAAGGATTATATTTTTAATGGGACTTATAAACTTATCCTCTTCCTTGTAATATCTAAACTTTATTTCAATTATAATCATCAAATACGTTTTTATCATATACGCAGGTCAATGTAATAGAGGCAAATCTTTTGGATCTCTTTTATAGAGGGATATCTACCTACAAATATTTTGTCTTACAAGAGATCTAAAGATAACCCCCTCAAAAAAGGAGACTGACACTGTCACAAAGGACACTGGCACACTGTCTCATCGATTTACGACAATCAAAACTTGATAGAGAAAAATTTATCGGAGCTATCACATAGTAGAAGTGTTTTTAGGAAAGATCACTTTTTTCTTATATTCCTATTCCTATCGCCTAATATCAAGATTAAATATGAAGTTAGTACAAAGGTTGTAGGAAGACAAACTCACCGTGGGATCCGAGCAGCGGGAGCATTTGCAGGTGAAGCTCTTCTTCATCTTGAGGAAAAGATGGCGGGCGATGTTGCCGGTGAAGAGTTTGGTGTAGGTGGTGGTGACCTCGAATCCCTCAGGGATGTCGACGGCGGCGCGGACGATCATGTTGTTGGTCTTCTCCTCGAACGTGTAGTAGGCATTGGGAATGCAGTCGTGGTTGACAACGCCGAAGAGTGGATACAGGGCACGGTAGTTGAACTCCTGATTGTCGTTTGTCCTGTCGGTGGTCTTGTCGAATCCATTGGTCCTGAGAACGGCCACGGTGCGGTTCATAATCTCGATGAGCTTCTTGTCGGTGGGGAAGTTCTTGAAGCACTTGGCTGCATTGCGTACCTCGGTGCGATGATTGTTATCCAGATTGGCCTGCAGGCAGTAGATCAAGTCACGCTGCTCCTTGGTCAGATTAATGGCCCGGGCCACGCACAACAATCGGATGATCACCGAGTTGGCCACGTCTGGTTCATTGGGTCCCCAGGACTTGAACAGATCGCAGTCGCTCTTGTGCTGCTTCTTTTTGGCGCACAGGGCACAGACGGGCAGGCCGCATCCTTGGCGGCACATGAACCGCGTGTCCGGCAACATTTTCAGGCACACACTGCAAGCATTCAATGAGTCCTCCTCGTGGGCAGCCAGGCCGATGAGGAGCGGGCTATCACGGAAGATGATCTCGCCGCGTTTCAGGCTGCGCGTGGCCACTACTCCACGGCCGGCGATCTTAGACACGCCAATCTCCCAGGCTGGATCCTTGTCCTTAAACGGGGCCAAATGCAGATCCAGCAGCTCCGAGGTGCGTTTCGGGCAGATCATCTTGCTCGAGGGGTTAACGGAGGACGCGTCACACAAAAAACAAACCGAAAGGTCAAATTGCACTCAAACAAAAAGATAATCACAACGGGGTTATGGATATTCTTTATCCAGATCTTCTATAAACTTTCTATGGATTAAAAACCGTTTATTTCTTTGTTCAACTTTTGAGGATCTCTCGACCCGATCTCTGGCTATATCTGATCCGTTGAACTAACTGGGAGCGGATTGGTTCGCTTGCAGCGTTTATTTCGCGACTGCCGTGAGTAAACTGTCGCCGTTTTCCAGCCTTACATGATTTTTATGTGAAAAGTCGGCGGAAAGCTGAAAATGCGAAAAGCTGTCGACGATCGAAAGAACCGAGCGCAATACGAAGATCCCCGATGATGTGGCTTCTCTGAACTGAACATGGCGATCCGATTCCCGAATTTTCGGGTGGGTGCTGATTGAGGATGATGTGGGGGGATCGGTGGCATGGATCTGGGAGCAGGAGCCCAGACAATCCCAAAGAAATCCTGGTGTCCACTTGAATGGATTGATGAATAGCGCAATGTTGAATGTCTCTTTTGACGGGAACACTAAAACAAATTAGGTGTACAAATTTCTGGGTATTAAAGAAATTTATTTATTTTCATTTTATTTAATTTGAGGATTTTTTTTGTATTTTTTGGAAATTTATTAAAAATTGTTAATTATTTTTATTTTTTTTTAAATATTTTTATGCTTTGAAATTTATTCAAATACATTTAAATTAATTTTTTAATTTTTTTATGTATTTTTATTTAGTTTTACCGCTAAAATTAATATTTTCTTCTTTCAGCCTTTTGGAAAAAATTATAGTAAGTAATAAAATAGAAATTAGCTAGGCTTAAAGTGGGTGAAACAATTCTTAATTATTTTTACATCTAAGATAAGACGGTTTTTAAACTTTTTGTTAAAATTAAATGCAATTCTATATTTTTCTCTAGGTTCGAGATAAACTCTCAACGCTGCTTTTGCTTAAATTAATTTCTACAAATGTTATTTATTTTAAACATTTTTCAATTTGCTTATCATTAATATATATTCTTTAAATATTAAATACTTATTATTTTATAGGTTGTTTTTTGTGTCTGGTTCAAGCACTCAAAAAATAAAAGGTTTTTTAAATCAATTATTTTAAACTTTTTTGGTTGCAACAATAAAAATAGTTTCAAAGAACATTGTTTAAGTTTAATACGGCAAAGTACAAAATAAATACTTTATTAACATAAATGTAAATTGTATATTATACTTTTACTTAATTTAAAAATCAATTTGTATTAATTTTATGTTATTTTGATTTTTAACTATTTTATAAATAAGACGGTTTTTTAGGTGTAGATTGTAGATTATTTTATGATCAAGCTTTTAGCCCTGAATAGGCTTATCGTCTTTTGAAAACGAAAACAATTTGATTAAATCTAATTTAATAGCAATAAATATCAGAATTTGAATTATAATTAGAATCAGAATAGGTTTCAAATTTAATGAGTATTCTAATTAAATTTTCATAGGTACTGTCAGTATAAAATATCCATTTATCTAAAACAAAAATAATTATTGTTTAAGAGTTATTAATATCATAATCAAATAGAGGCAATGCCTGTTGAAAACTTCTGTTAACCAGTGTAATTATTATTATTGCGAGCTAAAAAGTATCATACATCATATAATATTCTACAGATTTTGTAATTATTACTAATTTATTATTAATTTCTGATTTAAAAAATAAGTTTCATAGGATTGAAAACATTTCTTAAAAACGTAAGAAAATCTCTTCAAAAATATTTTGATAGAAAAATGTAATAAAACATAAAGTAATATAATTATGTACATTTTTCAAAAATATTCAAACAAACGTTTTCCGTATTCCTTCGATTTAATTAAAAATATACATCATAATATATTTTTGCGCCGTGCAGTTGAACGGACGGGCGGATGGATGGATGGAAGCTACAGGCGGACGGATGACTTGTCGGCCGGCGGATGTACAGATATCCGTACATTCGAAACATCAGTGTACGGGAATGTCGGCGCACACGGATCGGCATGGATTTGTGCACTTCTGACAGCGCTCTGGAGTTGGGCCAAGAATGCCGCCCATCAGTGGATGATGAACGATCTCCGCCGGGGTTTTGTGTTTCTCGGTAGGGGGGAGCGATAGGAGGAAGATCACCCTCTGGGTGAGTGTCTGGGACGGCTTAAATCACTTACCCCTGCCCTGCCCCGCCTCCTTTCCTCCGTTCAGCACTTGATTAATACGTCCAAGGAAGTAACGACCCCAATGGCCTCCGAAACCGGAATTCCGACGGTACGGTGAGTACGATGCTGAAATAAATATGGGACAATATTTTAGAATATTTTTCGAATGTTTACAAATAGCTTACAGAGTTCAAAAATCGACTAACTAATCTTTAATACCGCTAATCATGGAAATAATAACCTTAGAACCAATTAGCTTATCACTCGAAAATAGGGGACAGTCGTGACCCGACAGCTGCGATAATCCCAACCGTAAAATTAAGCTGCTACGATGGCGACTAATCTTTGGGTTTCCCTATAAAAAACCAACCTGAAGCTGTCAATCTATCAGTTTGTTATTTCTTCTCAAGCTAAATCATCCGAAATGTTTCTCGCCAAGATCCTGATCCTCTGCACCGCCTGTGTCCTGGTCAATTCCCAAATACCCGGAGGTATCAGGGTTCTTGAAGGCAAGGATCTAGCCGACGCCAAGGAAATTCTCGAGACGTCTCTTTCTAAACTAGCCGCTGGCGAGGGACCCCACTATCGGTAAGACAAAACTTAGAATTCCTTGGACTCCTCTTCTATTTATTCTTCTGGTTTTTCCAGCATCTCAAAGATTCGTTCGGCCACGGTTCAGGTGGTGTCTGGCTCCAAACACGCTTACTCTGTGGAGCTAATTGACAACAGTGGTGCCACCAAGGAGTGCAATGTGAAGATTTGGTCCCAGCCTTGGGTTCCCAATGGCATTGAGGTGACCTTCAACTGCCCCAACGAACCGGAAGTTGTCAGGAGACACAGTTCATAAGCAAATGTTGTTGAGATTATTGGAATATGTGAATAAATAATAAGAATATAAATCTGTATAATTATCAAGTTTTATCTGGAACTTATACTTACATTTTTATAAGGAATAGTAAAGCTTTAGGTATCATCAATGAGATGAGATGATATACGATCCGCCAAATCACATTTCCTCTATTAATCTGAGTTTGAAAGAAAGATAATTATGATCATAATCTTAAGAAACCATTGGGAGGGGCTTTTCTTAGAGTACGTTTTCAGGCTATTTTAATATAAACTAATATTATATTATTATTCTTAAAGAAACACTTTTAACTTGGTCAAATTGATGTTGTTTCCAGATCAATCATCCCATATAAACGACTATTTTTATATTTTTATTTAATAAATATCTTTAAAAGCAAACAATTTGATAAGAGCTTAAAGAAAAAATCTGATTCGGTATACCTAAAAACGAATCTCAGCTCTTAGGATTATGTTTAGCTTGAAGTTCAAAGTTTAATTTGTGAGTCAAAAATGTATTTTGAAAATTCTGTGAGACAAAATCCCAATATTTACCATATATTTGATGAGCGTTTTTCTCAAAGAAAACGTTCTGATTTAATTGGTAATTAAAATATTAAGTCCACAAACATTTAGTTGACTGCGCAGATAGCAGGGGCTGGCTGTTCTGATACCCCCACCGAGTATTTTAGTTTGTGTTTTCTTTCGGAATGTTGATCAAGCGTCGAGAGCAAGTGCCAGAAAAGCAACTTAATGAATTCGACAAATTGCAAATTGGCCACTGCCTACAGCGCCCCTTTCGTCACCTATTTGGGGACTTAGGATTGGGATTCAAGATTTGGGATAGCAGATTTCAGATTTTAGATTTTAGATTTTAGATTTGCGATTTCGACACCCCCTCCCAGGCTATAGTGGTCGTAAGGGGCAGCGATGACGAAGACGACTCACGTGCACCGCCGCCGAGTGCATCGCAAATTGGCCAACCATTCCGCATTCGCCTTCCGACAGCAGCAACTTTAATTTAATGAAATGCAAAATAATGCCAAGCAAATCAAGCAAAAAAACTGAAAACCAACTAAAATATTATAATAAAATTCGATGTATGCAAATGGCTTGCAAAATATGCAAATGCCAAAGAGAAAAAAGTAGGAAAATATAGAAAAACTAAAAAAAAAAAGGCCGGCGGCAACAACAATTTATTGGCGCTTTAACGCGTTTTTGCTGCGCTCCGCTGGCAATGAGGAATTTGGCGCCACCATTGGCCATGTCGTCGTCCGTGTCACAAAGTTGCCACCGCGGAATAACCCATCTCCCATCCGCTGAGATCCAAAATAAATATATTTATGAATATAGTATGAAACATAATTTCATTCTGCGGCCAGGTGAGTGCACTCCAGACTGTCAGTCAGTCGGGTCGTTTCACCTTTTCACTGCCGCAGCCAGGAAGAGCATGAAAAGCGGGGAATGTCAACTAATTACAAGTTAATCGAGATTAAAACACATTGGTGCCGCTCTAAAATCTAGCCAAATACTGCATTACCAACTAAAAGAAATAGAAAAAAAAAACAGAGAGAACGGCATAGCGGCTATACTAAAATAATATTTTTGCAATTTAATTCAAAATAGAAAAACAAATGGAAGTCTTGTTGATAGGTTGGACTCGAACTAATAGTACCCTTTGGGTAATTATGGTAAAATATATTTATATAAAGTAACACTCAGTTAAACATAGAACTGGAATTTAAATATTTACTAATTACTTACAATATTCCAACGCTTTAAGTTCTTTAACAAAAATATTGCATTGGCAATGTCTAAATATCACTCATACGCCTAGTGTTGGCTGTAAAATGATGAATTTAAATATATTAACACATAATATATTTAATATGATTTATTGCATATTTTTTGAAATATTTATATATTTTTTTTAAATATTTTAATAACAATGTACCATCATACCTCCTAGCTACCATCGCCGCACGAAAATAATCTATGAAAATTAGCCGAAAAACCGAATGTATGCCATTTTCCCCGCTTTTCTTGTTGCTGCGGTCGCGCTTTTCCTCCTCTTTAATTTTCAGAGTCAATTAAAAATTGTTAATTTTACTTATAATTTTAAGGTAGGCAAAAATGCAATGCGACGACGAGGACCGACGGCGAAATGCAAAAAAAAAAAAAAAGTAGCAATTAAAATTTTTGCGCGACTTTGTCACGTCGGCTAACAAAATAAAGGCGATGGGGTAAGTGAGAGGGAGGTGAGCGAGCGGGCGGATTTGATGGCGGCAAATTTGCCGTTGAATGAACCGCTATTGCCCATGGATCAGAATAGATAGTACGACGACGAGTCCCAGAGCACGGAGCACTTTTTGGCCTGCTCCACTGCAAGCGTAAAGATCGCGATATGGAAGGATAAAGCCGCTGATTGGAGATATATATATATATATAATTATAAAGTCAATTATATGGTATAGTGTATACATATAGTATCAAAAGGCATGAATGGAAATGGTTTGTTTACCTCATAACGCACTCGATTTCAGTTGAATTGGCTTCTAGAAACCCAGACACGAGGCAAGGCAAAATGAGGTGCAGCCAACTAATACGATTTCTTATTTATTATTTCAACCATGATAGAATTTTTAGATATTAATGACTGTTTAGTATATGTTTGCCATAACTATTTTGGATCGTCCTTTAGGTGAAAATATATATAGCAATTAAATTATTAATTAAATAATCAGCAGAGTATGAAATAAAGTAAATTTAAAGGGATTTCTGTCTTTTTCATTCCTAAAGTAGAAGGAATACTAAGTAGTTACTATATTTAATCAACCAGTTATTTTCTTTGGCATACATTTTTAACTGGCGTATTTAACTTTATTTTATGTTTGACAATCCCTTTAACACTTAGAAATATGATTATTTTCTGCACGAGTAACCATTAGTACGGATTTTTCTAGTTTCAACTTAAATCCGAAATATGAAAAATCGAAAAGAATTCCATCAAAGTGAAAATCGAAACAGTTCGAAATATTTTCCAAGATATCTCTGAAGCTGATCGGAATCGATGGGAATGTATATATATCTATGTATATATCGGCTGCCTCATTCCTTCAACTTATATATAAGCGTTTGCTTTCCCCTTTACCCGGCAGATGGCGGCAATCAGGGGAATGCCAAACTTCATTCACCTCAATGCCAATTACACGGCATGGACATTTTCAAAGCCCCCAGAAGTCCACCCACCGACCGCAATTCTTTTTTTGGCCAATTTCGCATTTGATTTTAATACACTTAAACGCAATCAATTTTATTGCTCTCGTTGCGGTTGCCTGTCGAATCGAATTCAATTTGATTTGCTTTTCAATGCGCCATGTTTTCTGTGGTTCTGTGGATGCGGATTTTGGTCTGGTCATGGATTCCGATTCCGATTCCGAGTCCAAGAATCCGCCCCGGGTCCACACCTGAACAATCCGTTTGAGACGAGACGAGATGTGGCAGGGAGAAACTTGTTTACAAGCTAAATGCGGCCAAATGTGGAATGTTACGAAAATGAAAATGTTGCTGCGTTCCATTCCATATGCACATGATCTGCGGATGATCATGATCTAATATATCTATATATGTACATATATATATATATATATCGCGACTTATGTGCTAACATAAAACAGATGACGAACGGCAGCTGTGACTGCCAATTTCGCCTCAAAAACAAAACTCGAAAAGGCTGATATCGTTTTACCCCAAAGTGCTCTTTCAAATTCCAATTTTTCAAAACAGATGCCATCCTCAGAGGGTAAGTAAAAGTATAATTCCTACTAATAAAAAGTAATAGGTTTACTTTTAATATTAACATTAATCTTAGGTTAAAGAACTTCTGAAAACCCTTAGCTTTTCAATAGGGTTTTTAGGTTTTGTCTTTTGGGTTCGGAAAATCATGTGCAGAGTAACAACATTTTGTAAACTAATTTGGTATTAGAAACTAACAAACCATTAAACTAAATGAAGATGAATTACTATCTTTGATTCATTTGATTTCCTCATGGATAGAGTTAATGTTATCGTAGGTTAACCCATTACCATTACGATTACCATGCCAAGTGCGGGCTGGCGACGACCCACCGACTTTTGCTGAACTTAGTCCAGCTTTGCCACTGCAACGGATGAGATCGCCATCAGAATGGCACGGAGATCGCAGATCTGGTTGCTCAGGGTGAGTAAATGAGATTTATGGCCCATTTTGCTAAGTGCCTCTGCTCGGTAAACAAACCGGTTGCAAGTGTAGGCTGTAGAGGATTGAGGGAAACACTCAAATAGGTCATGCATCTGTGGTTATACTAGATGTTACTCAGATCATTGTCGCATGCAAGTCAAGCGTTATCCAATAATCTACTATTACAGAGTATATAACACCGCGATATCGCACTTTCTTAGGTGTATCTACAGAGATTGCTTATCTTGTAGTTCCGTATACTATATAATATTATGTTTTTATAAACAATTCGGAATTTATAAATGGATCAATAGTATGTTTTCACATACTAGAATGAAATCTATAAATATTTGTCAAGAATATTAAAACTATCTGCTTGACGATGATTTGGTATGTTTTTCCCTGCATTTCGATTGCAATAAAATGGAAAACTGATGAATCTATCCCATAAAGGTCCCTTTTATATGAGGAACTAGAGAGTCTGAAAGAGAGATTATTTCAGAGTACTCTCTCCTCTTGTGGATCCATGATTAACTTTTTTTTTCGAGAGATAAACTTATGCTTTTACTGACCAAATATTTTCATATAAATAAATTTATAATCGTTTTTAAATCTAAAAAAATTAATTATTAATATTTCCTGAAGTTCAATTTCAATAAATAATGATTTAAAAAACCATATATAGATCAATAAAATAAAAAATATATACATAAACATACATACATACATGCACATATTATTTCCAGATGTTTCTTCTGGTGCTGTTGGTGACACTGGCGCCACCTGCGATCCCGGCCATCCGCTCTTCCCAGTCGCTGGCTCTCCTGCATGCTCGGGATCAGTGCGGCAGGGAGCTGACCTCTGCCCAGCGTCTTCATTTGGACAGAATGCAGTTCGAAGACGCTCCACACGTGCGTCACTATCTCCATTGCTTCTGGTCGCGTTTGCAACTCTGGCAAAATGCCTCCGGATTCCAGGCTCAGCGCATCGTCCAGAGTTTCGGGGGCGAGAGACGCCTCAATGTAGAGCAGGCGCTGCCCGTCATAAACGGTTGCAATGCAAAGACAAAGTCCCGGGGTTCAGGATCAGGATTGGGATTAGGATCCCAGGCAGCGGTCGACTGGTGTTTCCGGGCTTTTGTCTGTGTACTAAAAACACCAGTGGGCGAGTGGTACAAGCGGCACATGTCCGACGTCATTAATGGAAATGCTTAGAAATAGATCAATTCAATATATTTAAAAAAAAATTATAGGTTATGTTTATTTACGTACATATATATATAGTATTGTACAGTAATGATATAGTGTTGGCGGAAGTATTTTCCAGGGAGTTGAAAGCCAAAGTTTAGGGATAACAGAACTTTCGATATATAAATACCAAGTAAATGGTTCGAAACTTAGTTTCAAAAAGGCCGCCTGCTAAGGGGAAAGCCAGTGTGGCCAACATTAGGTTCGGTCAAAATTAATAACTTAGTAGGTTATTGCTGCAAAATTCGAAAATATGTTACAATAGAGCCAATCACACGCAGAGCCTGGACGATAGATTCGGAAAAGCAAGAACTATGAAAAGCGGTAAGCCACGTGACTTTGACCAATCAAAGGCAGCAGCCAGCGATGCAGATCTCCAAGGCCGAACTATCGAAAAGCCGCAAGAATCCGTCCAGGTAGATGACTGCCAGCAGGATGCCCAACAAAACCAACAGCATGACAAGCAAAAGCAAAACCAGGCGCAGGAAAAACAGAACTCAACTGCGGCTGACAACAACGATGCGGGCCAGGCCAATAAGGGCGGATCTGACAATGCCGGCAGTACCAGTCAAGACCAGGGTCAGGACCAGGATCAAGATGCGCCAAAGAAACGCTGTGCCAAATGCGGCAAAAAGCTGGGACTCACTGGTGGTTATCCTTGCCGCTGTGGCGGCATTTACTGCGCCGTCCACCGCTACAGCGACCGCCACGAGTGCAACTTCGACTACCGTGAAATGGGCGCCAGCGAGATCCGGCGCGATAATCCCCTCGTGGTGGCCAGCAAACTGCGGAAGCTCTAAGTTCATCCACAGTATATCATCCCAACCAAGGAGCTCAATCAAAACATTCAACATCAAAGCCATCAGCTTATTGTAATTATACCAGAAGTTGCATTTATTGGGAAGGTATATCTGCTTTTGTTGTTAAAAACCACACAAAACATGTACATATATATATAAATTTGTGATAATATATACTAGTCACAAATAATTCAAATCCGAGTTTAAACTTAAGTTCAGTTGGAAGCTCTTTCGCGAAGTGATCGATAACTGGAAGAGCTTTTTGCCGGAGTGGAAGCTAAGTTTGACTATCAGAAACTTCACATATGTAGCGCTGCAATTTCCGAATTTTCAAACCATTTGCATTGCTATATGTACATGTATAGGTAAGCAGACACTTTAGTATAACAAGGCAAGGAAGAGCATATCAGGGCTCCTTAATTTATGTATGTACATAATGCTCTGAGTGTACACTTTGAAGCGCTGTGTAATAAACTTTGTTAAATGTCTTATATCTTTGCAGTTAGTATACGAGTATAGCAGATAGGATGATATATTTCTGGAAAAGAAATGAACAGAAAATTACATTAACAAATTATATGAAATATATATGTATGTATATATACTTATGTAATTCTGGTAAATAATATTTTACAGTTTTTGAAATCTAAGGGCTCCCATTCTTTTTATAAGAAAACTACGATTAAAAGTCGTCGTTCCTAATCGCTTCACCTTGCTTTGAAATGTTTTGAAAATAAAATTTAGCGACGATTAGCAAACCTACTAAATTGTCCAGATTAAATCGGAGAATTAATTACAATTGAATAGATTAGAACATAATTTTCCAAATGAGACGTACTTTTTGGCCTTGGCATTGTAATTAGGCCATCAGTGAAACCAAAAGTCTTATCATCGTCGACAGGGTGGTGGTAAACGTGATCTACTTGACCTGAGATTCCACTTAATTACCTTATAGTATTACCTATCTCTATATATACCTAATCTCTGGAACACAGGCTTATCTGGGTTCACCTATAAAAATCGGTGCCGGAGCGATCGATCCATCAGTTTATTATTTCATCTCAAGCTAAACAAATCGAAATGTTTCTCGCGAAGATTGCCATCCTGTGCACTGTCCTTGTCCTGGTCAGTGGCAATGAAGAATATCCGACTTTCGGAGGCCCTAAGACACTTCAGGGCGAGGAATTGGCCAGGTCCCAGGAGACTCTGCAGAATTCACTGACTAAGCTAGCTGCTGGCGAGGGACCCCACTATCGGTAAGGACGAAAGCGATCTCGTTGAAAAAATGCCTCCGCCGTTTGTTTGCACAATTCGACAAGCATACCCGGTACCCGAAGGATATCAGGGCAAAAGGTAGAAGGATGTGATTTAAACCCTATAAAGTGATTGTATTGTCAGTCAGGATCAAAAGCTGGGATGATTTACCCTTGTACACCTGCAATTTCGTCAAATTGTCCATCCGCCTTTCCGTATAAACATAGAGCTCTAAGGAACTATAAAAGCTATACAGTTGGGATTAAGCTTGCAACCTGTAACACCGTTAATATTAAAGTACAACTTTTAATTTAAACAATAACAATCGATTTACCGTTCACAATAATTATCGATTTACTTTTCACAATTGATTAGGAAATAATTGCCTATTTCTTTCCAGCATCTCCAAGGTCATTTCGGCATTCACTCAAGTGGTTGCTGGCAGCAGGGATGTTTACACTGTAGAGCTAATCGACAGCAGTGGTGCCACCAAGGTGTGCGAGGTGGACATTTGGTCCCGAACTTGGCTTCCTAACGGTATCCAGGTGACCTTCAAGTGCCCCAACGAACCAGAACTAGTTAGGAGTCATTCATAAATGTTTTTGAATATCGATTTGTTATTGATTTATCCCAAATAAATGTTATTACCTATAATCAATTCTTTTTGCCTTGGTGCTGTAGCTAAGTGATCAGTGAAACCAAAAGTCTTATCATCCTGAAAAGAGCGGTAAACATGAACTACTTTATTTCTATCAAATCTCTGGAACAAAGGCTTATCTGAGTTCTATAATGGTCGAAGCTAATGCATCAATCTATCAGTATTTCATCTCAAGCTAAATCATTCAAATTGTTTCCCGCGAAGATTGTTATCCTGTGGATAACTTGAACGATTCCCAACCACAATACCTCTTCAGTGCCCGGACTTAATGAAAGCTTTATAACCATTTAAAATGACGAGATAAGCTGTGAAGTTCATCATACAGCTTTTCTTATTATTTTTTCTTAATGGGATATTAAATACTAGTAGAAACTAGATTGGTTTCTTTTTTAATTCGATTAACTTCGATTTGATTATTTTCATAATCTCAATTAGGGTGAAATTTACTTATAAAATCAATGTTTTTCATGATGTTTCTTACCAGTGTAGTTCAAAAGACAAATTTGTATCCAGCATCTTCCGGATCCTTTTGGGAACGTATCAGACAAATTCTTTCTTGATATTGACAAAGAAATGACAGGTCTATGGTCCATGGTGATGTAATTTCAAAAAAACGATGGCATACATAAATATATCTGATTATTAATTATTATATTCCAAATAAAAGTTTTTGTATTACTTAAATCGATCGCTATGTGTATAATGTTTTCTATTTATTTAGAAGATTTCCACTTAATTAAAATTGCACAAATTCATTGATAACACCGGGTCAAAATACTATGACAGCCACATTTTCCAGATTTCGTTAGACTTATCAGCGAGATTCTCTATTCATCCATGACCTATCACATCATTAAATCATCATAAAAAATGTGTGTTTGTAAAACTGAGCCTGATGTTTCTGTTGCTCATCTTAGCCAACCAAGGAAAAAATTTAAAATTTTAATAATTTTATAAAAATAATTTATTTATTTAAGCAATTTACACATACATTTATACCAGATTAAATTGTTGATAAAAGCAGTCCATTAATCATAATAATGAAGTGAGGTGAACTGACATATTTTGAGAAGTACGAAATTATGATCTTTAAATAATTTCAAATATTATTATCAATATTGGTGAGATATTAGATAGATGACAATAATTTTTTTAATAATTTGTAATAAAAAAATATTTAAACTATTTTTGGTACAAAGTGTGTATACATATACTGATAAGTTGACATATATCTTTAATAATTTAAATGAAAATATTTTAATTTATTAAATGGTCAGGTGAGTAGAGGAAAATGTGACAAGTAATGCAAAAATATTTTAAAATAAAAATCAGAGTATAAAAAATTGTTAAATACAGTGGCCACTTAAAAAACGACAAAAAGATCATCAAGTTTTTAATGAAATGTCTATATAGTTATATTAAAAATTTTAGAATTTAGACTTAGACTTTAACATTGAATTAATTTCATTAAGATAAAAAGAGTCCTAAAATACTAGCAAAGTTTGCAACTGATTTGATCTGATAATTGACCATATTATATAGTATAAATATTATTATTGACAATAATTATGGATTCTTAGGAATGGTATTTTGAGATACAATATTTTTTAAATTCTTTTAAATTTCATAAATAAGAATTATTATCAAAAATAAAACCTTTTCTTAGAATGCAACTGGATCATAAATTCCTGGCAATGCGTGCATCTGATATATCATATAGATTATAGATCATAGATCAAGTTTATATTATAGTCATTTGAGAATGTTTTTAAGTAAGGGAAGTAGATTTCGAATCTACTTGAAGAGGAGCGGCAGCCGGCAGTGGGGCTCCGTCTCGCCGGGGTTGTCCGAGTACAGGGAGATTGTCTTGGCACTAAGATCGAAGATGCCCACCGCAATGGTCTTAACCACCTCGTCGCAGCTGTTATTCTCCCGCCAGACGCAGTAGACGCCGCCAGAAACATCGCCCAGCATATGGCGCACATCCTGCTCACTCATCGGTGGCTTGTAGCTGCCGAAGGTCCGCATCCGCGAGATGCTCGAGTCGATCATCAGATCGTTGGCCTGATCCTGCCGGATACGATCGAATCTGCAATTTCAGTTTATTATAAAAACTATATCACCGGATTTACATTCACTCACTGATTGACATGGTAGTTATGCTCGCCCAACGGCACTTCCTTGATGCTCAAATGGGATTCGTTTTTGCGCTCTGGCGAGGGAGCCATCTCCACATTGTAGCACATCTGGCGCGGATCACTGTTGGGTTAGAAAGATACTAGCTTAGGGGGAAATCTGTCATCGAATGAAAATTTTACATACGCCAGGAAGGTAAAGTTGATGGAGCAGGCATCTGCAGCTCCCACTCCCGCATCCTTGAGCACCCGGAAGGCATCGTCCACATTGCTGGTGGCCAATAAGGCTCGGGTGATGAAGTGTCGAGCTTAAGGGGTAAATCAAATTAAAATGGTTTAATATTTTATTTAAAAAGATCGTCGAAAACGTATCAAAAATGGCTGATTATTCAAAGAAATGTCTAAGAACTTAAGTTAAAGGCTGTCTGGTAGAAAGATATTCACTTTCTTGATTGCAAAATTATGCACAGCTGAAGGCGATGGTTATTTATAATAAATTTATAACTTTCTTTTTAAAGAAATTACAATTTTTATATTTTTTTTTTTATGGAGAATCCAGTGGAAAATTTTCTGCAAATCAACCTAGACATTTTCTTAAGGCTATACATCTTTACCTACAAAACTTTGACTTGGAACTTTAGATTGGAGGAGTGTGGATTTTGAAATTACCAAATCAACCTAATAAACCTCTAAACTTAACAATTACTAAATATTCAGTTAAAAGTCTAGTTATATAAGTCATTATCTAATGAGAGCTAGTAACCAAATTGCTAAAGATTTCCCTAGACTAAAGACCATTTCCAGCCCACTTACGGGTCTTGCCGCTCCTCAAAAGCTCTGCACTGATGGTGTTGATGCTAAAGACCAGTCCGTGGTGGTTTTGGCTCATGGTGTAGCCGGGCAGGTGTCCGGCGTAGCACAAGGACATAAAGTGCTCCTCCTTGACGTTGTACTTGCCCTGCGGCTTGTCGCTGATGATGTGGGCAACCACGAAATAGTAATGGTTGAGAGTCTCCGTCAGAGCATCCTCGGTGTGGCCCAGCAGGCGCTAACCAAGAATAGTTAAATAAATATATATATATATAGTTTAAATGGGAAAAACTTACGCAATTCTTCTGGTTGACAATGATCGTGGAACAGCCGGTGGGTTGGTTCTTGCTACGCGGCTGATGCTTCAGTGCCTGCGGCAGAATCTCGTCCAGATGCAGTAAAAATAGCTGAAATCGACGAAGGAAAACCAAAGTGAATCTATATTTCATATGATATCAATTATTTTTAATCACTCGAAGACAGGTGCACGCTTAACTGCATCATATTTTTTTAATATGCTGAGAAGATAGTATAACCAGTTTTTCTTAATGCATAAAATCACTTAATAAAGTTGCAGTTTAAAGTTAAGTTCAATGCCATTTTGATAATTATTTAAAACATTTTAGAAATATTTTTAAAGAATCTCCAATTAAGTCTGCTACTATTGTTAGCTACAAAGTGTAACAAAGCCAAGTTATATAATGGCTCATTAGCTTGGCAATAAATTTAAGATAATCAAGTACTTATCTCAGGTGTATCGAAGCCATTAGCCATCGATTTATATATCTTTTTAGCCCCCTGCTAATAAGGCTTAAACTGTAGTCTAGCTGCTATAGTAAAAACAATAATATCCCACTCATAAAATCGTCAGTTTTAATGCACTCATAATGCGACTAATTTGAATTATAAAATGCCACCACCACCACCTGAGCGCCATAATGATCAATCCAACCAAGACGAAGGCGACGCACCGTGACCATAACCATCGCCATAGCCATAGCCAGATTCTATGTAGACTTGGCCAAGGTCGGTGCGATTTTTGCGTGCAATTAATTGGCAACGGAGTCTTAGAGCGCAGAAATTATAACACATTATCGAACCGGCGGTCCCATGCCACATTATAACTATATGATCCGATCTCCATCTGTCCATCTGGCGGATTAGCTACTTAGTCATGCTAATAAGCCCGTTTAATTGATGGCCTCCACTCCGCACACTTGGCCTATTCCCATTCCCAAATTCAATCCCACTCCCACTTTCCAATTTAAATTCAAAGATTCGAATCCCAATTCAGAGAAGCCAACCAAGGGTTCGTCACCGTCTTTCGCCGGCTTCTCTTGACGGCTTTTTATTTATATGTGCGCCTTGACCAATGACAAATTGGCTTATGAAATAAGAAAACAACCATCGAAGCTGGGAGATACCCTTTTATTTTGTGAGAAAAAAGTTGGATTTGTAAAAGGAAAATATTAAGCCTTGATTATTATAAGATTTAAATTATAATCCCAAAGAAAACATAATGATAAAAGATATTCAAAATGTTTCAACTGAAAATCTATCCAAAATATTCAAAGAAAGTAAAGAAAGAGAATGGTCTGCTTAACGAATCTTAGAAAGAATTGCCTTTAAAGAGAAAGGCCTTCCGATGCAAACTTTAAGAAAAAGTAAAGTTATAGATTAATGATTATAGATCTCTCACGAAACTGTCATCATAGCTAGCATAGTTAGTGTTGCTGGCCCATAAAAGGGTATGGGCCAAGACAGTCCCCTGGCAAAAAGACCGGCTGTCTATCACATCATTCTCGAGACCCCAGCAACGGAACTAGTTCAATGTCTGCGCTCTGCACGGTCACCATTTCGAGTTCTGTTTGCGCACAGTGGGCACAGGCTAAGCGCAACGTTTCTTAATTACCGAACTCGCATTGTGTTACCCACACAATAGTCTAGGTTATGCAATCGAATTAATTAAAACCAAATTAAAAACGAACCATCTAATTGCATGGCCCTGATTGATTAGATAACAACACCCGATCGATCCCATAAATATGCAACAGGCCAGCCAGTTGGCATGCACCGTAGGCAATTAACACTGTACATGGGGCAGTGCACTCGCAAATTGCATTTAATGTTGTCATTGGGGTTACAATTGCCAACTAGCAACTGCAACTGCAACTGCCACTGGCAACACGCAACACGAAACTTGGGGTTTTTGGTTTTCAGTTTAGATACTACTTAAGCCTATGGATAGGTGTCTACCCCCCATACCGTTATAGCCTTACTATATAGCATTAGATCATTAGAACCCACTCCCACGACAACGGGCCTTGCTGGGCGCGATTATTATTATTGTTCAATTACAATATTTACAATATTTAACCCAAAGCCCGGGCAATTATGTGTATTCGTTTTAATGGCCATTTAATTGTATTGTTTTATATATTATTTGCTAAAATGCTTATTAGCCGGCCGTTTACAGTTGGACGCTAATTAGCTGACTTGACTCACCTTATGGAATTCCACCTCCGCACCATCGGCCACGCCCTCCAATTCGCGAATATATTGCGGGAAGCTGTCCTTCACCGATCCCAGGGTCTCATTATAGATTTGCCCTGTAAAATGGAAAAATGGAAATCGAAGTGTTCATAAATAGACCATCGCATGAATCATTGTGAATCTGAGAGATACTCACTGCCTTTTGGGGATTGGTAGAGCGGCAAGTAGGTCTCGTTGAGAGGCTTCGATAAGATCAGAAAGTTCTTGATCATCGAACCGAATGTCCGTCCCTGCAATTAACAATTTGTATATTATTATTATAAATATTACTCCATCGATTAAATGCTTTCCCATTTGGACACGATCTCGAATAGCTTGGGGTGTTGTGTTTGCCAAATGGAAGACAACAACAACAACAACGAGATCGAAAACAGACACAGAAACATAATCGATCACGACCGATCGCAGTGTAAACAAAGCCACCAACTAAGAAACAAAAAATATGAATAATTATACGAATTAAACAATATATTCAATATGCCGCTGTCCGTTGCAAAGTGTTTTTGACTTGGGGTAACCTTTTTGGGTGGGTCCCGAACATGGCGACATCAATGGACACGGATGCGGACGCACGTCCATCAAAAAATACAAAATATTTATTACCAACAAGTGGACACAAAAAAAAAACCTATTCAGCAGAAAGTTCCCTGAACTGCAGAGGTAAAAACTGTATATCATAAAAGGCTTTTATTTTTATTTTATTTGGGCAATAAATGGGAGATCAATTATTGCAATAAAAACTTCTCACATTAAAATGGATCTTCACTCAATTATAAATATTTAAAGCTTGCTCAAAAAATAAACTATTAAAATTATTAAGGTCTTTTCAATACTCTTAACAATGTATTTAGTTTTAAAAATAAATTAAATAAAACGTTGGAAGTTACTTAGTAATGAGACATTATAAAATGAAACTAACTTTAGATAGTTTTATTGTTTTCTAAGTGTAGCAGATATTCTTGGCCCGATTGGTAGGAGCAAAAAGACAGTGAGACAAAGCCACGAGAATCACGAATCTGCATTAGTAAACAGCGTCTGGGTCCGGGAGTTGACAAACGATCGAGGTCTTTGGGGCTAGCTAGCACTAAGATATAGCCCAACTGGCTTAACTTTATAGCGACCGCAATCTAGATAAAGATGTGGGCTATCAGGTAAGTACCCCTATCTATATATGACCCACTGGGAGTGCAAATTCTGCTAAATTTCTATACTTTTATATCTCGGGGAGTACTGTTTGGAAGTATTCTCAAAATCAAGATAAAGCTAAATTTTTTGATGGTTATTATGATGACCTGAAATACATTTGATATATCATATTATAATAAAATATTTGATATAGAACTATCTTCGTGGGAATAGTGCTCTACATAAATGTAACTTTTTAATTGGGTTCAGATAAAGCTCTATTTTGTGGTTAATACAACCAACTAATTGCGTGATTCGCACGCACTTTTTTTACAAATTCTCAAGGAAATATTTTATGTTTGTAATATAAGATGGGGTTTAAAATTTGTAAAGAATTATAATAAAACTATAGCAAATGCTAAAGTAAAAATCCTGCTTTCACTATATTAAATATTTTTGATTCTCATTAGATTATTTTTAGATATCTTGATATATAGCCTAGACCTCTTGGTCTAATAATTATTAGGTAATTCATATTAGAACTTTAAATTTATATATTCGTAAAAACATTTTTGGAGCTATTAAGCATATAGTAGTTATACATATAGTAAAATAGTATAGTAGTAATGAAAATTAGATTTCGTATTTTAGCACATATTTAAAGAACTTCACCCGTACTTCCCCGAAATGAACTTCTAACAATAAACCGAAGACATAAAAAATTCAACTAACGTGAACGCCACTCACAAGGCGAACGAAAGTTCTTAAAGGTCAGTTGAGTTTTGGTAGAAGGAGTAAGTACTTACCATATCAAAGCCCACTTCATAGTGGGTGCCCCTGGTGTAGAGGACAGGCACCGCCTGGCGACGTGGCAGGATCTTTCCGGAGGACATGGTCACTTATAGATCTGAAATGGGTTCGGAATACGGAGTTTGGGGTTCTCCTAAGGGAAACAACTTCTTATCGCGGGGGTAAAGCAGAGAAGAGCTCGCTGCACTTAGCAATATAAAAAAAAGAAGACAGATTCGCGTCGTGCCTTGCCGTTTGTATGATAACGGAACGTGAGTTGTAAACAAAAAAAAACAGTAAGGTTTCGATTCAGAACGCCAGCTGATTTGTTCTAGAGCGCTTGAAGGCAGAATTCAAACTGATTTGTTTTGTTTTGGCGCCGACGCAGGCAGGCGTCGCAGTCGCCGCGCTGCCACGGCCGCTGCTGGCGTGGGCAGCGACCGCAGCTACGGCGTTATCGATTACGGCCGTTAGTTAACCCATTAACAACCGCAAACGCCTCGAACTCGTCTCGTGTTAAACGTCACAGACAAGCTGATGCAACTTTGCACTCATCATTATGATTTATCTTAACTTCTAAAAATTAATAAGAAATTATTTTAAAAATTATGTTACGTGATGAAGTATATGTATATAAATTCTATATAAATTCTTCGATTCTTTTGGCTTACACCTAAAGATTACGAAATATAAGAACTATTGAGGGTAAAATAAAGTAAAAAAGTTCTATCAAAATGTAAAAATAGTCTTTGGTTAATTAAAAAGCTTTGCAGTAAGATAAGAAGTCAAACTTATCTAATAACATACCTAATAGTCATTTGACCAAATGAAATCTATACAGTTATTATTATTCAGCTATTTTCGAAATGTTTTATTCAACATTTCCTTTAGATTCTACTGAATCATAGTCAAGGGTTAAAAGGGCTGGCTATTGGCACTTTCAGATACTATTAACCGTAGATTATTCTACGATTATTAAGGTTCTTTTCGTTTATTAAACGTTTGGTTCTGTCGAAAAAGATCAGATTTTAGACTGCTTTCGGCTGGTAAGTCAATTAGTTGGCGTTCTAATAGGCTTTACGACTTAATGGAACGGTTTTGCTTTATTTTGTTAGCCTCTTCTTTTGCGTATACGTAATATATGTGTTAGAAATACCCGATATATACCCCGATACCCCGATTGCCGATACACCCCCCTTCCATCCATCCAACTGACCATGAATATTTTCGCTTTTGTTTGCCTTCCATATAAACAAGTTTTCGATTGTTTCGCCGTTTTCTTTTCTATCTATTTATTGCTTTTTAACTGGGTTGGATTTAGCATTCCCCGATTTTTCTGGTTACTGTTTAATTTCCACGCCAACTGAAAAACGTGTGAACCGATTTTCAATATTCATGAGCGGATTATTAGAGATTGGTTTTGGGGATCAGAACTTTCAGACATTCAATCGAACAAATTAAATGCAAATAAATTTCATTTAAGCAGAAGGTTCTCAAAAATTATATTCAATTCATAAGTATGCCACTTGCATTTTAATTATTTCGGTTTTTTTTATATGAGAGAGCTTTCAAAGTGGCCTATAATCGCGACGATAATGATAATGATACTGATAATGATGATCATGATAATGATGCCGCGGCACAACTTTCTCAGTATCTTTTTACCCATTAGCATCACAATTAAATGTTGTGTTATTTTCTATTTTTTCTATTTATTTCGTGGCGAAAAACATAGAGCGGCGCGAAACTAAGAAATTCCGATATTATATAAGTGAGAATATCGATTATGAATGAATGTATCTCAATCCATAGAGACACTGTAATTTCCCCGATAGCTTCGATAGCTCGAACAGATCAGGTCGCTTTCATTATTCAATTTGTGTTAACTTTCGTTCGTTGTTGTTGATGTTGTTGTCGTCGCCGATTGGCTGGCGGCTAGAAAAATATATGCATCGCATTACAATAATAATGAAAACAAAAGTTAAAACAAATAAAACCCACAAAAAACCGCTAGGTTTAGAGAGAGACAGATGGAGAGAGTGAGATGATGTCGAACGGTGATTGCAAGAAAATGACATTTTACAGTTGCCCCTACACCCTACATGCTTTTAAGGGCATGCGGATTACCTAGAAACGTTGGTAATACTCTATGGAAAGTCTTGAACGGTTCTCCCTTTTAAGATTGTACAACAAACTATTTTATGATTATTTTTAAGTTTCAGGCTTCGATATGATAAGTAAGATACTTTTTTCTAAAGATCATAATAAAACTGCACAATATGTTTGCCTATTTGATATTACTTGTCTTTAGTAATAACCTAACGTTACTTCTTATGTCCAGAATATTTCCAATGGTATTGATCACAAAGAAAACATTGGAAAACTTTAAGACAAAGAATTTCTTAGTTCCTAGAAGCAAATGGATAAGAAGGATGTATAACCTATATTTGCAGGGGCGATTAAAATAATTATTATGTAACGTAATGGAAACTTTATTTCTAATCTGTTTAACAAATATCATTCAAATGCGTTTTAATTTCTCTATTTTGTCACTTAGTAAAGAGTTCAGTTTTTTGTTCGGAACATTCTTCCAACGGAAAAATACCATAAAAAATGTAACTTTACTTACATTTTGTAAAATGTAATATTCTTATGTAATTGCAATGTAATAAGAATCTAAAGTTTTTAAACAAAAAAGTGTAATAATTTTTCACCCGATTTCATAATGAACATACGCATAACGTATATAGTATAAAAGGGCATTTGAAGGTCGACCCAGGGCAAAGTGCCACACATTTCACCCGAGGGCTCGTAGGTCAAGATGCTTGTCGTCGCCAGCATTGGCTGTTGTATATAAATTTTGACAAAAGAAAGACTTCGGTTTAAACCAATTTTGGCAAGGCGGCGGCCATAAGGTGATGACCACTCGACGCGACGACATGGCATGGATTAGCTCCCAGTACCACATGCAGCAGCATCTTCTTGTGCTTCTGATCTGTGTGATTCCCCTCGTTGCTGGATTTGGCAATGAGTATGTCCACATCAAGGTGCACGTGCCCAAGGAGGAGTCGGCGGCAGAGGAGACACCACACAAGGTTATCCATCATTACCACCATCATCCGCATCCGCACCAGTTGCAGCGAAATCGCGGTCGTGCCCGTCCCAAGCCAAGTCCGCTGCTGGAGAGTGTGATTCTTTCGGATTTGGACAAGCCCCTGCACATGAGCGAGCACGCCGACTATCTAAATCACGCCAAGGAGCTGGCTGATCATCTTACAGAAACCTATGCCAAGAAGCCACCTCCGCCACCACCACCTAAGAAAAAGGTGAACACGTATACCATCATCGAGGAGCAGCACAGGCCACACGCCTATGACTACGAGGATCACCATGATCACGGTGTGGAGACGTATCGGGTGATTGAATCGCGACCCAAGCCACAACACCATCATCACCATCACCATCCCGAAGAGGAGGAAGAGGAGGAGGATGTGGGCTATCACTATCCGAGCGGGGGAAAGCACAGCCACAACCACAATCATCACTCCTTTGGTATTGGAGCGTATGCGGAACCAGCTCCCGTCGAGGAGCACGTAGAACAGGAGTCGGACACGGGCTATAACTACTCCCCACCCAGTCACTCCTACATCCCGCCTAGCCACAGCCATGCCTATCGCAACTCCAAGTCCAACCGAGCACCGGCTTATACCCTTGAAGCCCCTCAAGAGTCCTCCTACGGCTATGATTACTCTAGACCTTCATCTGGAAGTAGCAGTGACTTCCGGCCATCCGTTCAGGTGCCATCAAGCGATCCATACGGCGAGGAAGAGCCAGCTGACACCTATGGACCTCCACCACCATTAACCACAAGGCGTCGCCGGCCATCCCAATCCGTTGTGGATTGGCCCGAATCCAAGGGATTCAATAGTGCCGCTGCAGAAACATATAGCGGAGTCGATAGCTACAATGTGGGTCATGTCCAAGGCTACGGATCTAGTAGCTATCAGTACAGTGGGCCCTATCTGTAGGTGGATCAACACCTCGCCTAATCTAAGATCCTATTTATTGAATTTTTTTTGTAGTATTGTAAGTTAATAGAATCAGTTTTAAGATCAGAGTGATAAATCAATAAAAGTGTATATTCACTGAAAAAATGCTTTTAATTTTTGTGAGATATTTTTTTTAGGTATTTAAATTAATATTTCAGGTTTTTATTTATATTCAATTATTGTAACTTCAAGATATATATGTAATGTACTTATAAATATTGTTATTTTTAGAATATTATATATTATATTTAAAGACCTCTGGAAACTATATTTCCGAGCTCTTCGACCTCGCTTATAAGCCATAATAACCACTTGATCTGGTAATAAATAAGCAAATAGTTTTCCATTTGATGAAAAGTTGGTGTATAAAAAAGAGACTGTTTGTTACAAAAATTTGATCTTGAATTCGCAAATAATTTAATTCAATCACTTAATAATTATATATTTTATTGATACGATTGCAAAATGCACTAATTTATGTTCCTGATTACAACATTAAATACCGGTTCACTTAGTAATATGTTCATATTTAAGCACCTTACTAAGTGCAATTATCCTCTAGCTAAAAGCCTTCTACCTTTAAAACTTAAACATTTTCTAGTAAGTGCTACTTACTAAAACAAACTAGATTTGCATTTTGATCTAAATATTGAACTTCTTTGTACTTAATACTCCATTATTACTCTCAGTGTTCAAGAGAAACTCACTTAGACTAATGGAATTAAGCTATTGATGGCCCATCCAAAGAGAGATCAGAAGTCGGGATAAGCTTGTTCAGTCTGGAACACCACAGACCCCCGACCAGTCCACGATGAGCGGCCATTTGGGTCGGGTCCTGCAGTTCCACCTGCGGCTCTACCAGGTGCTCGGCTTCCATGGACTGCCCCTGCCTGGTGACGTCAATCCGGACAGAATCAGAAGGCAGCTGATGGCGTGGAGTTTGTTTCTCCTGATCGCGCTGAGTGTCCTGATTATGTTTTGCCTATTCAGCAGCGAAGAGTTCCTTTATCGTGGCGATATGTTCGGCTGCGTAAATGATGCACTAAAATATGCATTCGCCGAGTTGGCAGTGGTGGCCATTTATGTGGAGACGCTGAGCAGTCAAAGGCATTTGGCCAACTTCTGGTGGCTTCACCACAAGCTAGGGGGTCAGAAAGTGGGCTCAGGGAGCTTAAAAAGTGAGTGCCAGCAATACCGGCGCTATCTTTTATCTTTGTACATAATGATGGGATCCGAGTTGCTACTCCATTTGGTAATGTGGCAAGTGCAACCGCTGTCCCATCACATGCTTCTGTTTTGGTGCACCTACGAACCGATCGTCTGCCTCACATACATGAGAAATGTGCAATTTGTCATGCATTTGGAGCTGCTTAGGGAGCAGCTTACTTCCTTGGAGCGAGAATTGGGCCTCCTCGCGGAGTATTCGCGTTTCGCCAGCGAAACGGGAAGGAGTTTTCGTGGCTTTGAGAGTTTCCTACGCCGCAGGCTACTGCAGAAACAGCGCATCTATAGCGATGTCTATGACATGCTCAAATGTTTCCAGGGCGCCTTTAACTACTCCATCCTGGCTGTACTGCTCACTATCAACATCCGCATAGCTGTGGACTGCTACTTTATGTACTACACCGTCTACAATAATGTGCCCAATATAGGTGAGTTGGTGGTATTATGTATATAAAATATAACATAATTTATGTTTCTAAAGATTACTATTTGCTCTTGCCCGCCTTGCTGGAAATTCCCGCCCTGATATACGCCTCGCAAAGCTGCATGGTCATTGTCCCCAGGATTGCCCATCAGTTGCACAATATAGTCACTGATTCTGGCTGTTGCAGCTGCCCTGATCTTTCCCTGCAGGTAGGCTTCTGGTTTCTAGTTTGAATATATCACTTTTACGTAAATCCTTTGGCAGATTCAAAACTTTTCCCTGCAACTGCTGCATCAGCCGATTCGAATCGATTGCTTGGGCCTAACTATCTTGGATTGCAGTCTTCTTACAAGGGTAAGTGCAGGGGACTACCATCGAAGACTCCACGGCTTAGACCCTTTTCCTTTGTCCTTGCAGATCGCTTGTTCAGTGGGCACCTACATGATCTACACCATCCAATTTATACCGAAGTTCAGTTATCAGTACATGTAGGAATACATCCCTATGTTACCTATATAATTGGCAAGGATTCTTATAGATAAGTCAACTAGATGGTGCTAAACATATCGCAAATCAAATACATTTGAGTATGTCCTTGAAACTTCTAGAAATTCAAAAAATGTGATTTCTTTCTTACATGTTTTTTGAATCTCTACAAGTTTCAGCCACAACCCAAATCGGTATGTATCTTGGGTTTACATATTAAAGCTTTGTTATATTCATAAAATTATACGTAATTACATAAGTGTATTTATTTCTATGTATATCTTAAACCAAAGGTAGGGCCTGGGTGTCACAAGCGATCAGTATTCCGTTAAGCGGATTCCTTAGTTATTTATTTACAAGTATACCTTGGCTGGCGGCTGGACGGGCGCTGGAGAAGGAGGAGGTGGAGGAGGAGCAGTTGGTGCCCACCAAACGTTGTGCCGACGTTGCCCTATACAAGTTTACATACTGAGATTATCCCCTCCATTGCCATCGCATTTGTATTTTTTCTTTTTGATTTTTCGTAAGATACTCGAACATAAAACATAGATATTAAAGTATAGGTAAAGTACTAGCTTCTGGCTCACAATATGTGTCACATATAAGACCCCGGGGACTACAGACTACGGACTAATGCAGGGAATATGGGTGATGCAGAACGATTGACTTCAGTTGCTTGGCCTAATCGTACTCATGGCTTGATTCCCGCTTCGCAATCAGGTTCTCGCGCTCATCGTCGTTGCCCTCGATGATGGTGATTCCGCCAGAGCCGCTGCCATGATTTCGATTTAGCTGCTTCACACGGTGTACCGTCTCCGTGAGGCCGGACTCGGTGAGCACCTCCACCTCGTCGTCGTCCTCGTCTTCGTCCGGCACGGTGAAATATGGATGCGAAGATACCGGACGGAATTTGTAGCCCGTAAGCACAAAGAACACGTATGTGGCCATCTCACGGAACATCTCGTCTAGCCAGGCGTACTGGAACACCACCGTCATCTGCAGCAGGTCGACGATGATCCGCGTAAAGTAGATGTAGCACACGATCATGATGTAGAACTGACGGAAGAGTTTCAGCTTGCGCAAATTGATAGCCGCCTTGCCATCTGTCGCGGAGGCCTCGTGCAGGTGCCGGATGGACCATACAATCGGGAACAGGATGGCACCGCAGCACAGCAGATCCACAAAGAAGAAAATGTTATGCCAAGTGCGGAATTCGGCGTCACTCTGGTCAGATTCGTCTGTTATTATTTGAGCCACGTTGGCTAGAACCTACAAGACAAAACGAAAGAAACGTTATCAAGTTTACTTAACGATATTAGTTATCGTGATTGTCTCGCCATCATACATATATATAATCTGACCCAAACTGCAAAACCATTTAATTACTATTATTACCAACGTTGGACCTATTTTTATACCCGTTACTCGTAGAGTAAAAGGGTATACTAGATTCGTTGAAAAGTATGTAACAGATAGAAGGAAGCTTTTGCGACCCTATAAAGTATATATATTCTTGATCAGGATCAATAGCGAAGTCGATTGAGCCATGTCCGTCTGTCCGTCCGTCCGTCCGTCCGTCCGTCCGTCCGTATGAACGCTGAGATCTCAGGAACTACAACAGATACAAAGTTGAGATTAACCATGAAAATTCTTGAGGTCCCGGGACAGCGCAAGTTTATTACAGCATCCTGCCACGCCCACTCTAACGCCCACAAATCGCAAAAAACTAAAATTGCTGAAATCTCAGGAACTATTGTAGATAGAAAGTTGAAATTCAGAAAGTATAATCTTTAGATGACAGCGAATTTTATAGTGCTACTACTATCCGGCCACACCCACCCATACGCCCACAAGGCTCAAAAGACGGTTTTCGGATTTTCTAGAAAAGCTGATATCTCGGTAACTATAAGACATAGAATGTTTGGATCAAGCATGTATGTTTCTATGATGCTCCCAATGCGAATTGTTTTTTTCCGATCACTCCACGCCCACTCTAACGCCCACAAAACCCGAAAAACCAAAAATGCAAAAATCTCGAAAACTATAAAAGCTACACAATTTTGCTTAGGAACACGCATTAAGGAGATGCCTCTGCAACTTGCCACGAAGTTGCATCCGGCCACGCCCACTCTAACGCCCACAAACCGCGGAAAACTGTGGAGTCTATAATATTATTATGAATGCCTTCGTTTGACCTTGTGTAACTTATTTCTGTTAATATCTATCGATTTACAAAAGATTTTTCAAATCGGAACATTATTTCGCAATTTATGAAGAAATTAAGGTTATAAGGCCTCACATGGGCAGTGACGTCACTATAAGCATACTCAACATACTTCCTCTGACAATAGGTGGCGCCTTGTGAATTTCCACTAGCAAAATTAATATTTTAAAGTTGTGTAAAACAGTAACGGGTATCTTATAGTCGCGGCACTCGACTATAGCGTTTCCTCTTGTTTTGTTTAGTTTCCGCCCATAATTATTGGTTCTATGGTAAAAGGTTTTTCCTGTTTGGTTAAACTTTGTTACTTGCAAAGGTTGTTGGTGTTTATCATTTTTGAACGCTTTTTAGTATAGGAATTACCCTATCTGTATTTATGACAAACAAGTCTTAATTCACCGTAACCGTGACCAAATCAGTCATGACTGCCTCGAAATAAAAAAATCTTTAATTTAAGCATTTGATGACTAATAAATATGTTCCAATTATTTGAAAATGTAGGCACAAAACTATTTCTAAATAATAATTGAAAGCCCAAAAACCAGCGAACAATGCAACACTCACCTGCAGCGGAATCACAATCATGAAAATCTTCTTATCCTTGTCAGAAAGAATGTGCTTAATGAAAGTCCAGCCAGTGCCAATCAGCACGATGGTGATGAAGAGAACGGCGCCCTTGAGCAGGTGGGCAATGTAGTAGAGAATGGCCCAAGTCTCAACGTGCTCGCCTCGTTTCTCGATGAAGTGATAATTGATCGAGTGGAACATCAGCGAAAGAGACTTAAGAAACACCAGCACGGCCATCAAATAGTGAATTTTGTACACAGTATGCCTGCCACAAAGGATACATATTTGTTAATTTCACTAACGCAAGGTTTTCCAGCTCCAACTCACTTGCTCTTTTTCAAAATGAAAACCCAGAAGAGACCGGAGAGAAAGAATAGCAGACTCATCATGAAGTACAAGGCTGGCAACGGCATCTCTCCAGCTGATAAATAGTTTCCATTGTTGTTCTCCTCAATGTCCACCTAAAACAAAATTATTCATTAGCTTGACGTGGTATCGCTTTACTGCTACTTACATTGAAGGACATAATCCTGGAGCTGTGATAATTGGGGCAGGCGTGGAAGTAAAGGTTATACAGGCCCTCATCGCGGGGGTTAGTCACCAGCATGGAAAAGTTAAAGCTGTAGTAGTTCACATTGTTAATGGTCTCCTTGACAAGCGGCATGGTCGAATCCATGCACAAGAGTTCCTGTGATTGTTTAAACGAATTGGGCTCCTTTAAATCGTCGGAATCGACACTGTGGGGGAAAGGATTTGCTGGAGCTTCATCCGATTCCGCTTCTTCACTCTTCTTCTCCACTTGTGTGTCATCTTGAGCCGGAGCAGCTGGTGGGAAATTCACTGCCGGTGGTGAGGCTGCAACTTTGGGCGCATCTTCAGCTACTTGTTTTGTTGGGGCTTCATCCTGTTTGGCGGGGGTTTCCTCCTTTTTAGCTGGTACATCCTCTTGCTTCGGTTCATTCTTAACAACTTCCTCCGCTTTAGGGACAGCCTCTGGCTGAGGAGCTATCTGTTTGGCAGAAGCATTCAAATTGGCAGCAACTTCGGGTTTGGTGTCAGCTCCCTCTTTGGGAGACTCAACTTTCGGTGCAGGGTTGTCGGCCTTAGGAGCCACATCCTCTTTGGGCAGCTCAATCTTACCGGCCACCGCAGCAGGCGAAGATGACTTCAAATCAGCCGGTTCTTGCTCCAAAGGATCCTCCATAGAATCATCTGGGCCCTCAGCGGAGTAGGCTTGGGCATCACGAGTTTGTCTGAACAAGACTGAATCACTGATTTTGGCCATGCGCGAATTTCGCTTGGTCCTGGAAGGTATTTGATTATTGATGTGCTGGTTGGCCCATTCAGGTGAGCACTTCACGCGAACTCTGAAGCATAAAGAATATAAGTTAGAACATAGAAGAAATTACAGCGATTACATACTTTAGTTCTTTAAGGTCCAGGACGAAAAACAGAATGGGTCCGTTTAACTGCGATTTGGGTGATTCCTCCAGTATGCATTTGTTTTGATGTGAATCCAGGTACGGGTTAAGTTGGTCAATGGTTGTCTTGTCCAACGACAGGCCCAGCTGCAGAAGAGAATGACAGTCAGGGGACAAACTAGTGGGGCAGTGGGCTAAGATAACTTACCAAATCCGTGGGCTGTTCCAGGTCAATCGTCAGCTTGCTGAGCTGCACGTCCAAGTGCCCATTGGTATAAAATCCAAAGGTGCTGAGTGCGATGTACTGGCGCCTGTCATTCTGCGGGTCAAACAAAGATTAGTTAACCGTGAGTCAGTTGCTTCATCAATAGGTGCCATCAACTTACGCGGACTTCCAAGTGATGCTTCCGGCCAAGGACTTCCAGTGGTGACGAAAGGAGCGCCACTAGTGCCACCAGCACCACTATTGATTTAACATCCCCACCGGGAGCACGCATTTTTCGAATTTTCCCAAGTATTCCTCCGTTCTTTGCCGACGTCTCGTGGCACTTTAACCCTTCGATTCCGGCGGAACGTTCCGGCACAGACTTCTGCGCTGGATGCGATCGAAAATGCGGCAATCGATTTACCGCGACCACCGTCACAGTTTCTAATATTCACACTTCACCTTGATAAAAAACCAAAAAAGTTTTCCCTTTTTCACTAGGTTGAAAAAAAAATGTTGAGAACCTGCCAGTGTGACAATATCGCTGGACTCAAAAATCACCGCCCGGCTCGTTCACGGTAAAAATACCAAAAAAAATACCACAAATAACACTAACTAACAAAACTGTTTTTTGTTTAAATACAATTTTCTGCTGTTGCCGGAAAAGCAAGATACCCCTAATCATCGTTTCCGGTTTATCAGAAATGAAATTGCAAATTAATAAATTTTAAGCTTTTTTGTTGTATTAATAAAAAATAACTACATACTCAATAAGAATTAAAAGACATAGGTTTTTAAAAAGTGGAAAAATTAAATTGAATTTTAGACATTTCAGATTACTTATTTTTAACTCGTACGAATATGTACATACATAATTTGTTGTTCCAATCTTTTATTTATGTTTTCCAGGTTGAAGTACCTTAGATAACACTTGCAGAGTGTACCTTAGTATACAAAGTATACTTATAATCATTTAGTTTTCGCTTGCTTTATTTTTAAAAATTTTAATTTCTATAGATTACGTGCAGTAGCAAAATAAGTTTAAAACGCGGACGCGACTCTTTTTCTTTCTCTTCATTCCATGTAGCCACCTTGAGAGTCGGAGGCACCGAGATTCTTCCTTGAGTAGAGTCCCTGTCTAGGCTTAAACTTGCCATCGCCAAGAGTGATCCTGGCGGGAAGTTTCTTACCCCGAAATGTGGCTGCCTCGAAGGAGGGTGGTGGTGATACCTTAACTGGTTTTTCATCCGTTTCCGGAACGGGGATGTGCCATGCCTGCTTGGTGATGCTGGTTGCTGTAGGAGGTGCTGTGGAGGAATCCCCTCCCGACGACGACGACTCCTCCATCGGGCGAACCTGGGTGATCTCCAATTTGTTCTGCTTCTTTTTGTAGTAAAGGACCTCCATGCCAAGGGTCATCATAGCCAGGACGAGGCCAAAAAGGGTGGCTATAAAGACGCCGCCTAAACTCTCAAGGGTGATGCCCTCCTGGTCCTCCGACAGCGGACAGTTGCGCAAGTTCGATTGGTTCCAATACTTGGCCTTCAGCTCCTCGAAGAACCGATCCTTTTGAAGCTCCAGTATGGCATAGCTCAACTCGTCGCCGAGATGACTGCCTTGCTGAACAGCCACGGCATATGGCTGCTCTGCAAACACCTCACCCACTTCCGTTAAATTGCAGTTCCGGGTTATTTCGTACTTAATCTCCGCCGAGTCGTGGATGAAAGCGTAGTCGGCATTCTCGTGGGCATCCACATTAGCAAATCCCTCCTGGGCATCGGCTACCGGCTGGGAGCTGTTAATGGCTAGAAGGATATGGCCATATTGTTCTTTGATGGGATAATCCCAGATGCGGAATTTCTTAAAGTCCTTGCTGGCATTCAGGGCAAGCTCTTTCCACATGCGGTACAGTGTATCCTCAGCAAACTTCATATTCACGAAGTACTGATGCGTATCGGAGTCCTTGACTACGGTGTAGTTAATCCTGGATTGACGAGCGAGTTGTTCCAGTGATTGGACAGGCGTTTGCATACGCTCTACGGTGAGGAAAGCGGCCAGGTTGGCTGTAAAAGTGGCCAGCATAAGAACCACGAACAGCCAGTAGGCGGCCACCAACATCCGACCGGAAATGGCCTTTGGGGCTTCCCCGCCGCCTTGCGGGGTGAAAGAGGTCAGGGCAAACCAGAAGCTCTCTCGCAAGGTGAACTCTCGGCAGGCATACGGATAGGCCTGACGATTGTTCCGGGAACTATACGGAGAGTACTTGTCCATGAACCAAATCATTATGGCTGTGCCTACCAAAGCGGCCACTATGCTCAACCAGACCTCCAGACGCAGGACCGTCATAAACTTGAACAGCGAGGTCCTTCGCACCGGTTTTCGGATAGCTATGGATATGCCCGTTTGCTCATAGTATGGAGGAAGGAAATCGATCACCTCCTCCCTTTCCGAGTACATCTTCAAAGCGGCAATCGCAAAGTCCGTCTCGCCCCTGACAAGATCCCCAACCACACCGTCCCACTCGCCTCTGTCATTGACCTCACCCATATGGCCCACTTCCGGAGCCACTATCTCGTACTCAAAGTTCAGTTTTTGCGATAGCCGAATGATAAAGTCGATGCAGTAGCCCTCCCAAATGGGCGTGCCGCTGCGATCCCGCATTAGTTCGCCCGTTCGCTGGTCCCGGCGAAGATAGCTCCACGGGATGCTCTCGGCCGTGCCAATCCGAAAGAACCTGCGGGCCGGACTTATGGTCTCGTTGAGCAATCGCATCTCAGCCACCGATGACCAGGCGGCCAGATCCGTTTTGGCCTCGTGCTCGGAACTGTAGTACCCGGCGGATATGTTAACCGCAAAAGTGAGACCTGGCACTGGACTTTGGTTCTGATCGTCGAAGCGCAGTGCCGGCGAGGCATATGTAAGGAAGTTACTCCAGTGGACCATGTCCAGCCAGTTGTAGTCGTCTTCTACGATAGGTTCAGTCACTTCCGAGGACAAAGCCGTGGCATTGCAGTCCTGGTAGATGGGATTCGGATAAACAGGAGTTACCTGTGCCGCATTGATCAGGCTGCGAAGTACGTTTAATAGCATGGCGCGTTGCATCTGGAGGGCATTAGGAGGGGAAATGGTTAAATAAAAAAAAAGGGGTAACGGGTATTAATAAAATGTTGTCCCTTAAAAATTCTTGTTTGCTTGTTTTAAAATAAATCATCAAATCGTAAAAAATTTAACATTTAAACAGGAAAAGCTTAAAAAATGACATCAAACATCAAAGTTAAAGTTTAGACAAAGTCAGGAAACTTACAGCGGAGAGGTCAAAAACACCTTCTTCTATTTTTAAAAACTTTTTAAAGATTTCACCAAACTAATAAGGGTAAAAAAAGTATTATCTCTGGCCGAAACTCACCGTGAAACCGCTTCCGCAATAAAGATCCGGCATGGGCATGGAACGGCAGATAGCTCGAGGACTCAGTGTGAAACGGGTGCACAGTTCCGCCTGACGTCTGTATTTGAAAACTCGATCTCTGGTGTCCAGGAACACGAAGTGCCACTCCAATGGACGCTGGAAGAGACCAGCCTTTTGCACCTATGAATTGAGAATCAAAAAGATAAAAAGTCTATATAAATCGATCTTTTAAAGTCAAAAATAGACTTAAAATATATTGCGAAACTTTACCGCTAAGTAAAGATTGAAAACCCCTATAGATACATGCTAACCTTTTCAAAAATTCCGTTCATAGCTGCTGCACGGGCAAATATTGCCAAATAAGTGGGCGCCGGTCGTAGCAAACGGATGCGCTCGAGGAAATTCTGACCAGGATCGGTCTGGCTTGCGTCCAGGATTAGTGTCCGAAAGGGATAACCGATCAGCATCTGCTGCATCGCCTCGCTGGCGTCCCGGGCATTCATGAATACCATTGCCACATTGTTGGCCCGCTTTTGGCGCATAAAGTCTCCAAACATGTCCAGAAAAGGCCTCATGATTCGCTCCAGACGCACATAGCCAATTCCAAGGGAGCGGACCAGACTGTAGCCCTCCTCCCAGTGGCTATAGGTGAGATCAATCACAGCACTAGTGCCGGTAGATGATAGGATTTCGCAGACTTAAAAGGATAAATGGGAGCAATCAGAGAATATCTTTGATGAAAAAAGGTTCGATATTTTCACGAATCAAAAAAAATGGTTTCGGAATATACCATGCATATCCACTCACAATTTACATATTTTTCAATGCAATCAAATAATAAGCTTAGATTTTTTTAACCGCATATTACTTACATCTCTGCATGTCCAAGCCATCTTCCGAGCGGGTCAGAGTCAAGGAGGTATCGGCTATTTTTACATCTAGGCGCAGGGCATCTAGTTCCTTGAGAACCACCGCCATATCTGCGTCGAACTCCGTCCGCTGAACGGGCTCAATCCAAAAAGCTGTTAGGAGTAATCAGAAATTTAACTCCCATTCAGGCGAATTTCCAAGAACACCCACTTATCTTGAGAGTTTCTGCATTGACTAAGGTAAATGTGAGTAGAAATACTAGTAGTAACTCCATGGTCAACCGAATGCTCAGAGTTCTCGCCGGGATTTAAGTCCTGGCGATGTAGAAAAAAGGACAACTGCCACAATTGCTGTCCAATTATGTCAATTATAAGTCGCGGTGCCCATCACTGAGCAATATGCATATTTCAGCAGCTTGAAATGACAGTAAGAGACAGCCGGAGGTCCATTCCCACAGAAAGTCAAGTCACTTGAGGGATTGGATTTTTTATTTTCTTATATTCACGTTATCCTTTACAGTATAAATCAAATCATAAACTTTTGTTCGGGCGGGGCCTTAGAAATACGAAAAAAAACAGCTCTTAACAATTAAATCAACTGGCTATCAATGTACAGAGCTATATATTTTTATATATATATATAAATATATATGAATATGGATAATGAAACATAAATTAGTGATTCTTCTGGGATATTTTTGTGAATGTTGTGTGAACAGGATGTGCTGCTCCGTCTCAACTTACAGCGAAAATAAATACTTTAATAATAACGATCCTTGGGGCACACAGTTAGCCCAAGGTTGCAGGTTGCATGAGTAACATACTATAAATGATGAAATTCACTTTAAAACCGTTTTTCCTTTCTACACTTAACTAAGTAGCTTAGAAGACTAAGAGACGTACTCCCATGATTGCCAACGAGCGGTTTTAGGTGTACATATTAACATTAAAATGGAAATGAAATCAGGTGCCGTGAAGGTGCGAGAGTATTGATTCAATGTCCTCGATCTCCACGCTGTGGTTCTGGTTCTGCGTTTCCTTTTGCTGCGCACAGTTTTCTGGGGTTTCCTCAATTCCACCACCACCACCTGCACTGCCGCTGCCCTCTGTGATCAGAGCGGAATTACTGTTTAGATGGAAAAATGGTTAAAAGTTAAAAGATTAATATGGTAGAACTATCTAATGGCGTTTCGAAACCTTGTATTTTTTTATCTTGGCGCCACTTACATGATAGCCACCTCCAAATCGTATTCATCTTGAGGGTCACTCTTGGACGCAGGCTTCTCTGCCAGCGGCGTGGACGTGGCAGAGGGCTGGTTTCCAGCAGCAGCGACTCCTGCTTCCGTTCTACTTGCACATCCGCCCATTGCAGTTGCTCCACTATTGCTAGTCAGGCGGCGTATCCGCTTCTTGGGTATATTACGAATGGCGCTGGCCAGTGGTTGGCCCAAATTTATTACCTGGGCATTGGCTATGCGCATTGTGTGTATTTGATCGTCATCGGTCATAACGCGCATATGATACATTTTGAAATAGCTCGATGGCTGACGTATCATCGGATTGCTGGACTTGGGTCCGTTGTCCGCATAAGAAAAGTTGAAGGTACAGCGATCCTGGCTGCTGCTCAGGCAAATGTCCTGTTCGTAGTCGCTGTCATCGGCATACGGATCGGACGGTGGGTTATGGTCCTGGTGTGTTTCTTGTGGCAGCGGCTGTTCTGGCTGCTTTTGCTCTGGGGATCCCTGTGTAGATTCAGCTTCCGCTACCATTGGCAGTGTCGTTACGTCGGTTACGGAGGCCAACCTGGTTTCGGTTCTTTTCTTTACTGGCTTTTTGGTGGTCGCTTTGGCGTTAATCTTCGTTGTTTCCCCACTATTGACTTTCAAAAGTTCCTCCGGAGCAGGAGCTAATATTTCAAAAATAATAATTAGTTAAAATAGAAATCCATCTTATTTAAAGAACTTACTTTTATTGTCGATTAGCCGTGAGGATCGGCGCATAAAGACGTGGCCTGGCTCATCAGTTAAAGACTTCTTGGGACGTCCACGTTTACATGGTGCCGGTTGTGCAGCAATCTCAACAGCCGCACGGGTTACTTTGGGTTTGACTGTAGTCGTTAATGGCTCTTGTTTTTTGGCTGAAAGATTAAGGGCCATAAGCAATGCGGGATCCAATTTGCTTGTTGGTGGATTTATTGGCGCATCTGTGGGAGCAGCAACAGCTTGAAGGTCAGGATTCTTTGTGGCCTCTACCTTCTGAGCTGGTTCGACTAGCTTTTTGGCCTTTGCCTTAGTTTTGGGCTGCTCCACGTGTTCCATTTTCTTTGGAGACTTCTGAGTGCTTGGGTTGGCCAATTTGGCCGTTTCACGCATGGCAGTGAGCTTCTTAGTGACAGTCTTTTTGGTTTGAGTCCTTGCTGGCTGGGATTGTTCCTTGAACTTGGCCATAACACGTTGGCGTTTCTCGTCTAGCTGTTGGCGTTGATGCTCCTGGATAATTGCAGAGGGTGCTGATGGAGCGGGTAAAATATCAACTTCCTCTGGCGGCGGTGGAGGAGGAGCAGCTGGCGGAGTTACAGGAAGTGGTGGTGGTGGAACAGCAGCATTCTGTCGTGCGGCCATCGGTTCAGGGGGTGGAAGATTGGTTCGCAGTTCCCCACTGGTATTCCCCTCCTGGACTTGTTCCTTGCTTGGTGTGAGCCAATTTCTTATAGGATAGCGCACCTCGCCATCCTGGCTAACCAATTGACCTGGTTGACAGTCAATAGCCAGAATTGGCAGCACTACATCCTGCGAGCCAGATGCTTTCAGCCACTCCTCGTCTTCCGTGCTGCTTATATTTGATAAGTTATCTATGTTGAGTAGCACTTCATCCTTGGGACAGTTCTCATTAACATCCTCGCCCTCTGCCGCTTTCTTATCGCTTTCTTCATTTCCGCTTTGAGAACTATGCGAGGAAGATGAACTAGACGACGAACTACTGGAAGAACTTGAGCTCGAACTAGACGAAGACGATGAACTGGTCACTGACGAGCTAGAACTGCTAGATCCCTCAATGATGGCCTCGGGCAGGCCTGGCAAAAGTTTGTAGTGTGGAAGCTGCTGCTGATCCGAAGGAAAAGAACCAGCGGCAGCCGATTCCGCACTATCTACAGCCTCGCAACCAAAAGATCTAACTCGTCGAAGGACAGTGGGTTCTAGGGATAGCACAACGGGTTGCTTCGCATCCTCCGGAGTGCTCTTTGAAACCATTTCCTTTTGCGTGGCATCACCCTGATTTGGCTCAGCATGCTCTTCATTTTCTGTGTCTGTTTTTATAGGTGTCTCCTTATTGTCCTTATGCTCCGCCTCCTGATAAGGACTTTCTTTCCGAGGTCCACTTGCTAACTGCTCCTTTTCCTTTAATGGAAGATCATTTTCCTGCAAAACTTCTTTCTCAGATACTCCTTTCTTTTCCTTAGACCGAACCTGAGGTTGTTTTTTCTCCTGCAAATCGTCCCACTGCTGTATTGCGCACTGCGCATTTGCATCCGTGTGCTCTGCTTCATCCGGACGATAATAGGAGCTTCCAGAAGAGTATTCAGTCTTGGCAGCGCTGCCTATTGGTGTTCCAGGCATCTGTCCAAAAGGTGTCAAGCGAAATCCAGGAGTGATGGCGCTTAACTGGGGCGTATCCATAATACTTTTCGTATCCGAACCAAAAAGGAAACTGCTGCTGGGCAACTTACTATATGGAGTGTCTAGCGGTGCGATAGCCATTCCTGGAGTTGGAGGGATGGCGGAGACTCCAGCGCCACCTGCTTCCTTTGATGTAGTGTCATCTTCTACTACAACACTTGCTCCTGCTCCAATGGGAGATGACTTAAAAGGTGTATCCAGTAACATGGCTATGTTGGGCCGTACCAGCTCTGCCGCTAACAACTTAACCTGATCCTGATCTCCTTCAGGAGCCCTATCCGCCTCATTTTCCATTTTCTGATCCTTTACGTCGACCGCCACTTGGGTCTCGTCTATAGTTTCCTCAATGGTTTCGTCTATGATTTCCTCCTTTGGCTCAAATGTCTTCTTCTTTTTTAGAGCTCTAGGTTTTTGAGGAGTAACGATCTTTATGCTGATCTTCTCTGTCGAATCTCCGCCAGTCCGCTGCGGTTTCCTGACCTGAGTCTTGTGCTCTGCTTTTGCCTTGGCCACAGAGACTTTCCGGGCTCTAGATGAAGCTGATGTGGGTGTTTCCTTCTTCTTTGGACGCCTCGATCGACCACTGGCCTTCACCTCCTCACGCTTGGAGTTGATCTCACGCAGCCGATTCTCCAGATCAGAGTTAGAGCCCTGCAACTGGCGCTGCCAGGCGACCAAATCGTTTTCTTCAACTGCTTCTCTAGTGGATGAGCCTGCTTCAGTCTTCTCTATTTTCTCTTGCTCCTGGAGATTCTCTTTGCTGGCCTCAGCGCTATCATCGTGACGGGGAGAAGATGTGCTGCATGCGGACTTATTCTTCGGTCCATTTTTCTCCAGATCTTTCACTGTCTTGGATTCTGATTCCGCCTGGGAGATTATCCGCTTGCAGGCTTTGACCGCTGCTTGGCGTTTCTGTTTTCTTTTCGGCGTGGCAACCATCGTAGGAGCTGGAGCTGAAGCTGCTGGCGGAACTGCAGCTGGTGGATTGGCCCTGATCACCGTTTGGTTGCTGCTCTCCTCCATTGCAAACAGTGGTGGCACACCACCAAGTCCCTCATTTGAGCTTAAATCGCAGGCTGTCTGAATAATCTCCACATGATTGATAATTGGCTTCTCTTTGGCTTTGGCCAGCAAACAAGGTCGCCTAGTGGAGAGCGGCGTATTAGGATGAAGGACGCCGCCAGGAGGAATCTTAGGGGAGAAAGTTAAAGTTCGTACATGCGAAGTTCTTTTTCTGGGAGTGGATAAGCTTCGGAAGGCCTTTACATTGATTATCCCCGCAGTGGAAGGTGTACCTCTCTCCAAAACTTGTCGAGAGGAATCCAAAGAGGCTGGCGGAAGCTTTTGCTGCTCCTCCTCCATTTGTTCCTGTTGTTGATCCTTTGGTGTCACTCCTTTGATTGTTTTTTTCTCAACTTTCGTTTCTTTTATCAACTGGACAGGCGGTACCGCGCTTAACGGAGGTGGTTGTTTCTGTGCGCTGTTGATGATAATTGAATTAGGAGGCAGTTGATTGGCGGACAAAGTAATTGGTTCCGGCAAGGAGATCTCTATGTGTGGGTCATCTATGTTGGCAAAGGCATCCGGCCCGAGTTGCTGGGCCACCCACTCGTTGTTTACCAGGAATGGAAGGTGCGACAGAAGTCCGCCGTTCGAGAGGTACATGGGAAACGTCAACTGTCCGGTGGTGGCGTCCACACATACCTGACCAGCAGCCGCCGCCTCTGCCTCGGACAACATGGACGCCGGATCGGCAAAGTTAAGATTCAAGCCATCGCTGGTGAAGCTGACATTGGACGTATCCATGCCAGCAACTATTTTTTGGACACTTTCGTTAGAGTTCAGCACTATGAGCTTTGAGATGGAGAAGTTCGGATCCGCGTTAGTTCCAGTGGTGGCTGCTACGGCGGTGCGAATAATGAGCGGAGTTTGCGGTGGTACGGGATCAGTAGGCTGTTCTACACAAGGCACCTGCACTGCGGGAGCGGAAATGACAGCATCAGTCGCTGCCGTACTGGGGTCAGACACGCCAGAAGCTTCTTGGTTTGGCAGAGGGTCATCCCCGATCACTACTTCTTGAATGATACGATCGAACGAGGGATCCTTTTCAGTAGCCTCAAGTATATTCTTCACCAGACCGTCCAGCATTGCGTCACAACTTACCGCCGGATTGGTCACAGTCACCGTCTGCAGCGCCACGTTTATGTTCTTTACCAGCGTATCCTGGAAGTCCTGATTCTTAATTATCGCACTGGCCAATTCCTGAAAGAAAAATTATTGGGTTAAAGTTTGAATGATGGTGATGTGGTAGTATTTGCGTTTTTCTAATATACAAGAAGCATCACAAGTTGGTCAGTTAATATAGTGCCGACTAAAAAAATCCACATTTAATAGCATTCCTACTTACAGGCATACTTTGTGGTGTGAGCAGGAGAGGATTCGTCTCAACGTGACCCTGACGTGGTGTGGAATTGTTGCGAGGCCCTGGGCCATTCTCAGAAGGCAGTTCCTCCTCTTCCAAGTCATCGGTCGCCGTAGTGCTCTCTTCGTCCTCCTCCAGTTCCGCCTCCTGGTCCTCCTGACTAGTCAAGAAACTTTGCTTGACCTTCTCGCGGTGAATGCTGCAGAAGAAGTGCGGCGGCAACAGACGCGGCCTTTTGCTGAATGAAGGCGAGGACATGCTATTCACAGGAGATTGCGTACGCCTAGGAAAAAGGGGTAAACAAACAATGTGAACTCTGAGCGGTTTACGGAAGCCAAAAATATATTACAAGCGCCTTCTTTTGCGATCAGACTGTGATATGCTGGGCTCGCCTGGGGTGTTGCTCTCATTACTACAGCTACTCCTTTCGCCGATGGCTATCAGTTCGCTGACCCGTTCGGATAACTTTAGCTGCTGCAGCTGCAAGCGTGTCCCCAGGGGCAACTTTTGCACGGATTCAGCCACTGGAAAGTATACGATTAGGTAAGAACTGTACCGCAGAGAAGGAAGGTCGAAAACTTACCCAAGCCCGTGATCTTTACATGCTCGCAAATAATCTCCTCCAAACCGCCGTTAAGGAAGTTATGCGTCTGCAGGCCCTGTTTGAGGGCCAGGAACTCGTGACGCAGGTGCGGTGATGTCCGACACAGAGTGTGGGCCGCCCTCTTCAGATTCTGGTTGACCAGATAGCCTAAATTGCAACCAGGCAACATGAATATCGTGCTGCAGAGAATCCTTTGCGAAAATTTTAAACACAATAAAACTCACCCAGGACCAAGCGTGCCACATCCGAGTGTAAGACAATCGACTCCATGGCTGGATTTCTCGGCTTAGCGAAGCATCATTATCCACTCTCGCAATTAAACACAAACTCTGCGCTTCCTCTTTTTTCGCGTTTCTTTTTTTGGCTGGGGAACCTTTTTTCCGTGGGAAAGATTAGAACAACCTATATTTCACCGTGACATGATTCAGCAAGCACTAGTTAGTCGGAAATTGGTTGACACTTTATTTTGCAACAGCATAAACACATTTTTCCGCTTATTTGCCGACTATTTTCGTTTTGTTGTTGTCGATGGTAGAGGCGCACTGTACAACACACATAGGTTAGCATAGCATCTGTGTTTTTTTTGCCGCCCGCCAAAACAACGCAACAGGGCTGCCACAGCACCGAACTATCGATATTTTTCGGTTCTTTGAGCTTGGGCATCAAGCGTTATTAATTGTAGCAGTACCAGGGAAAAAAATTTAATGTATGTAAGAAGCTGACAATATGATTTAATCTTAATCTTAATCTAAAAATGGTTTTTTTAAATAAAAAAACTTGTTTGTACCATGGCCGAGGATATTTTTATATCTTTATTACCAAAAGCATATACATTTTCATAAAGTTTCCAACGGAATATCAATAAAACTTGATTTTTAGATGCAATACTTGCCCTTCTTGATCAATAAATTATTGTCATATATTAAATTACATGAATTTAGATATATTTCTAACTAAAATATATATACGGAAGGATGTTACCATTTAATTTAACCACCTTAACATTTTAAATGTTTTCTTAAACTGGTCAAGATCCTGATTATATAAAAATAACTTAAAGTCGATATTTCAAAAGTATCGATATATGATGTTGCAAATACCTGACATCCCAGCCATTTACAGCTAGGCAGTGTTGCCACCGAACGAAGAAATGAAAACCAATTTCAATAAGTAACTTAATTTCCGTGAATTAGGTTCATAGTTTAGCGGCTATAAATGGCTGCCAAAAACACCGAAAAGGAGAAGGGGGAGGGACAGGAGCCCTCCGCCCCAGCAGAGAAACCTGATCCTGTTGCATCCATTGTCTTAACCGATCAAAAGGACAAGGAACCGGCGCCGGAAGAGACATCGCCGGCTAAAAAGGATGGTGGACGTAAAAGAAAGCGTCATTTGTTCAATTCAATTCGAGGTCAAATGGAGTTCTATTTCGGTGATGCCAACTTGAGTAAGGATCGCTTTCTGCGGCGCTATGTTGAGCAGGATCCATGTAAGTAACTTGGTTGCTTTACCAGACAAACAACTCTTAAACATGGCAATCCTTTTAGATGTGCCTTTAGAGGTCTTTCTTACCTTCAATAAGATCAAGACGCTCACCCAGGATGTGCAGCAGATAGCCAAGGCGCTGAGCAACTCCCAACTCCTTGAGTTGGACGATACTAAACTAAAGGTAAAGCGAAAGACCAAACTTCCGGATCACCGTGATGTGAACGACAAAACGCTTTACGTGGAAGCCCTACCCGCAAATGCTAGCCATGATTGGCTCAAGGAGGTTTTCAGCCGCTACGGGCCAGTGGCTTACGTCTCACTGCCCCACTATCCGGGCACTAAGAAAATCAAGGAATTTGCATTTATCGAATTCGAGAAGGACGGTTCCGTGGAAAAGGCCTTAAAGGCTTTTGCTCAAATTCAGGGCGTCCTATCCATTGAAACTGATCCTGGTGAGCTGGCCAGCGTGCGGTCTTTCCAGCAACAGCAGCAGTTACAGCAAAAAACCGAGCAGCCGGAGGCCGAAACTGATCCAGATGAGCCGCCAAAACGAAATCCAAAACGAGAGGCCTCAGACAAGGATCGCGATGACGGGCATGAGGTGAAACGAGTTAAACTGGATGATGACCAGCCTAGCGAAACCTCCACAGCGGAGGAGTCATGCAGTGAAACGGATGTAGAAGCCACAGCGGGGGCTTCCGAAAAGGAGAAGTCAGAACCAACTGAAGGAGAAGAAGCTGTCAAGAAGCGTCGTCGCAAGCGGAAGAAAAAGGTGATTGTAGACAAGCCGAACATTGAGCCAAGTGCACTGGAGCTCAAAGTGCTGCCCAAGACCAGTTGGAGTAGCCTCCGTAACAAGTACTTGAACCTACAGCGTCGCCTCGTAAGCGAGGCTAAGAGCAAGCTGTGGCGGGAGAATCACCCGCAAAACCAGCACCACCATCATCACCAACAGCACCACCAAAACAATCCTAAACCTTCACAACTGCCCGAAGCCGTCAAAGAAGAGGAAACTGCAAGCGAGGTCCAAAGCGATAGTGAAGCTGCAGGAGATGGAGTACCAGTACCAGCCAAGCGACGCAAGGCGGTACACAAGATGAATATGAACTTTTACGGCGCCGGTGGCGTGGAATCCACAAAATCAGAAGAGCCTTCGCAGGAGCGAACACCCCTCTTCAAGTACGAGCCCGGACTGATTGTGGAGTGTTCTCTGTTAGAGCCCTGCACCAATGTCAAAGAGTTTAAGGCTGATATGCGCCAGTATCCGGACATTAAGTATGTTGATATTAAGGAGGGCGACCAGGTGGCCCAACTGCGCTTGGCGACTCCTGGCGCCGCCGAGGAGTTGCTGCGCCAGGTCAACTGTGCCGAGAGGCAGCTGAAAGTGCTATCTGGCCAGCAGGAGGCGCTTTATTGGCGCAAAATCGAGCAGGATCGAGAGGCGAAGCTCTCGAAAAAGGTTCGTGTACAGCAGAAACGTGGCCGGGAGAAGGTTTCCAAGTTGCTGGCCAAACATATCAAGTTTGATGACGGCGATGATGAAGTACAGGCGGCTGCCTTAGATTGAGCCGACTTTTAGTGGGGGTGAGTGTAATTGTAAGATCAGGGTATCAGAAAAAGGTTCTGATATATGTAAAAGAAACAGTTAGCACCTACACATTTGGAATGTAGGCAAATGAATAAAGCAAAGCTGATCAGAAGTACATTTAAGAGTAATAGAAAAAGAATGTAAAATCCACATTTCTAAAACATTTCTTTCAAAGAACTTAATTATTAAAAGTACTGTCAAGAAAAATAAATAAATCTGCAGATTAAAACAGTTATAAAACAGCTATGTACATATAAGAAAACTCCACGCCGTTCGGTCTTACAGGAATAAGAAAGAGATGGCTATAATGAATCTGCTATCAGTTTTTATTTTATTAGCACGATCAAAGTGTAATATTGTTAATTACAAAATTAAAAAAAAAAAAACCTGATAAGTATAATCAGAAGGATACATTTTCTATACAGTATTTAATATTTAAATATTTATGTACATGGTAATGGAAATAAGCTTACGATCTATACTTTTGGCTTACAGTCTTCTTACACATTACAAACCCCAACCCCTTAAAACAAATTTATATATAAAGCGAACCATCCGCTGGCCCCAGATAGTGCATTGAGATGAGCAGAACATCGATTATGGTCCAGACGCCGAGGCCTCCGAAGCTGAACAGCTTGCCAATCCCCTCCTGCCAATGACCCAAATAGAATCGATCGGCTCCAAAGCCGCCCAAAGTGAGGCTAATTAGCAGGGCGGTGCTCCATCGATAGCCTTGCGTCCAGTTGCAGCGTAGGTTGCGAGTAAAGGACCGATTGCCCAGGCATAGCACATCCTGGTGTACGGTGCAGTTGGTCCGAAATAGTTTATCCGTAGCGGAATTGCAACTCGAACGCTGGCCGCAGCTTTGTTGCCACATTTCCGTTTGGTAGCAGTAGCGACAGTTCATTTGCCGCTGGAAACTCCGTTCACCTTGGCACTGGACATTGTTAATAACTTCGCAGGAAACATTTACATCCCGACCGTAGACGCATCCATGGTTGTAGTTGCATCGGATGCAAGGAAAGTGCAGGCGTTCGCAGGGCGTGTCCTTGTCATACGGGCAGAGCATATTATTGTTGTTACCATTGCTACTACTGTAGGCTGTGATATTGTCCAAAAGTCCACCCGCACTTCCACTACCTCCATTTTTAACCACCATGTTGGATACCAAGGGTGGCACATACACCTCGTTATCATTAGCATTCCCATTGCCATTGCTTGCATTGCTGTTGTCCTTATGATCGCCTTTCGAGTCCGTCAAATCCATTTGGTTGCCCCCGCTGGCCGTCTCACTGTTCCTGATCCCTGTCAGCACGAAGATCATGATCAGGACAATAGCCGATCGCATGTTGACAACGATGCACTGCCGTTGAAGCCTCATTTTGGCCAGATAAAGCGGATAACAAGCCGGAAATGTTATTGTTTCTCTTTTTTGTGTGGGTGGAAGTATGACCATCCACTCATGACACAAAAATATCCACCGCGATGAGGTGAGTTAGCCAGCAAACGTAACCTTTTTTCTTCGTTAAAATAAAGAAACATATTTAGCCGTCAATTGATTACTTAATTTCTTTTTATTCCTTTTTAATGATTATTGTTGTAGATGGATTGTTGTGGGTATCAATCCAATATTACTTTTTTTAAAATCAGTTTTACCGCTCAATGCAGTATAATTTTGTTTGAGGGATTTGGTGTACTCAGCATCTGGTCAGACCGCGTCGTCAGCGAAAAAAAAAACCAAAAAGTCGGCGAATTTTTTGCGGTCTCAGTTTGTTGAAAAAAAATAAGATTTTCGTTTGGTATTGTTGCGCTCGGGATAGAAGAATTGAACGCTCTACCGTGTGTGCAGAAAGGGGCAAAAAGAGAAAGCAGTGCAAATTTACAAGCGACTGGAGCACAAAACGGAACTTTTGCTCTTGGCCTCCTCTCCACGCCCCCTCGCCGACGCCCCTCGCCCCCTTATCCCCTTCGTTTTGGACGCCGCCGTTTGTCGTGCATTTTGTTGTTATTTTACGGGACTTCTAGTTTTTTTTTAATATTGTTTTTGTTATTGTTGTAATCTATAACTTATCGGTAACCACGGAATCGGTCGATATATATAGTTATGTCGAAAAACAAGCTGAATCTGGTGCTGCCGCCGGTAAATACGGAGGCAACTGTTGCCGCCGCCACAGTGGCGCCGACGCCGCCATTCAAAACCCCTTCGGGCACAGAGTAAATATAATACATATATTCCTTAATAAATAACTGTTTTTTCGACCATCCATAAACTCCCGCTCCCACTTCATTCCATTTTTCTTTTGACGTCTTATTTATCACTTAAGATTAGAGTATTCCTTCATTCTCGTGTGTCAGGTGGTTAATTAATATCGGCCAATTGATTGATTCGGTGAAATCTAATCCGCCCTAAAGGAAAGAGAGAGCGAAAGAGTGAGAGGGATAAATGTTAGTGTGGGTGGTGTTCCTTTACTGTGACGCACACACACCTACACACCGCAGAATAGGTGCACAGCGAGAAAAATGCAGTTAAAATACTTAAATTTAAAAATAAGAAAATAATAATCACATCTCCTTAAGTGTGGAAAGTTTAGTAGATATGTAAGCGATGTTATATGAGTGTGATAATTAAGTAACGTTTTTATTGCGATATGGCAAATTTATGATTTTGATCTAATTAAAGAAGATATCCAACGTTATGGCTTCGCGATTTCAAAGTGGGATTGATACAAAAGTTTCGAAATACTTCTTCTTTTTCATAACCAATGTATTTCGAATGAATACTTATTTTTGTACGTCATTCTTCATAGGAAAACAAAAAAATTTGAACTTACAAGCAACTAGTCATAGTTTTAACTCTGAATAGACTTTAAACTTGAGGCATCCCATCTCAATCCTCTTCAGTCTCGGCCTTCGTTACATAGGATAGCATATTTCTAAGCCACCAATGTTGTTATTGGTCTAATAAGCACCACCACCACCATCGTCGGCTAAATTGCTAAGGAACTCTGGAACAGCCTGATCAGATCCCTTCGGGATCTTAATCAAGTCTCCTGCAAGAGCACGATTGTGATCAGGATCGAAGAATGAGTACAAAGGAACAATTTTACTGGCACGCCAATTTTATTGGAAAGTTGCCATTTACCCCATTGTACACTGTTACTAACAGTAAGTGTAGAGCTGAGAAACTATCGATGGTCAATATTTAAAGAACATCCTTTTTGTGACGGTCATCATAAAAATTAAAATTACAAGTAATTTAAAATGTTTATTTCAATTTTTTTCTTTTGAGATCAAATTTGTGAACCATTTCAGTATTAAATACAAAATATTAGCCTTAAGCGAAGCATAATCATATGTAGATAAATAAATAGCTATTAGTAAATATACATTGTTAAAAAAAAATTAATTTTATAATTACCGTTTTAAGATTTAGTAAATATATTTCCATGATAAGAGCCACCACAAACCTTTAAGCTAGGTTATCCTAGAATGCATTTTTTCGACAAGATAATGACAAAATACTTTCATTAATGGCTAGGAAATTATAAATTCGATACCTCGATAGTGCCATCGATAGTTTCCCAGCTCTAGTCAGTTTCGGCATGTAATGCTTGATTTTCTTTGCATCGAGGAGGCTATGAGAACTTGCATAGAGCTATCCTTGAAATCACGCAAGGCCTGCTAACGCCGACTCTGGAGTTTGGTCCGCTTTGCAAACTTATTAACTTCATGGTCTGCTTCAAATCGGACCAGGCTCCACCAACTACGCAGAACATAAGAAGATATAGATATTCAACAACTCCCCAGCCGCTAAATGTGGAAATGTTGCAAAAAAATTAAAGTTTGATGGTCCGGACGCATTGGATGAAGCATGAAATGTTCGCATGTTTCACGAAAACCCAAATCCACCATCCTATCGGCCTCATCCAGAATAACGAAGCGCGTGTCCTCAAAGGTTATAAAGCGCTCCACGAAGTCCAACAGACGTCCCGGAGTAGCGATTAGAACGTGGCATCCTTTCGAAATGATCTCGTTTTGATACTTGAATGAGATGCCACCGTAAACAGTACTGATCTTTAGTTGCGAATCAAAGGCAAACTTCCTCGCTTCGTTAAAATCTGAATTGCCAGCTCCCGAGTCAGCGACACAATCAAGGCTTGTTTTCCCATCATACAGCATCATCATTGCGAGGACATGCCTCAAACCAATTTTTACCGTTTTGTCGATTGAAACCATCGCGACCTCCACGACATTCTTCGTCACCACCTTCGCAACGCTCCCCGTGGACACCACCTTCACCGCCATATCCACCTCCGTCGCCTCCACCAAAGGCCTTGCCATTATCGCCAACATCGCTCATACTTCTTCGGATACTTCTTGCTGAGACTTAACCTTGGACATTCTCCCAATCTTCACCAGACTTACTACCTTGGGCATTCTCCCAATCTTCACCAGCATAGGCTTATGATGAGCCCTATGCTGGTGAAGATTGGGAGATTTTGATATAGCTGAGCTATTTCTTTAGTATTGATGTTGCTTGCGAATACATCACAACTACTTAATCCCTTTTCAAAAAGTACAAGGCAGGCGAACAAAGCACTTTACGCAAACTCAGAAGGAAAAAGATAACATAATAACATATGACATTGAAATCATAATAAAATGTAGTTTAGTTTACCTTTTTAACCTTTTGAGTATTCTTTGGGTGGCCTATTGAGAAAATATAATACTCGCTATAAAATATTAAAAAAATTTAAGGACATATGGCGCCAAAATGTAGGCAATGAAATAAAATTGTATTATCTAGGCTCCATTTGTAATCATACGCAGTTTTTAGCTAGATTTTGTATACTCTTCATTATTATTCGAGAAGAAGAATTCCCACCCTTCATCCCATTCCCCACTCTTCAAACTTCCCGCCTGCACATTTTACATTTTCGTTTTGGATCGCAAAAATTCATTAAGAGGTTAAATTAAAGCACACACAGCTTGCTTGGGAAGCCGAAGACGAGCATCGATGCCCTGACGGAAACGCTGGAGGGATTGGACATGGACGACACGGAACGGAAACGGATAAAAGTATTCCTTAGCCAAAAGGAAAAGATAGGCGAGCTGTCGGACGAAGATCTGGAGAAGCTGGGCGAACTGGGATCGGGTAATGGCGGCGTCGTGATGAAAGTCCGCCATACGCACACACACCTGATCATGGCCAGGAAACTTATCCATCTAGAGGTGAAGCCTGCGATCAAGAAACAGATTCTGCGTGAACTGAAAGTCCTTCACGAATGCAATTTTCCGCACATCGTTGGCTTCTACGGCGCCTTCTACAGTGACGGAGAGATCAGCATCTGCATGGAGTACATGGACGGTGGATCCCTGGATCTGATCCTCAAGCGGGCTGGTCGAATACCGGAATCTATTCTCGGCAGGATCACGCTGGCGGTACTCAAAGGCCTGAGCTATTTGCGCGATAAGCACGCCATTATCCACCGGGACGTAAAGCCGAGCAATATTCTCGTCAACAGCAGCGGCGAGATCAAAATCTGTGATTTCGGCGTCTCTGGCCAACTGATCGACTCGATGGCCAACTCCTTCGTGGGCACCCGCAGCTATATGTCGGTGAGTGATCTTATAGTTAATATTTATTTATAGAGTTCAAACTATAGCGACTTTGATTTAGTTTATCGGAACGAAAAGTTTTGTAAAAAATAAGTTTCTATATCATCCAATAAAGCGTAGAAAGAAGAAGAAATTAACAAATGTATGTAGAAATAGTGTTGGATGTAAGAGATAATGGGAGCACAACATTTAAAACGCATGATGGGCGGGAGTGGATTGCCAGATTATATACGTAGATGTAAAACATTGCCAACTATAAAACATTTGCATCACTCACTTGCTAATTGCTCCTTTGTTTCAGCCGGAGCGACTGCAGGGCACTCACTACTCCGTGCAGTCGGACATCTGGTCGCTGGGCCTGTCGCTGGTGGAGATGGCCATCGGCATGTACCCCATCCCGCCGCCAAACACCGCCACCCTGGAGTCGATATTCGCAGACAACGCGGAGGAGGGCGGCCAGCCGACGGACGAACCCAGGGCAATGGCCATATTTGAGCTACTGGATTACATTGTAAACGAACCGCCGCCGAAGCTGGAGCACAAAATATTCTCCACCGAGTTCAAGGACTTTGTGGACATCTGCCTAAAGAAACAACCCGACGAACGGGCCGATCTCAAGACCCTGCTGGTAAATAATCTTTCGTCTACATCGGCACGTCGCAATTTCTGGATATATGTACTTAAGTGTTTACTTCTGTTCTTCTGCAGAATCATCCGTGGATACGCAAGGCGGAAGTGGAGGAGGTGGATATATCCGGCTGGGTGTGCAAGACAATGGATTTGCCGCCGTCGACGCCAAAGCGGAATACATCGCCCAACTAAATGGCTCTGCATCCCGGCCCGCGATCTTCTCTCCTCTCCCATATCCCACATTGCTCTTTGTTCAACATCGCGTTGACGCCGGGCATAAACAACTGAACTATTATTATTATTAAATCGAAAATAAAGAAATCGAAGTCATACCATGTACGATGTGCGATTCTTTACAAAAGGTTGGGGATGTTTTATTACAAATTATCCATGAAAAGTGGCTTTATTTATTTAAAAATCTTTTCGTTTAAAATATGAGAAGAAGTTGAATCAATCGGTTTAAATCGTTTTCTGGAGAAGTACATTTTTGGTGAGAGAAATTTAGGCTGTGTAGTAGTTTTCAAAATTAGATAAGTTTGGGGTTCCATCTCTGAAATTCTCAATATTGGGAATCCCCTTTGAAAATAATTTATTAATGAAGTTTTTGGATGTTTTCAGTATGTTTAAGTGCATTTTCGTGGGCGGCAGGATGGCCACACTGCGGTGTAAATAACTAAATGTGACCAAAGCTAGACACAACAGCTGAGTGATTTGTATCTGTCTTGTTCCAGTTTTCATTCGGAAGTAAATTCGCTACAATTGCTTCCGATTTCAAAATAATGATTATAAAGTCGAGAATTTTGATAATATGAAATTTGAAAAGGCAACAATGCACAATTAGCACCATGGAATGTGATTAAAACTTTGTAATGATTTTTCAGATGTAAAAACTGAAAAATTCAAAACTAAAAATATTTCGGAAGTGAAAACTGGAACAGGTTCGTATATAAACATATAAACTAAACACGCACACGGGCGCAGCTTGATAAGCGATTTACAGTTACAGATCCAGCACGCAATTCCCGGCCAATTGAAATGATTTAAAGAGAGGAATACAGAAAGAGAGAGCGGAGGCGACACCAACATAAACACAAGCACACACACGAACTGAGGCAAGACGCAACGTTCTTTGTTGCAAATTACCGTTGGCCCCTCCTTCCACTGGCCCCACCGATCCACGATCCGCCAGCCAGTAGCTTCTAGCCAGTGCTCTGATGCAGACGTCTCGCTAAAGAAATAACAACAAATCGCTGGACTGGAAAGGAGCGCACAGCACAACCATGTCGGCGGTTAACCAGAAGGAGAGCCCCAGTCGGGACTCCACGGCCTCCACATCTGGACATATCTCAATGATGGCGGACAACACTTTGGAATCCCTTTCGCGGGATTACAGCCTGGGCAGCCTAAACTCAGCGGGGAGCCAGGACGAGTTCTTCCGGTGCCGTGACCATGCGGATAATATCCTCAAGCGGATGCAGCTCTATGTAGATAGTCAGCAGCTTTGCGATGTTGTCCTCATCGCTGGAATCGATGGCAAAAGGTTAGTATCTGTGGAATTACCAATTTCATTGTCCCCCAACAGCTGGAACTCTGATTCCTGCGCTCTTGGAACTTGCATTCCCCAATTCGTATTCCTAGTCCCAATCGCTGGTATGGAAAGCAAGCTTTCTACTGCGTGGAACATCTTTCTTGATCGCCAATTTCCATTCCCTTCATACGGAGACAAAGGAATGGAATATGGCATTTCAAATTGGAAAGTTCATTAGCGATTCTTACCCGCTCCTCTTTACCCCATCCCCAATCCCATTCCCCTTCCCCAGCTGACCTTCACTTGGGTTCTTTGTCTGCTCTCTTTGCTGTATTGTTGTCCCCAACGCAATTTCAACAGTAACACTCACACGCACACACGGAGCACAGTGGTGAACAAGACAATAGCACTACGCAGATCCAGGAAATGCAGCTGCGGTCAAAATACTAGCTTTCAAGAAACCATCAGAAATGCAAATACAGCTGGTCTTATAGCTTTAAAGCCAAGCAATAAAATTATATTTGCACAAATGTTTCAATTATGATCAATCTTTCTTAAAAAACATTCCTATTGTTGTAAAGCAACTTTTTCTTTATTTGATTACCCAAATCCAAATGATCTATGTTTACATTATTTATATTTTGTTTAATAAGGATTAAACCAATTTGCCAGGAATAATATATAACCAGTAAGCAATTAAAGAGAAATGTAATACACATTCAGTTTTTATTGCCATTTTAAACCCACAGGAAAATTTACTTGCCAGCGTTTACTATTAAATTGTTTGTAATTACATTTTCGTTGATGACAGAGCCATTTGCAATTGGTCTCGCTTATCAACAGATATTCCGATAAGAACGCTTATTTGTATACCACATTCATAATAATATCAGCTTGGATAAACTAATTGAAAAATTGATTGAACTCGTAAATGATTTCAATCATTTCCTTTTCGATCCTGTTACTGTAAACATAATGTGCTACCTTTTCGACCGTAGCTGTGAACTTTTTTTGCAACAGTGCAGAAATAGAGAGAGGAGAAGAGATCCCAATTGTGAGCTTAAAAGAGCGACTCGGGAGCGAGAAAGAGAAAAAGAGTCCTCATCTATATATGTTTTTTTCTGTTCGCCGAACAATTGCAATGCAACGCGACAGAGAAGGAAATATCCATCTCAGAAAACAAAGACGAAGACCGAGAGCCAACAACAACTGCAGCATAGAAAGATATAGATATAACGATTTGCGATCCGAGAGTTGCAGCTTTATTTGATTTCTTCACCCGCTCGCTGCACTTAACCGGTTTTGGATCGTGAAAACCTGTCGATCTGTGCCATGGTAAACAAAGGGAAAAGAACCCACCAACTTACAGTTGCGGTCACTATAATAGTGTCAAAATTGCAATGCGATATATGTATGTAAACGATTTTTTTCGATTACACACAGAGCAAAATGTTATAAAATATAAAACAAAATATATAAATTACACATGTTGTAAATATTTCCCAAATTAAACAATAATAAACAATCAACTTTGTTCTAAACTTTCAGAGTACCTGCCCATCGCCTAGTGCTATCGGCGTCAAGTGCTTACTTCTCGGCCATGTTCACGGGATCGCTGCGCGAGACCAAGGAGCAAGAGGTTACCCTCGGCGAGGTGCACGGGGATGCACTGCATCTGCTGGTCCAGTATTGCTACACAGGATTCATCGAGATGCGCGAGGACACCGTGGAGACGCTGCTAGCCACCGCCTGTTTGCTACAGCTAAATGCCGTCGTCACTGCGTGCTGCAACTTCCTGGCCCGCCAGCTTCATCCATCCAACTGCCTCGGGTTTGCGTTCTTTGCGGAGCAACAGAGCTGCACAACATTGCTGCGACTGGCGCAGGCCTATACCTGCCAGTACTTCATGCAGGTGTGTCAGAACCAGGAGTTTTTTCAACTTAACGCTGATCAGTTGGGCAAGCTGCTGTGCAGCGATGATCTCAATGTTCCCTCGGAGCAGGATGTCTTTCACAGTCTGATGTCGTGGGTGCGCCACGATTCCACTGCTCGTGAGCAACATATCCCGGGACTTTTGGCCCTGGTTCGACTGCCTCTCCTACAGCCCGCGTTCATAATGGATCACGTGGAGAACGTGTGCAATGCCAATGAGTGCCAACAGCTGGTCATGGAGGCCTTCAAGTGGCACCTAATGCCCGAGCGAAGATCTCGGATAACTACTGAAAGGACCACGCCGCGAAAATCCACAGTGGGCCGCCTGCTGGCCGTCGGCGGAATGGATGCCCATAAGCGCGCCATTAGCATTGAGAGCTACTGCCCAAGATTGGATAAATGGACACCATGGAAGCATATGACTGGTCGTCGTTTGCAGTTTGGCGCCGCTGTCATGGAGGATAAGCTAATCCTCGTTGGCGGACGCGACGGGCTTAAGACCCTAAACACCGTGGAGAGTTTGGACCTGAATACAATGGCCTGGGCGCCTATCAATGCCATGGCCACGCCCCGCCATGGACTGGGCGTGGCGGTGCTGGAGGGACCACTCTATGCGGTGGGTGGACACGACGGTTGGAGCTACCTAAACACCGTGGAGAGGTGAGAATACAAGAAATGAAAGCTAATAATATTATTAATATAATTAATGCTTTTCTAGATGGGATCCTATTGCACGTACATGGAGCTATGTAGCGCCCATGTCTTCGATGCGGTCCACCGCAGGCGTAGCTGTTCTTGGCGGTCGCCTGTATGCGGTTGGCGGACGGGATGGTTCCGTCTGCCACCGCTCCATCGAGTGCTATGATCCACACACCAACAAATGGAGCCTTCTGGCGCCGATGAACAGGCGTCGCGGCGGTGTGGGCGTAAGTGTCTTAGGATAATTTGTATCTTCTATATTAATTCTCTTACTTACTAGGTGACGGTGGCCAATGGTTTCCTATACGCCCTGGGCGGGCACGATTGTCCAGCCAGTAATCCGATGGTCTGCCGCACGGAGACTGTTGAACGCTACGATCCAGCTACCGATACTTGGACACTGGTGAGCAGAAATTGGGATGGGAATCCATCTCTTGAATTCTAATACTTCTTATCCCACAGATCTGCTCGCTGGCCTTGGGCCGGGATGCGATTGGCTGTGCCCTGTTGGGCGATCGCCTGATCGTCGTCGGTGGCTACGATGGCACTCACGCGCTGAAGAGCGTGGAGGAGTACGATCCGGTGCGCAATGGATGGAACGAACTGGCGCCAATGGCTTTCGCGAGGGCCGGCGCCTGCGTGGTGGCCATCCCCAATGTCATACCGCCGGCGGCCCAACAGCCGGCGGCCAGTGCTACAGTTTAGTCTAAACCCATTCCACTTTCGGTTGCAGTGTAGGCTCGTTAAATGCATCGCTAGTGGGCCTAGATTTTGGGGTAATAGGATAACTTTTTTGGACCGATTTGCATTTACTACCCAGCCAAATTTGTACGTTATTAGTAGAATTCAATTCTTTAGATTTCAATATGTTGGTTGGATCTTTACATAATGAAAATGTACAACATTTTACACTTGAGAACTAATTCACATATGTATTATTCTAGACCTTTATGAATTCCATTTAATATTACTTCTTTTTTTTAATATGTTGGTAGATAGATGAGCTGCCACTTAAGTCTTGTGCATGAATTTAAACTTAAACATAGCATTCCACGTTTACAAACAATAATTGTAATTATGTAAATGCAAAGTATTTACACGAATAACTTGTAAAAAGGGGGTATAAAAATTAATATATTTTATTTATTGATAAATATGTAATATGTAAAAGAAAGCGGTATAGACCTTATTTAGTATTTATAATCTCAATCAGGTCAATAGCCTTCTGTTCGTCCGTATTTAAATCAAGAAACTTTCGATTCAAGCTAGAGCAGTATGTATGTATGTAGTATTCGGTCTATATTTTTCGACACATTACATATCAATCATGTATATCAATCAAACAATCAATCGAGTTATTAAGAAATTCAAATTAAGCGGTTTAGCATGGTCAATTTAAACAGAAGTAGAAAGTGAAGGCCAAGTTGTTTTTAATTTGTCTAGTATTTTAAAAACAAAAAAAGTAATCGACCACAGGGTTTTCTTTTGAGTTAATATTGTTATTGCATGTTATATTATATTTTAAAACAAAAATATTTCCATTGAAATAGGGAAAGAAATGTCAAAAAACTCAAGATTTTCAACGATGTATTAGATTTCTTACGAAAAACATCGATGGTAGTTTTAAAAGTAGCTGCATTTTAGCCTAGAAGCGATGCACTTAGCGAAAGAACACTGCACCAAATTTTATAGTAGTTGTTGTTACTGTTGCTGTGAGCCGCTCGTGGTTGTTGCTCGTGTTCCTTAACCCGGAAAGTTTGAAAATGCAGCTCACCTTCGCCTCGCTCTCGTCTGTGTTCTGACATGATTCCTTGTGGTATGGCATACACCCAGAATTCACCCACTTTCCACACACCCAGTTACCCAGTACCCAGTATTTCCAGCAAATCCCGCACTTTTCGGCTGATAATAAGTGAAACTAAAAATAAGTGAATTAAACAAAACAAATTAACAAAGATCCAGATAAATCTCATAGGTTTTAAGGAGCGCATGTTGCGAGGCTTCCAAGCTAAAAATCAATCCTTAGCTGTAATTAACCAACGTATTTTTCACGATCCTCTAGATTTTAATCATTCTCCATCCCACTCACTCTCCACATGGTGTCGTACGCTTCACACTCTGCATGCCATCTCGCTCGCGCCGGTGACGGGCCTACATTCCACATAAATCATTATATCCTAGATAAGACTGCGCCAAGCCAAAATTTTCAAAAAACAAAAATTGTTCATTTTTGCATGTGAAGTGTGCGAAGCCGTTTTGGAAAAACAAAAATCAAAAACAATGCTTAGTTTTAGTTAGTGAATACGTAAATATTCCATGGAATGATTAAATTTCGACTTCTGCATCGTCATTTTGTACCGATATTATTTAGTAAATACTAGATGTGTGTGTGCGTACAGCGAACATTTATTTCTAATTGTTTATTATCTTTATTTCTTTCTTTCTTCTTTTCCCATTTCCCTTTGATTGCATTTAAAAATAAAGAAAAAGAAGAAGTGGAAGCCAGTGAGATTGGATCTAATCTGCTATAATAGGCGTCCCAGATCTGTCGAGTTTGTCGACTACTATAACATGTAAATGCAAGACAGACAAGACAACAAATAAAACAAACTCTATACTATATAAACATTTAAGCCAAGCTACGAAAAAACATAAGAAATTAACAAAACAAAACAAAAAAAAAGAATCCAAATATTACGTATTATTTTATATATACACATATATATATATTTTTACACAAAACATACACTGCATAAATTTATACACCGGATATGTATTTTTTGTAATAAAAGCGAAAATAAAACGGTTATTTCTCTGCAGTTGGAAATTGAACATTGAAAGTAATATGATTTTAATGGTAAACAGTGGACAATATTTTAAAATGTGTTTTAAATTTAAGCTAATTTGCTGTTTGTTTGTTGTAGGTTTTAAACACTTTAAAGGCACTATTTGCCGATTTGCAAAACTTTTTTGTTTTTTAAATTTTTTAATAATGGCGTAGGGATACTAAACGATAGTTGGCTCACGATAGTGCAGATCTCTGGCAACACCGTGTGGTATATATCATCGACCAAGACGCGGTCACACTGGTAAAAATTAAAAAACTAATTAAATTAAGTTAAAGGACCTAAAAGGAACTATCAACGACAGCTGTGAAGGGCCATCGTTGGCGACATGGAATCGGAGCACTTGAAACGACTGGAGGCCAAGGAGGCGGACCACATTCCCGCCATCTTGAGCGAATTTAACACGAAGGTGAGTATTGTGATGGGAATCTCCAGAAGATTCGCTATGATTCAAGCCCCTCCCTTCCGTTTTAGAATGCAGATCTGCTAGTCTTCGACAGCTTTCGCACGGATAACCAATGGCACGAGCTGTGGTTGGCCATCTTTGGCATCTTGGAGGACCAGAAACTGAGCCATCTGCATACGCAGTGTCTGAACACGGTGAGAATTCTCACGCGAGACGAGTTCAGCCTGCAGACAAACTACATCGAACACGAGGTTAACACTTTACTAAAACTAGCCAGGATTGAGGCGAGCTCACTCAAGCTGCCTGCCACACCAGACGAGCTGAAGCAACAGGAGCGCCAGGAGCCCCAACTGGAGCCCAGTCAGGCCCAATCGGAGGTGATAGCCGAGGCACTGAAATGTCTGTGCAATTTGGTTTACCAGAATTCTGACTGCAGGCGTCAGTGCCTGCGACAACACTGCCTCGATGCGATTCTCAAGCGAGTGGCGTCCTCGATGCGGCATCCCTGCGCCCTAGAGTACTACGATATGAAGCTTCTTTTTCTGCTTACTGCTTTAGAGCCCGCGGCTCGGTCGCGCCTTCAAATCGATCTGAATGGCCTGACCTATATGACCAAGTGGCTGGACGACAAGCTGGGCGAGGATTCCGTCGGCGACGAGCAGCTAAACATCATCTGCGAGCTGCTTAAAGTGATGTTTAATGTTACCAGTGCTCCGGATAAGAGTCCCAATGAGTATGAGATCCAGAGCTTGCATTTGACAGGTGTGCTCAGGGAGTTGCTTCTGCGTTTTGGCGATATGGCCACAGACAAGGATCGTGCCGTGGTCACACATGCCATCAATCTGCTGACCAACATCTCAGGCAGCTGTCTCACCGAACTTACCCTGCGCTGCTCCAATGCTGAGATTGAGTCCCTCAAAGAAAGGGAGCAGGACAAGGAGAAGGACGGAGAGAAAGATACGGAAGCTGGAGCCAAAGCCAAGCCGCGCAAATGCTGCTCGCTGTGCTTTGAGAAGCGCAATGTCCGTAGTCTGGACGTGCTACTTCGTTATCTTCGACAATCGCTGGCCCAACAGGAGGCCGAAGCCAGCTCGCATGAGTTGCTCTCGCCAGTTCTGACCGTATTGGTGAAATGTGCCCGCAGCGATCGAGTGATGCGTCACTATCTGCGGCAGGAGATTCTGCCGCCGCTCCGTGACGTTAGCCAGCGGCCTGAGATTGGCCAGGAGCTGCGTAATCATCTGTGTCGGTTCCTTACACTGCCCGCCATGATCCTGAGGGATCTGTCTGCCGAGTTGCTTTTTGTACTGTGCAAAGAAGACGTCGGACGGATGATTAAGTATACGGGATATGGAAACGCAGCTGGGCTGTTCGCCAAGCGGGGCATACTCGATTGCCGAAGGGTGGAGGGTGCAGACTACTCATCCGACAGTGAAGACAGCGACACCGAAGAGTACAAGCAGCAGCAGCAGGGCATCAATCCCGTGCTGGGTTGCGTGGAGCCGCGCGGCAGGTCACATTTGGACGAGATAAGCGAGGAGCAGAAAGAATACGAGGCTATGCAGCTGGTCAATCTCATCGAGCAGCTGCGCCAGGGCGGAATCGTTAAGCCGGCGCTAATTGATAGAGATGGGCGGCCGCAGCCACTGGAGCACATCCTTCAGCTGCAGGAGGAGTTACCGCAGCAACAGCTCGACCAAAAGCGAAAAACTTAAACCTGAAATTTATCCGTGGAACTGCTATGGCACAACTTCCAAAAAGCTACCAAATAATCACTCTAAACTTTGCATTTATTCAATAGGTTAACACTCGGATTTGAATGTGTTCCAAAAGCTGAAATGCTTATTATCACCTAATTGTTATTGTCTCTGAAAACAAATGTCAAATTACTGAGTTCAGTCAAATAATTTTTTTTATAACATTGCTCCGAGAACACCCATGATCCTACATGTTGTTATCCGAAAATGAAAAGTTATGGGTTTGATTTTAGTGCCATGCTATAAGTATTTAATCATTTTAACCGATATTGATACAGCTTTCATCTAAATGTTGTAGCAAACTATTATTATTAGAGTTAGCTAAAATCATTATAATCGAATCATTTGTAGAACTTCTTTTTTTTTTTACTTTTATAATTAATTACACTAGTGGAAATTTGTACTTTTGTAGAGTTTTTGCATTTTGTTGTCATTTAGTTTTGCATGTGATTTGTATGGGCATTTGGAGTTGATACCATGGCATCTCAAACCATAGATAACGTACCGCTTGAATCGATAACTAAATGCAAAACAATCGTTGGGGTCTTCCAATTTTATGAAATTGGAAGTGGGGAACAGTTCAACAGAAACGAAAAGAAACCAAAACTGAATTCTTTTATATATACACACGATCTCGCATTGATCGACAGATAGACAAATTTGACTAATCTTTGTAATAATTAAGTGCATGTACTTATAAAAATTCAAATTATACACTTATGATCTAGATTTGGGCTCCCATAAAAAGCTCTTATACAGATTCGCGTAGCTGGGAAATGGCTTATAAGACCTATTTCACTCCCAGCTTTTATAATATAAATGTTGCATGTTTGTATGTAACTCTAGGAACTAACTAAACTTACTACAAAGTCTATCTATGACAGACGCAAGTGAGACGTACTTGAATCCCAGTTCTTTGTGGGTTTTAGTTTCCATATTGTTGATACTATTCTATGTTGTAAATTCCGAAGTATGGGGTAAAGGAACGATTCCAAAACTTTTTAAAAGTCACGTGTCTTTGATCTTTATACAGGAAATCCTATATAGAGCTTTATTGTGTTCAATTTGGTATAGCTATAGAAGATCTAATAACATACATATATGTACATCAAAACATAGTAATATTTGTTGCCGTTGATGTGTGTGCGAGTCTTAATGTGCGTCTATCCTAAGCTTAACAATAAATCAAAGTCTTGCTAAATCAAAAGAATTATCTATTTTCATACTCAATAGGGTCGATGACTCAAAAATGACTATTTCTTTATCGGAAATATATAATAACATTGTTAATGTTATGGTTATGTGGATAATTAATCTAGTAAACGAAGGTTAAATTGAAACATGAAATATATCGAAGATCATTTTTTGAAGTACTGGATCTAGGGAAAAATGTTATAATAAACAAGAAAAAAAAAATCTTCAACTTTCAGCCTATTACATATGAACATATATCCCTATAGATCACTTTGAAGTAAAGCTGAGCTTAAAAATGATTACAGATGAACAGTAAATTATTAAGTGAATTATTAATATTGAAAAGACTTTCTGACTATAGCTTGTATAGGGAGTTTTATATCTGGACGATAATAATCTTTTCTTATAATCTCACTTGAAGGTCTATATAACTCGGCAGAAATATCCTTCTCCGTTTATATCAAACATTGACTAATGCACATTCATATAAATTTCGTCAAGACTAGGACAAATACTTTATTATTCAGTTGATTCCGTGAGAGAAGTTCGCTTCCTGGATGTCGCCCTCCCTCAGTCGCATTGGGTCGTAGCGTGGTCCGCTGGCCGCCTGATGGTGATGATGATGATGCACCTTGTGGTGAAGTCCTAGGGCGTCATGCTGCTTCTGGCTGGCCTTCAACTGGGCCTTCAGGCGCTCTTGCCACTTGCGCCGCTCCTCCAGCCCTCGGGCCTTCTCTGTATGCTGCTCCGGGTCCTCCTGTTGTCTCCGATCTTCATCCAGCTTTGTGTATTTGGGAAAGTATTTGGCATACTTATGGGAATAATCTTGTTCCAGGGATTGGTCCGAACCTGACTCGCGTCGCCCGCTAGTCGGGGACGAGTTTCTACTCGAAAGGAGTGGTGTCTGAAAGTGATAGCACCGAGCTCCGTAAACATTCGTCAGATCAGGAATATCGAACTCATTGGTGTCGTCACGGGACAGAAACTCCTGAAGTTGTCGCTGCCTTTGTATGCGTTGCTCCCGGCGGAATTGTTCGTACGACTGGGAGCCGGGATCTCCGCTGCCCTCCGGCAAGGGCTTGCCATCCCATTCCTTCTTCTTCTCATCTTCCTTTGTATGAAGCTTCCTGAAGTGGTAGCGCAATTTTCCATGCTTCAGCAGATCCCGGTGTTCCTGGACGAAGTTCACCAGCTGCTCCTTACACTTAGCCATTTCGGCCTCCAGATGATTGACCCTTCGGCGATAGCATACGCTTTCGCTATAATAGAAAACATTTGAGTTCGCTTCTTGCACCTCCGGCCCCGACTCCCTCTCCTCCTTTTCATTCTTCTTCTGGTTGAGCTTCTTCACCTTCCGTGCGATCTCTCTAAAGGCCTTGGCCTCCGCCTCCTGCTCAGCCAAATCCTCAAGCCGATCGTGCTCTTTTTTCATCAAAAAAAGATTGTCGGCCATGCGTTTACGTTGCATATCCCTTAGCTCAAGGTCCTTTTTCTGCATTTGGAGGATCTCCTGCTGCACTCTGACCTCCAGTCGGCGTCGCTGCATCCTATCAGCGGTTGTGGGCAGCTTGTTTTTCTTGGGAGCAGGAATTGCGTTGGTTTTGAGCTCTATCTTAGTTTTTGTTTTTGACTTCTTTTCCCCGCTTATCTTGCGTTCAGACGGATTCTTTTGAACCGGAAGCTCCTGGGACGACTGAGTTTGGGGTACCTGAGCTACTCTCGCGGAATCATCAAAAGAGCTCCTCTGAGCCTTGAGCAGAGCCTCAACATGAGCCTTTGCCTCAGCATGAAACTTTTCCTGAACCTGGGCCTGCGATTGCCAAGGGACTTTCTTCTTAGGGGGGGGCTTTGGCAGATCTTTAGCCACCAAGGCCTCATATTCCCGTTGCAGTGCCACACTGCGTTGCTGATTTTTGGTCCAACGCCTTTCTATGTATTTTACCTGTGGAGGGACAGGGGCAGCTGGTTTTGAAACTACCTGCTCTGTACGGGTCAGGGTAACATCCGTTGATGGAGAACGATACTTCTGCAGGATCGAGTCAGACGGGGTCACGCGTTGAGCCTGCCTCGGCTGTTGGGTGATTGCGCGCGACACGGTGCTCTCTTCGAAGGTGGGCAGGTCTTTAGTTCTCTCGACGTGGTCCGTCGGTTTGGCACTCAATGTCCTGGGGGAAGGATTAGGATGAGTTGAGCACAGATGATTCTCCTGGCAGGAAGGTTGTATCACAAAAGTGGGGTGTACGCTTGGGTTTGGTATAAAGACCTAATTTGTAAGCTTTACTTTTATGAAACTTTAGTTGTTAAAAAAAAAAAACAAATTTCAAAAATTACATATTAAAAGTATTTTAAATGATTTTGGAAACGCCCCGTATCAATATAAAATTTATCGTTAATTTCAAAAAAATAGATATTATTTTTAGGTTTCTGATTTTACAATGCTTAAAGCTTTCAGATAATAAGTTAATTAATGTAAGAAATGTAAATGAATATCTTAAATAGTGTTTCTTTCAAACCATTATCATTATTCTTTTCTTAGACGAGCATTACCTTATAAACTTGAGAACCCTAATATAACATTTTATTATAATTTTTGATATTTATATTTATTATACAACTAAAAATTTAAGATATAAATTTAATTCCTATGTTTCACTGGTCCTTCATGACAATTTAGTGAGTAGCCTAGTCTAGTTACAAAAATTATGAATCAAGTATTTAAAGTGTTCAAACCATCCCAGAAAGTGCAAGTGGATAAACTAATATCCTAGCTAAGAGTTGCTAAGGGAATAATGTAAAGATGATAAATGTTATGCTAATTATTGACTTTGCTGCTGATTGAAACGCCTGGGATGCGGCTGTCGATGCCTGGAACGATGCAGTCGCTCCTTTAATTTGGGCTGAACAGCCGTTGACTCCATTGAGTCTTCGCGCTCCTTTGATGTGTCCTGTTGTCGAAGAATGGATGTGGCGTTCGCCGTGGAGGTGGCACGCCTATGCTAGGGACGACGGTACCTGGAAGAGGGTACGAGCAGCTAGAGAAGCTCCACCAGCCCTCCCCAAACAACACCACCAACAATCGGCCAAACCCAGCCCAATTTCCCTGAGCAACTCACCTGGTTCGCGATACGACTCGCGGCGGATTCGTTGGGTTCTCCCGATTAGTGGAGGGTGTGCTAGTGCTCACAGTACGGGCACTGCTCCTCGATTCCCGGCCAATCATATCGTAAAGGTTGCTGCGATACTGGTCCACCCCATAGCGCACATCGTCCTTCAGCGGCGGATGGATGTCCACCCGAAGTTCCATGTCCGCGGAGGCGGTCTTGAAGCGACTCACATACGAATGCTGAATGGCCGCCTTGGCTGTCAGCCTTCCATGGGGATTCAAAACCAAGAGGGACTTCACCAGTGATATGGCGTCGTCACAGCAGTTCCTCAACATCTCGTCCAACGAATAGCGGCGATCGCGATGGATCTTCTTGCTTAACAGGACAGTCCCGAAGCTAGGTCCGATCGAATCGATGTCCCGCTGGGTCACATCCGGCAGGGCCGACACGATTTTCTCAATCTATAACCAAGTAGAAGTCAATCGAAGTATTTATTTTTCGAGAGAAATAGTGTTCGAATAAAAAGTCTTACCAGATTTTACTATAATATTACACAAACATATAACAAAATTTGTATACCTGATTGATGGTGCTAGTGCCTTGGAAAAGTGGTTTCTGCCTTATCATCTCGCCCAGGACACAGCCCAGTCCCCACATATCAATGCCTTTGGTATAACTGGTAAAGTAAAAATGAAAATTATAAAATATTCACAGGCAGGAGAGCTGGAGTTAAACTCACTTGCGACTAGCCACCAGGATTTCGGGTGCTCGATACCAACGCGTGGCCACATAGTCCGTCAACATGCCATCATTGTCCATATCATCCATTTCGTTCTTGCGCTTCGTGAACAGTGTACGTGCCAGCCCAAAGTCGGCTACTTTGAGTCTTTGAGAAGATAATTGGAAATATTTGAAATATATTTATCGACTATAAAACTAAGTGGAATTTATCTATATATCACCTGCATTTACTGTCAATCAGTATGTTGCTGGGCTTTAGATCCCTGTGGATGACATTGCCCGAGTGCATGTATTTGATGGCATTAATCAGCTGGTACATGACAAATCTCTTGTGAATGTCCTTAAGCACATCGCCCTTCTTAATCACGTTATGCAGGTCACTTTCCATAAACTCGAACACTAAATAAAAATCCAAATTATTTCCAGCCCTGCAGGAAATATACATAGTAATGATAAGTTCTTGTGAAAGAGAATAGGATGCAATGGACCCACTTATAGACATCTAACAGTCGGATAATGTTGGGATGGTGGCGGAAGGCTCGAAGGAATATCACCTCGCGGTATGTGCGCTGGGCATCGGTATCATCTCGGAACGCATCAAATATCTTCTTCAGGGCCACCGTTTCCTTGTGTCGCTTATCTATGGCCTTCCAAACTATTCCATAAGCCCCTTTTCCCAAGCGCTGAGAAAATGGTGTATCATAGGAGTTAGAAAGGAGTCAAAATCAGAGCCTCAAAAGGTATCAAATCTGACCAGTGCTTAGAAATTAAATATGTCCACTATCGAAGAACATTTCTATTTTAATTGTTTGCTTAGGAAAGTTTCAAAAACTTAGTTTTTTGAAATATATAAAATATATGAAGAAACTGACTTAAAATTGCAAACATTTTGCGGATAAGGACTAAATACGCATAATTTTGAAAAAAGGTAACTAAAATCTATTCAAAATTAAACATCTTCAAGACTTAAAACAGACTTACCTTTCGTATTTCGAAGATGCTCTCCACATTTTGGTCCAGCTCATGGATGCGACGCTCTTGAGCGGGATTTGTAGCTTGGCTAGCCATAGAATTCTCCTTATTCTCTTTGTTATCCGTGTAAGGTATGTGCGCCCTGACACTGGCTATCATGCTGGGATTTCTAAGCCAGCTTTAAGGTGTCTATAACCTGCAAGATCACAATTGGCTTTGCCGTTCGCTCCGATTGGATGTCGCAGGTTGAATCTCTAACATCACCAGTTATCAGGATTGGCGCACAAGGCCTCAGAAGATCGATCACAACGCAGCTTCACTGTGAAGGATGGGATGGAATAGATGTTGTGTATAGTTGTGGTTAGCTGGCATCCAATGTGGCTGTTGCTGTTGCGCGTGGCAGTGGCGCCCGAGTGGTTTTGCGGCTCCAACTGGAGCATCTGGGGCTCTCGTCCTCGCGTGCTCGCTCCCATATGCAAACGGCATCAAGTATGTAAAATAAAAATAAACGACAACAAAAACAATGCAAAACTCCACAGAGAAAAAACAGATAAATTAGCTAAAAACTAAAATAATTTTACTTAAATAAATATTTAAAAACGTTCTTGTATTTATTAAACCAATTATAATTACTGTACAACTGTTGTCGTTTAACTAAATAAACAAAAGTTTATTTTAATAAATGAGCTTACAATAAGATTATTACATTTAAGAAACATAACCTATGATTTCAGTTATGATCGGTTTTTGGGATAATTTGGCAAGAAAGGATCATGGTTTTCTCGCTCTGCATGCAAATGCACCGGAAACGGAACAACGGCCATAACGGGAGCACAAATAAAAAGCGAGAAAAAAATAGCAAACGAATAAATAAATCGCGAGGCGGACCTGATTGAAACTGAATTATTGTTAGATCGATCGGGGAGAAGGCGAAAGCGAAAACGAGAGCCCCAATTGGATGGCCTGGCAAAGTCTACAGTGGACCCTCAAGTGCCCAGGGCAACGTCATGTAACGGTTCTCGTTGTCACAGTGAGTGCTCGATGGTGTTAACCAGTCAAAACAATTTGTATTCTTCTTATCTTAGTTAATTAATCATAAGAGCTGCAACATTCAGAACTTTGCAAGGGAAACGAAAAATATTTTTTACCGTAGCTGATAATATTCTCAATTTAGAATAACATTAAATATAAAACATCTTTGGTGTTTCAATTGCCTATGCAAGGTTCAAGGCCAAATTCAGAGTATAACTATTGTTTTTCCTTTTTTCTTGAATAAGTTGCTAATAGTAATTAGTAATACTAAAAACGAATGGGTTCCCTTCTACTAAAGCTAATATATATACATACATATATAGAATAAAAGATCCATTCACTGGGGTCCTTACTGTATTACTGTTACTTTGCCTACTTCAGTTATTGTTGTTGCTGGAAGAAACGCCGCAAAACAATCAAATGGAAATACACGGCATGCAATCTACTGAACGAAAATCACCAACAAAACTTGGCAAATGAATTTGTTTAACAAATAAATAGGCACAAGTACACTCATATGGCAAAGGGCAACACAGAGCAACAAAGATCGTGGCAAATTGCATCTTAAATGCAATGCTCCATGAAATTTAACCCTGTTTTAAAATAAAATGGAGCAAAGAGAGCGCAAATGCAACTTGCTTAAGCCATAAACGACTCAGTTAATAGTTATAAATTTTAGAGTTATTTATGATTGATACCTTAATCAATATTATATACATTTTAGATAGAATGATACATAGATTCGTAGCATTACATGGTAATTAAATATTTACACTATACATACATATGTATGTAACTGTTTGTTAGCTAGTGTATCCCCAAAAACAACAGCCAAAACGGCGCGATTGAATCTGGCACAAAAGTTTTGAAGTGGAGCACATCACTTACCCGTAAAAGAAGGCAGATTGGTAGGATACGTTGGATGGTGGCTAACTAGGAAACGAAGAGACCCGGGAACTTGATGGATATGTGTGGGATTGAAAGTCAACTGGCAATTTGCACAATAAAAATAAAAAATATATATATAATAACGAACGTAATGCGAATCACAAGATGTAACCAGAACTGTAAAGGTATTAGGGTTTTGAATTATACATATATTTTCGAAATAGTCCTCGAACTAACCTGCAGTCAATATGGTGAGCTGTCCTCGAAGTTATTCGAGAAGCAGTTCAGGACCTTAAACATGGAACACAGAAATCGAAACGCGAACAATTATGCCTCACGATAGTCCTTTTCTAACTGATCCCGTTCAGGTTTTCGTTTCTACCAAACGATATTATTCTCTCCTTCGTTCTTTAGGGCTTTCCACTGTCGACTCTTCAAATAGTCCTTGAATTTTTGATAATTTACGTGGTCGCTGGATTCTTGTTTGGCCTTTGTTGTGTTTGTCGTGCCTTAGTTTTTGGAATAAGCTGCCGCGACTTGAAAATTTAAATGTCTCACTCACGGTCCACGCGCGTCTTAATTTGCACAGATTTGATTGGAATTGAAAATGTACATTTATCGAATCGACATAGATAAAGATCGGGGAAGGATGAGGCCATATGACGATGGTATCTGCGGCTCTTACCCTTTGGATATGATTTTACAAAATAAAAGATTCGAATAGAATACAAAAAAAAAGTGTTTTTTTTTTGGAATCGGGTCGTGTGTGAAGTAGAAAAGTTCCGGACTATGACTGGCATCGAGAGTTAGTCTGGACCGATAAACTCAAATCGCCACGACTACTAAGTCGTAAGGTAATTCCGTTCCGTTCAGACTCGTTTGAAATTTCGACTGCACTTCCTCTTTGTGTTCGACCATGCCTTCGGTGTCCTGGCTCCTAAGTTTCCATTCCCATTTCGTAGTTTCCATCGTTTTTGTGGTCCTGGCGTATCCATTGGTTGCCCCCCGCCTTCCTATAAAGTGTCTTGGCGGACCCTTGCATATCATTCACCCTTAACCTGCGATTCAGATATTAACGGTGGGGTTGGATGCACTGTCATAAATTTGTATAAATAAAGCTAATTCAATTAACAAATAACTTCGAAACGTTTGAGTCATTTATTAAATATCGATTTGATACAAAAATATATTTATATCTATACATATATAACCGGCAAGGTGAAAAACGATTTAAATATAAATTATAATTTTACTATTATTTAGTTTCAAAGGTCAAGTTGATTTAACCTAAATCTTAAATATTTCATGATTTAAAGAAACATTCCAAGTCATTTCTATTGTATAATCAAAATCAATCGCTTGTATACGACTTTTGTTGTCAGTGCTTTCAAAATATTTATTTACACCTAATTCTTTATTTCTTTAGCTACAGCAAAATAATATTTAACAAAAAAAAAGGATTTCCGACGTTTTTCGTTCTTACAAAATTATTATTTGCTTGTTTCTTGATAAATTAAAGTAAATATTTTTTACTAAAACATGACCACTTAATTTTAATTTAAATAATCTGCAGAAAATACATTGTGAATGATATTCTTTGGCGAGCTTGCCCAATCTAACTTTTCCCTTTTATGGGCAGGTTGCTATCAATAAATGCATATTTGATGCTTAGTTTTCAATAACAAACATGGGCGTACCCCCGATCCAGGCGCGTAGCAACCTCCTTCTTTCCGGGAACTCAACAGCCGGCGAATGTGTTATCCGGTTGCCCGGAGAAACGCGACACCTGAACTTTTGTATGCTTCTCCTGCGGAGTGGGGTAAGTAAGAAGATTACTGGATTGTCGTACAAAAGGGTAATTGCATGTCAGTTTATTGTTTATTTTTATTATGTTTGGAGGAATGAAACTCTATGGCTTTCGCTGCAGGTAGATTATTTGTGGTTGCTTTTGAACTTGGATTGGTTGCTGCTGCTGTTGTTGTTGCAGCAGCTGCGGTTGTTGCTGCTGCTGCTGTTGTTGCTGCTGCTGTTGTTGCTGCTGCTGCTGTTGTTGCGGCTGCTGCTGTTGTTGCGGCTGCTGCTGTTGTTGCGGCTGCTGCTGCTGTTGTTGCTGCTGCTGTTGTTGCTGCTGCTGCAGTAACAAGTTCTGTTTTTGCTTCTCCTGGTACAATTGATGCTGCGCTTGCAGCTGCTTCTGTTGCGCCTGCCGTCGCTTTTGCTTCTCAAACTCCGCCAAATGCTCCTGCTGTTTTCGTACCAGCTCGTCCATCACCTCGTGATTATAGGTGGAGTGCAACATCAGTCCTAGAAGATTCGCCCGAGAAGACAACTGCTGTCGCAGCATGCGCTCTTGCTCCATTAGGTCGTCCAGCTTGAGCCATTGCCTAACACGTTCTAAATCGATTTCCGCACGCCGAATTTTCTCCCAGGCGTAATGCTTGAAACAGCTCTTCTTTGGGGCCCGGCAAAATTCGCCAGAGGGATTAAAACCCCCGTTTATCAAGGGTGAACCACACACATCCGTGTCGCTCACCTTAGGATCCTTGCTGTGCTCCGGACACAGTACCCTTAATCTTTTACAGTACGTCTTACTGGCTGGGTTGTAGAAATCACAAAACATATTGTTACCTTCCATTCGCGTTTGGAATATACTCCCGAAGCTGGCCTGCGATTCGTATTTGTTAAAGCACTTTTCCATGTGCTTGATGGCCGTTCGCGAGTGAATCTCGTGACCGCAGGTAATGCAGTACATACTCTGCTCGTCCTCCGCATCTGCAGTGTCTTGTGATCCATTCGTATCGATAGAGCTTCGATTGGCCCGGTCCACTATCAAACCTAGCTCCTCAAAGCGCTGGTCCAACTCGGCGAGGGCGAAACGCACCGTGGACTGCTTATTTCGAATGCTTTCCAGGTGCTTGCGTGTCTCTTCGGCGGCGCGGCATGGCGTGAGATTCCACTCCTGCAGACGCTGCGGTAGGACCTGAAACATAGACTTCAGTGGTTAAATAATGCTCTTAAGCGGGCCTGAGAATGCAAACCTGGAAGATGCGGTTAGTGGCCAATTTGAAGCCGCATTTGTCGCTACAGTACTTGCTCTGCGGTCTCGCCTGGCAGCAGCAACCGGGTCCATGGCACTGTCGCGTGCCTTCCAGCTCCGGGTTGAGATAAACCTCTGGGCTGGCCGCCCGCAGGCCTGTCATCACCTTGCGATCTTTTGGAGCTGCTTTCTCCCGCTTCCTGCCTGGACCCGTTTGACTCTGTGACACCTCTTTAGTGCCTGCTCCCGCCTGGGCCACGCAATTTCGGAATATGCAGCGCGGTTTGTGACCAACACGGACGCGGCAAGCATCGCACTGATTGCAATTGGGACGCCGGCATCCCTCGCAGGTGCCGCATCGCTTGCCCGCCTTCGGTTCTCGAGCATTACTGCTCTTGCGCTTCAGAGCCCCTGTCGTCGTCGGCACCTGCAGATTATTTGCTCCGGGTGCTATCGCTGCACCCCCTTGTCCTCCACCTGGAGGACCCAAGCCCGGGGCATTTAGACTCGTTGAGGCGGCATTCGAGGCCGCAGTCCGTTCGGTGGCCACAAGACGGAAAATGGTTTGCAGATCAGGATTCTCCTTCTTGCAGCGCCGGCAGTAGTACTGTTTGATGTGCTTAGCCTCTTTTTCGGTGATCCCAATGCAATCGCCGTGGTACCACTCCTCACAACCATCGCAGCCTCTGGAAAGCATCGGAATCAAATCAACAACATGGTCTTGGTCTCGAGAATCATTGGGCTCACATCATGAACCTCGAGCAGTCGGAGGTTCGACATATGCAATATGCCTGATCTTCCTGCTTGAGTATGGTGGCAATCTTAGACTTGCGCTCCGGCAAATCGAACTCCCGTGCGATTTCTCGCCGGATTTCCTCTTTCTGCAAATAGATCGAATAGTAGTTACAGTCATTGTCATCTCAATCAACTTACAGTTTTCTTATATTTCCGTTTGTCCGCCATGCCGCTTCAATCTTTCCCAGAATTCAAGCCTGCAAATTGACGTCCCGGATTCCAAAAAAAATAAACTATTAATAATGGTGGTGGAACTGGAAGCGCATATCGTGAATTGTCTGTAAGTTGGTCGTGGACATATCGATGAGTGTTGTAAAAAAAATTAAAAGATATAAACATATTTTGTTCAAATATACTCAACGTTTTGTACATATATTAAAAACTACTTATGTTTGTAAAGTATTATTTATATAAATATGTTTTCGGACATTTTATTGATATGCGACTGACATGAAATGAATATATACTCGAACATTGATAGTCGTTACAATCGACTTAAGACCACTGCTATCGATTATTTCCCACATCTAATTGTAATTACCGCGCGTTTGCTTGCCGCATTTTTGTTAGCATTATAAGTTAAGTTGAATGTTTATAACGAGAAATAATGGCGGCCCTGAGCAACCTTAAACAGTGTCCTCCTTTTTCTACGCTGCCGGATTTGGCGCTGCGACACAATCACATTCCGGAGCTGGAGCGCTATCCCCAGATAAACCTGAAAAGCGAACTTCAGGCCAATCCGGCTGGCCAAAGATTTTATGGCGGCCAGAGCTTTGTGCCAGTGGATGAAGGCGTTCTTAAGCGGATCACCCGTACCTTCTTTGATGGCGGATTCTGGGAGTCACTGGAGGAGGCGCGGAGCACAAAGAGCCGCGAGCAGGCTCCGCTGATTGCCCAGGCAGGGGACTTCATTGCCCGTATTCTGGGTCTGGCAACCGGCTTGAGACTGAGGATTCTTCCGCATACACAGGAACTTAGTGGAGAGCGGATTGCACAGTTCGCTGAAACCAGGTGGGTGAAGCAAAGCTTAATAGCCAGTTGATAGTAAACGCATTATCTCTGATTATTTCAGGGATTGGCTTAACAGCGACGTGCGATTCCTTGCTTGGAACTGTCACTTCTTCAGCCTGGCCGTGGCTGGTGTGGATGATGTGGTGCGCATTTACTTTAAGAACTCAAACACCGCCACCGCAACCATTCTAAAGGTAGGAAGATTAACTTTTTCATTACTTACACCAATTAAAGCCTAAGATATGTTGATTTAACATTATAAACACAAATGACATACTTTTAAAATATTTCTTGATCTATACAAATCATTAAATTTTAATTATTTCAGAGCCCCAATCAAACGGAGATCACTTGTATGGCGTGGCGGCCGCTCTGCGCCGCAGAGATCGTGATTGGATGTCGGCAGGGACTTTGTTTCTGGGAAGTGGACAGTAGTCTGCATCTGGGTCGTACCAATGCGCCCTCCAAAGTCTTCAAACAGTAAGATTACTTAGTTTTATGCTATATTTTAAATAAAAACTGATCCAGCTCTTCCTTTTAGCCCCGACAATCTTCCAATTACTTCGATGCAGTGGAACAAGGACGGCGTTCAGTTGGCCACCGCCTCCATTGGTGATCGTGCCATCATTATCTGGCAACCGGACAATGGATTGATGCAACCTCTTAGACGTCTGGGTCCGCCGGGATCGGTGCTTAAATGGTCGCCGAATAATGACTGGCTTTTTGCGGCCACCGTGGATCGGGTATTCCGTGTATGGAACTGCCATCATCAGTGGTCCACCGAGCGTTGGGTGTGTGGTCCTGGAGGCTATGTGCAAACAGCCTGTTGGTCACCATGTGGTCGTTTCCTGCTTTTCGTTAGCAGCGCAGAACCGATTCTCTATCGCCTGCAGTTTGTGCAACAAAGTCTGCTTTCGTGTAAGTATAAAAATCTTAAGGTTCTGAAGCCCAGGGCAGCCTATTCTCAGTGTCTGGCCTTAAGTTGTGGTCAAATACAAGGGTGTGATATGGGGCTGCCCCATATTAATATTGACAGGAACAGGTTGGCGGCTGCTATAGCTTCCAGACCGCCTGTATAATGCTGACTACATTCATAAATTAGTTATTTTTGTGATAAATATAAACTAAAACAGCACAATAATTTCATATATTATTAATCCCTCTTGCAGCTTCGGCGGATGAAAAGGAAATTCTTCCTATTGCTGATCTAAATGCCTGCAGCATCGATGCAAATCGCACGCTGATCGGTGGTCCCGCCCAGCAGTTGGCATGGGATCCACATGGAAACTACCTCGTGATTACATTTAAGTCGACCAACTGCATTGCTGTATTCCGCACCTTTATTCAGAAATTTGACCTCCAAATATCGGCGGCATATTATCTGAGCGGGGAGACGCCGGCGGAGCATCCCAGCTTCATTTGCTTCCAGCCACTTTACAAGGATAACGATCGTTCCGTACTGACAATCGCCTGGTCGTCAGGTCGCATCCAGTACTATGCCTTCGACTGATTTTAAGCTTAATGTTTTTTTTTTGTATATTTTATTTCATTTGGTTTTTGTAAGCGTTAATACACAATTAAACAGGGTAAACTTGTTCTGGAATCTATCAACTGCGGTGGATTTTAATAAATCCAAAGGTGTGAGTAAGTAGGGCACAAAATATTTTAAGAATGTGGAAGGTAATTGACTATTAGAATCGAACAAATAGTTAAGAACTCGCATCTCTCCTACAAAACGCCCACTTTTGTCTCTTATTCACATTCAAATGAAATGTGCCAGCGTTTTACACCTTTAAGGTATTTTAAATCATTCAATTACGATCCCTAACAATTAATTATTTTCTTAAAATTGGTCCAACAATTATATAAACATTTAATGAAAATAGCTAATTACATTTCCAAGGATTTATTAATATTTTCATTAAAATAGCTTATCCATGGAATATAAGAACAAGAAACGTATAAAATCACATATTTTCTATGGAATCATAGTTTTTAATTTTAATAAACCTCAAAAAGTCGAGGTAATTTTGAATAGACTCAGTGTATTGAAGTAATTATTGTCGGCAACCAAGTCTTCTATAGAATACGACTGCCTTAAAGCTGCAAAACGCTTCACAAAAACTTGCATATAAATATATAAATAATGGTATGTGTATATATATGGTATAGCATATAACGTGATTCCGATTAAATAACAAAACAAAGAGTTAAATATCAAACATAATAAGGGGAACGATTGCTGAGGCAAAGGGATCACACTTGGAGCAATACTAAGTCATAATTTACATACACACAATATAACCACACATATAATATTAATCGAGTTGGTCCCCCAGAAGTCCTAGATGTCACCGAAGAAGTATCCTAGGGCGGTAGCCGCCCTTATTCGTACCAACGCCTGTTCGTCCTTAAGCAGAACGGAAATCTTGCTGGCCACAGCCTCAGAGTGGACGTTTCGTTCGCTTAGGAAGTTGTTCAAAATGCCTGAGGAAGATCATCGGAATATAAAAGTTTGGAGACTTTAAGGGATCGGAGGATCTAGAAGCTTACCAATAACAATGGCTGCACTACCCCGCACCTCCGGCCACTGACTACGTAGCTGCGGCAAGCACGAGTCGATGAAATCCTGGATGTGATCGGTCAGCTCCAGCGCCTTAAAAATGCAATTCAAATGTTTATATATGATGTTTTAAACCATCGTATTGTAAACTTACAATCAACTTCACGAATTCTAGTACAAAGATGTTGTAGTTAAGCTGGTGACTCCGTTCCTCGCCCAACTGTTGCTGAGCCATCTGCGCGACTTTTGGTGCGTTCAGGAGACGGCAAACCCGCTGCAGTGTCCCGCGGCAGGCCGCCACAATAGCCGCCTCGCTTTCGCTTAGATGGAGGAGCAGCGGGAAAAGATTGGCGATGAGTTGCTCTCTTAACGCTTCCATTGAGGAGGTTGGTGAACTGCTGCCATCATCGTGCTTGCCCTCGCATATGTCACCAAACAATTGAATGGCCGCCTCGCGCATCTCTAACGCATAGTTTCCCAGAAATGGTCGAATACGGATTGCCAGAGAAACGTGGAAGGACTCCACGCGCTCGCTTGGCAGGGCTCGCAAGATTCCAGACAGTCCGCGCATGCTCTCCAGCGGAATGTTGATCAGACAATCGCCAACCGGATCGTCGACCCCTTTCAGCAAGGCTCCGATTGCAGTTTCAGAGTAGCGCTTCGCTTCCTTTTCCCCCAATTGGCCCACGTACCCCATGCCCTGGATGCTCAGACCACGCACCACCGCATTGGGATCCGAGAGCGCTGCTCCGAGATGGAGTAATATGGAAGCAGCTAGCTCACCGGTGGGTTTCAGTGGCACTAAGCGGGAGAAAAGACCCACAGCAGCCACTCGCTGGCCGTCGTGCGGCGAAGCCACATATTTGCTCAAGGAGTTGACCAGCTGCCTCATTTGTGGACTTCCCAGCTGCAACTGCTGACCCAGTCCGATGGCCATTGGAGTTAACAGTTCGATGTAGTTGTGCCAATCTGCGCTGCTCGCCAGTTGGTTGTTCACAGTGAGCACGCTGGCAATCTGCTCCATTTCCAGGTTGGTTAGAAAGGCCTAAAATCAAATATTTTGGTCAAGATTACAAGATGCTTTTGTCCCTTAAAACCCACCTGAAATGTTTCCAGGGCTATTTGGCAGGGATTGAGTTTAACCAGATCCTTGTTGGGAACAAATCCAAACTTGGTTTTGCCCGATTGCGTCTGATTGGGACTTAAAGAGACATTTACAGGATTCGGTGGTGCTAGGTTGGTGTAGCTGCTCAGAGAGGTCAGCAGCATGCAGAATATATCCGAAAATCTTGTCTCCAGTTGCTATAAACAGCAAACATATGTTTTATATTAAAACTTTAGGAATGTTCTCCCATCACTCACCCCCTTGATGTCCTTACAGGGCAACATCTCATGCAGGGCGCAGAAAATAGCAAACGGCTGACCGCTTGCCAGTTTCTGACGTTCAGAGAGCGATGCCTCCTGGCCACCCTCCTGCAGTGATGCGCCACTTAGCAGCTGCAGAAAATTGTCCAGTGTGATGCCCGTCAACTCCGGATCGTTGCACACTAGGTGCCAGTACTCTACCAGGTTGGGATCGTATGGCAGCGGCTGGGCCAGCATTTCGGCACAAACCAACTTGGGGTGGTGCTTGGTGAGGGCCACCAGAGCTTTAAGTACTCCGGACTTGGCTCTGGGCACCTCGCACACTTGCAGGGCCAATAAACTGTCCCTAACCAGGTCGGGGATGGCGTGGAATAGCTCCGAACCCTTTTGCTGGATGAAGAACTTCAGAACCACACTGGCGCCGATAGTGGAACTCTGCTCGGGATCTCGGAGCGAGTGAAGCAAGGTTTTGCTTTAAAAAAGGAGAAAGAATATTTGAATGATTCTCACACATAAAAATACAACGCATACTCACCAGAATTGAAGGTACTGAAAGCTGGAGATACGCAGGGCAATGATCTTGGCGATGTCGCCGGCTAGATTGTAAATCTGCTTGGGTTCGTCTGTGATAATGTGCTCCTTAATGGCCTCTATCTCTTTTAGCCAATCAGCAGTGCTGTCGATGCTAGCTATTGTCAGGGTTTCGTATATACACGCGATCTCTAGTGTCTTCTGCAGGATATCCACTGATACCTGTCGTACCGTACCATTTGAGTCAATGCATCTGGGCACAATTTTGCCCAGCATCTGGCCTGTCTGGTTAAACTTTGATGGGGCTTCGCATCCAATTTTCATTGCCTTGATGTAGACCTCCAAGGTGTTATTAAAGACGTGGCTAGCGCAGATTCGCACCTCTGAATTTCGATCCCGTGTCCAACCCTCTAGGATGCCAATAATCAAATCCAGGGTGGCCGGCGATGCATCCAACTCTACGATGGCCCGCACCAGGGCGTTTAGCTGGGGCAGAGATTCGTTCAGGTGTTTGGCCAGGAAGCTGTTGCGTTCATCCTCCTCCTGCGAGTCGAATTTCATTTTTAACTGCTGGGCGCAGCCGAAGAAGTTGCGGCACGCTATCTCAAAAATCACTCCGCCGTCCACACACTCCTCTGTATCGGGACCACCTAAAAGAAGTAGGATAAAGTTTCTCTGGTTTATTAAATATACGGATTTTCCTACCTATTCGAATAAAGTCAGTGCCCAGCTTGAGGATGGTGGGCAGCAGTGGCAGGTCGTGGAAGGGTGCCTCGATGGGGATGTTGAATACTGTCTCCATGATTTGCTTTCGGTGGCGCAGCGGTGCTGGCAACTGGTCCTTGGTGGCGATCAACTGGTTGCAGATGCTGAGCAAGGTCTGTAGAATGGCAGACATTATTGTTTGGTCCTTATGCACGGCCAGTTGTTGGATCAGAAAGCCCAGCAGGGTGTCGTCCTCATCGAGGTGCTGGATGGATTGCAGCGGATCGGCTTCGTCCATGATGCGACCGAAGGCCTTGACCACCAGCAGGTTGCTCTTGTAATTTTCAAGCTCTTTGTGCGTATCCTTAATGAAGTGCAGATTGCTAAAGAATCCGGTGGAGTGCTTTCGTCCACCGATTTGGGCCAGTTCGGTTAGCTTCTTGACCAAATGTCCCAAGTGCTGACGCGATATATAGCCCAAGGCTCTGGCGCAGGGTTCAATTCGCTTCTCGTAGTCCGCATGCTTGACATGCTTGTCCAATCTCTCCTGCCTGGCACTCGTCACAATGAGATCAATCTTAGTATAGATGCAGGCCACATCGGTCACCTGGAGCAGAGTTAGGGCCACCGCCTGGAGGAGCATGCCTCTCTCGGCACTTAGGTCAGGCAAATGCCACTCAGAGTGGGGTAACTGCATGGGATACAAGTACATCTGGTCCGCCAGTTTACTGGCCAAACGCTGAGGAAAGTTCTCATCCAATCCGCCTAAGAACTCGTTCGTTTCCAGCACAAAATCATGCAGAAGCTGACGGTAGGCACTCTCTCTGTTGATTTGTAGTAAGAGGTCGGGAATTCTTCGCTCCCATAGTTCCTCCAGAGCGGGATTCACTTGGGGATGATAGTAGCGCAAGAAACTAAGGATATTCGAGCAGCGTTTGATGCACTGTTGGTTGCCAAGGAGTGCCAAACATCTTGCGTAAATTGTCTCCGCTCCAGGGACCATCACCTTCCCACGCTTAATGACACTGCGATCTTCACCAGTGGCTCCCCCACCGTCTGGTGTAGCCTGCTCCGGGGCCGCATCTTCGCCTGCTATATCGTACTCTATATGTGGAGATTTGGCAAACAAACTAGCTAGGCACTTGGCGAGATTGCCACAAATATCAGTGTAGTCCAGAAGGATTAAGTAGTTCAGTAGCTCCCTCTTAAGTAGCTCATCCAAGGTGCCCACTGTAGAGGCTAGCATGTACAGGGTGTTCTCACAGCTTAGGACAAGATTCGCGTGTTCCTCCTGACTGCCATGCTCTTGGCTTGGCTTGGAGTACCTGCAACTGTGCCGGACTACGAACCACACAAACTCCTTGTCCCTTATATGGGATTTTTGAGCGAGTGCCACAATAGTCTTTAACAGGGTGAGCTTCATCTTGATTCCCCGTTCACTCAGGATCAGTTGTTTCAGGCACTCAATGGTGGCTGGAATGCGGTTCTCTATGTTGCCGGCACAGGAGTTGAGCAGATGGGTGAGTATCAGCAGGGACTTCATTCTCTCACGTTCGCTATTGTTACGAAGATGAATAAGCAATGTATCCATGATACGGGTTGAGTAAGGATGATGACCGGCTAGCAGGTGAAAACAGCGCAGCACTTCATAATGACCCTTAACAGTTTGTGGCTTCTCGTAGTCCGGATACACACAGACCAGGTCGAACAAATGGGTGACCAAGGGATCGATGATGCCATCCAAAACGGTGGCATTTAGGGCCAGGTTTGTTTTTAGCACGGAGCAGAGAAACTGGGTAACCGCATTCCTGTCCACACTGCGTCGGTATAAGGCAAGGATCTGGGGAACCAATCTGGCGGCCTGATCTTGAATTCGATCTTTGGGCAGCAGGGGATACATGCTGGACAAGGCTTGGAGTATCTCCACGCAAACCTTCGGCTCACGGGAGTGCAGCCACTGATTGAAGAGCACATCGTAGGCTACACTGATCTCTGTGGAGCAGTTCTCCCCCTCCCCTTTACCGCCCTCCTCCAACAAAGCTTCACTGAATCTACCGATGGCATAGGCATGTGCCTGCTTGATGTGATCATGACGGATTCCAACTAGATGTGGCTGACATCTGCCCAAAATTGCCTTTATGTGAGGCGCCACACCTGACGGATTCTCGGTGGCCAGCAATCCAAGACACTGCATCAGCATAAAGTGGGCAACACCATCGGTACTAGTTCCCTTTTCCTGAAGAGCCTCCATCACCTGCTCGCAGCTCTCCGGACTGCTACGTCCGATTGCCACTAAAATACGCTGGGCGGGATTCTGTATCAGGGGAACGTGTTCGGGATTCCTAGTTAGTTCTTGCAGAGCCAAAGCAATAAGTTTCTGATTGGCAGCCGGCGGCAGTGGAGTTTCCGCACCCACTACGCGACGAATACAGCTGGAAAATGAAAAACCCGGATGGATTAAGAAAGCTGGTTCATTGGATATCCCCTAGAGATACTCACTCTAGCAACATGGCCACCGTTTGCTCACTCATCTTGGGCTGCTGCGACCGGTGCTCGCTGAGGATCTCCGCCGCCCTTTGCGGATGAGTTTCTAGGATTTTAACGATCGCCTGCTGCATGGCGACACGCACCTGCTCCTCCTTGTCAGTCAGTCCATCGAAGATATTGTGCAGCACGCCTAAAAAGAAAAATTCATGAATCTTTACTAAACTCAAACATATAGATCTTAGAATTGTATTCAACATATTCCCCTTACCATACTAGTCAAAATACCTCCACTTTGGTGTATATGATTCTTTTACTTATTTACATTATAAATTATTTTCAGAGAGAATATCATTTGTGATAAATACATATTTAATTATTGGTAGTCAAGATGTAATGTGCTTTACATTTTCAGTGTTTTATTTTAGTAAAAGTTTTAGAAAGAATTTGCAATACTGATAAGAGGGAAATTATGGCAATATAAAAGCTATTTGAATGAGTCACTAATTATACACTCTTTGGGCACAGTCAGTGGAATTAGTTAGAGCCATTATATAGTGAAACAATGTGTAGCATTCAGTAATACAAGTAACTAGATCAAAGTCAAGTTTACACCATAGTTCTATTTTAATGTAGACACAGTGAGGGTCACAAAAATAAAACAGATAATGTATATTTTTATAGTCTAGATTGTAAAATTTACACATTTACAAGATGAACATAAGCTTCAAAAAAATATAAATATTCCACATTTTTTGAAGTAAATTGTGAGTGTATAGAATAATTCTAATAAACAAATTGTTTCTGACATATGTATTTGAAAAATAAATAGGTCTAAAATGGTTTGGGACACATTTGACAATATCACACACCATGAAAAACAAGAATAATATAGGAGTCACCTGATAATGATATGATCAAAAAAACATCTACATATGTATAAGGAACACGTCAGTCTAGAGACACATAAGTCCAATTGGATTGAGTTTCCAGTGATATTCGAGAGGACGTGCTGTTATTTTTCAAAAATTAACTGTAAACCAATACATACACTAGCTGATGAATCAAATCAAATTGAATGCAATTTGTGGGTGTAATTGTGAAATGTTTTTGTATTGATTTGTCATACTAATAAATTTTTGTAATTTGTGCGTTGTATATACATATGTATATACAAACATGCTTAGATGCTTTTTTAGGGCTTCACACAATCAACAGGTCTCTAAATACATGTATAGATACGCAAACAGAGTTATTTATCTATCCCTTTCTCTTTCACTCCACCCCCTAAAAATGGGTCAACAAAGGATTCCCCGTTACTTTTGGGCGGTCATGTGTGCGTTTTGTCTAATGCGTAGTTGTATTTATAGAACAGGACAAAAGGCTGTGGTTTATCATTAATCTGGGCTGGAGTGTGAGAGAAGGAGAGGTGGTTAAACGCCCATTTACGTTAATGCTACATGAGTGTGTAAGTTTTGGGGGTTTCCTAATAGTAGAGTAATGTGTTTATCATTATCTATGGGATTTTCGGTTTCTCTTTGTTTTCATCTGATTTTCTTGTACCTTCCAGAATCGTGGGCTTATCAACAGGCGCCGCTGAAGAAGAAGCAGCTGCAGCGGCACTTCCAGTGGCGGCGTTATTTCCAGCAGCTGATTTGTTGTTGTTGCCCGATGTGGAGGATCCTCCCCCATCGCCACCACCACCACCTCCTCGATCATTCATCTTCTTGGTGGAATTGCGCGTTCTCTTCCACTTCTCCAGTTTAACGGGAATTCAGATAGCGATAAATTAAGACGCGCACTGCTTGACCGCGGAAAACCTCGGGAAAACAAGCGAAAAACTCCGTTGCGAAATTGTTTTGTTTAGCTAATAATGTGACCCTTTTGGCGTTGGAGAAATATGCTGGCAGTATGCGTTAGTGTATTTTATGAATGTTGTATGATAGCAAATCTTCTTACTTTACTTTGCTAAGTACTTAGCACGGACACACACCTCAGGCGATGTTTCAAGATCCAATAGGAACAGATATTCATGTTACTTTGTTGTACTTCCAACTAGACTTCCTATACCGGCTTAAGTCCTTTTTTAATGTTGTTACTAAAATCATTTTAATATATCCACAAGTTAAATTTAAAAAAAAGCAAAAGCACGCCGAAATTTTAGAAAAAATTGTTTTTTTTTCACTTGATAACTTTTCTTAACTTAACAGCGAATTATTCGATTGCTTCTTCCGCTTCCGCACATTCGCGATAAAAAGTGGTACTTTCCGTTTCATTATGATAAGTCAGAGGTAATTTTAAAGAAACACTGTTTAAAATGTTAGAGCCTTTCGTTGTTTTTTTAATCCGATATCATTGTTTCGACCACAAACCAAGGCGAAACCACAATATAGGCCCTATGATAACCTCTTATCACCCCTTTCCAAAACAAATAACACATGTCATTTTTAATCCGTGTTTTCTTAAGCAACAACACACATTTTTTAATTAAAATTTTTTTCATTTTTTTTCAGATAAACGTTAGTTTGATAAAACTGTTAGGTCGCCATGCAAATGCTAAGGGTTTTTTAGAATTTAGAATTTCACCATTAATTTTGTTTCATATTTATATTTTAATTTCCAAATGTTAGGTATTTGTTTTAAGTAAAAACTTCAATTTAGTAAATCAGGTGTTTTAAAAGTTTAGGAACTTTATTACATGTTTTATTTTTTAAGGAATAATTTGTTATACAAATTTAAATGATAATCCTCTTTTCCTCCTTAACTTTAAATAAATAAGAAAGAAAAGAAATGGAAAGGCCAGTTATTTTAAAGAACCTTTTTACCTTAAAGAAGAGTGAATGGTTTTAAGCAAATATTAACATTATTAAATCTATTAAAAATAAATAAATTTCAAAAGTGGATTTAAGTCATATTTGTATTTATATTATTCGAGAAACAATTTTGCAAGTACTATTAAATAAAAAAAAAATTTTAAATTTGTTTATTTTAAAAAACATTTTTAAGTTTTAAGCCAAACAACTCTTTAAAAATTTTGAAAAACCGCGCTTACCAAAGGCAATTCTCTTAACTCAAAATTATCTTGGCTGAATAAAGAGAGCGGCTTTCCTTGTGAATTCCAATTGGAAGTGGTTGCTGTCGACGGTGGATGAAATGGGTTCCACCAATGGCGTGACTTGAAAATGATGTCCACCTGCGCCACTCAAAAGTCTTCGGCCAATCAGCAAGCGTGGGCGGTGCTTTAGAGCAAGGAAATAACAGGAGCGAGCGAGAGAGATACAGGGTACAACTCTTTATTATTCTTAAAACATGAATTCATATTACATTTTGGAAAAACCAAAATCAATTTCATTTTTACAGCTCGGCTTAAGCAAGCAGCTAGCAGCTAGCAAACAAATGGGTATTTCTCATGCCCCGACGACGGTAGAGCGAACGAGAGAGAGTGAATGAGAGAGCGTGATATCTAAGAGAGTCAGAACGCCCCAATCGAAGAGAGCCGTTCTCCATTGGCTCGCAAAAACATACAAATACGATTTGATTCGACTCCGAGCCGAGCTCATTCGTCTCGCGAAATCCAAGCCGCGCAGTCAAAAGTTAAAAGTCAGTTTCAGTTTCAGTTACGTTTTGGAGTACGACGCGCGAGCATTATTGTTTCCATTCTTACCGAAGGCTTTTAATTACTACAAAAAAAAAAAAAGAAAAACAGAAATAAATAAATAAACACCTCGCTTTCGCTTTCCTTTTTTTGTTTTGTGTGCCAAAGCCGCCAAGAGAAATACCCGACAAAAATAAATAAAAAACTAACAGTGTGTGTAAGTGTAAAACAAAATGCCCGCCAAAATTAGTCAAGTTTAACATATTAGGTCGAATTTCACCATAAACTAAAACTAAACAAATGCGAGTTCGTCAGAAACTTGAAAACAAAACAAGTGAAATGCAGTTTCTAAAAAAAAACTTAAACTTAAACAAAAGTGATTTTAAGTGAAAATCTAAACAAGGATATTGAACTCAAAAATAGTAAGAAAGTGCAAGTGTAACATTTTTAAATATTAAGAAAGTCACAGAAAGTAACTTTAGGTATTTATAAAGTTTTGTTGTTTTTAAAACAAATATATTTTATTTTGTATTTTTAAAGAATTAACCTTGACTTCCAGAACAAATTTTGTGATATTTAAAATGAATATTTAATAGTTTTCCACATAAATAGGATTACTTAAGTAAATGAAAATTAATTATATTTCAAAAAGTTTAACATATTCTGTGCTTAAAAGTAATTTGAAGAACTAAATTATTTTTCTTAATTTTAAACCTTAAAAAGCTTTTCATGTGCCTGGCACAGTAATTGTTTATAAATCCCAACTTGGCTTACCTAATTTTCTTCACTTAAATTGGTGCCTAGTGCTTGGTGCCTGTTGCCTGGATTTACATTACATTTATTCCAAGGAAAATCTAATCAAATGAAAATCCAAGAGCAGAAAAGGAGGCCGGTCCGCGAACGGAACGGCAAACATAATATTAAACAATATTAATTAGCCAAGTGGAGTGCAAACAACAGCAATAACAATAACAATAACAAGCCGAATCGAAGCGAATAAAGTTAAGAAATCATCTGGCCAAAGCATGCTCAGCAGCAACAACAACAACAACAGCAACAATAGCTGCAAATTTAATGTTAATTTCTGTGACTAATTTATCAAAGTGCGAACTTAGAAGCGCCAAGATAAGCCTTAAACTAGGCACTACTAAAACTATTTCAAAGGCAAAGTTGTGTTTTCTCTAAGAACGCAGCTTAAGTTATGAATTTACAACTTTAAGTAAGAGTTTGAAAGTAAAGAAAGTAACTTATGTTTTTAAAGGATTTTTAAATTAGAATTATTTGTTTAGAAAGGATAATGGTTAAATGATTTCTTGAATAGTTTAATATTTAAAAATATATTTAGGGAGATCTTAAAAGATTAAGTGGAACTTTAGCTAATTCTGTCTAAATATTATATTATCCTCTTAAAATCAAGAGAGTTTTGAAGTTCTTCAAATTTTTTTGCTTTTTAATAATCCTTTTTTTGGTTTATGTTTAAAAGGTCTTTGCTGTTTTTCGGAACTTAAAAGTTTTAAATTGAAAACTAATTAACTTCTTTTAACTATTTGAATTTTGCTTACATTTATCCTTGTTATTTATTAAATAATATATTCATAATAGATATTTTAACAATAATATTTACCAAATATCCTTCTAAAATCCATAACTTTCCTTCCCTAACCTGCTTACCAAGCTGCCATTTTAAGTTGCCAATTAAAATTTAAGTTTCCCTTACTGTCTTTTTATAACATCTAAGTTTATTTACATTTCCAAATCATAAAAGCAATATTAACCCATGCAAAAACTATCAATTGTTATTGTTTTTGTTTCTGTGACTCGTCCAGAGATTAGAGTTTATTGATGAGTGAACAAAGGAGGCCGCCAGCGAGAGTGATAAGCGACCTGCGACCCGCACACTGAGAGAAAAAAAGGCGGACGGAAGCCAGGATCATAGGTCAGTGCCGACGACGAATGCATTTGCAGCTTCTGGTGGCAGCCAAGACGCCTCCATCCGAGCATACGGGCGTTGGGGAGTCAGAGTCGGAATTGGAATTGGGCCTGGGTCTGGGATTGGAATTGGGATCCGCATCGGCATCTTTATCCGCAACCGGACTGGGACTGAGTTTGGGACTGGGCCAGGAATTGGTGGCCGACCACTGCACCACTGTGGCGCCCGTCAGCGTCGCCGGTCCCGGCCGCCTGGGTCGCAGCATTAACGGCAGCGGCGGCAGCCATCATCATCACCACCTGCACCACCACTACGCCCCGTATCACGCCCACCCGTATCACCCGCACCCGCACCACCACCCACCGTACCCGTATCCGACGGCAGGTCCACATCCGCCGGCCATGGTCACCTCGTCCTCGACATCACCGACGGGCAATGGCTGGAGCAGCAGCACCGGCGACTTCAAAGGCATCACGGCGGTGGCCACGGGATCGGGTGGCGTCGGCGGCGGTGGCGGAGGTGCCACTAGCCAGGGAGCCACTGCCTCCGCGGGCGCCACCACTGCCGAGGTTCTGGCCGTTTCAAGTAGCGCCAGTGTTGGCAGCAGTTCGCCCACAGGTGGCGCTAGCAATGGTACTGCTCACAGTGGTCAAAGCGGACACACCGGCGGTCATAGCAGCAGCACCGCCAGCAATGGCAACAACAACAACAACGGTGCCAGCAATAGTAATAACAACAACAATAACAACAATGCAGTCCATCAGGATCTGCTGTGGATGGAGCGATTGGTCCAGAAGAGACAGCAGGAACATCCCGGGGAGTTGGGTGAGTTTTTATATGATATATATCGAAGGATATACATTATATATAGGAGATTGAAGAGGCTATGAATGTGCAGAGGTGATTCTAGGGATCTGTGATTAATAGATCTTAGTTTTATTTTTGATCATGATATATATTCCAGCGTTAAAATGAATAAAATAAACTTGTTATTGACTTAATCTATCATGTACCTAATCTTTCATCTTTAGAAGACAATATAGACGAAATCTAGAATATTCCGAGAAACTACTTAATATATCCATAGGTGACTAATATTACGATTTGATATACATATCTCAACCTTAGCTAGATATCAACAAAAGTTAAGATTTGTTTATAATCGAAACATTGCTGAAGCAGATAAAGATTATAAAAGGTCTTTGAGCCAAATTTAATGCTTAAGCTGGTAGAGAGGTTGAGCTAGTTTAATGAACATGAAGACCTACACAAATATATCTTAAATAATGTTTAATTAATGTTCTATATCACCGATATATGATCTATGTTTCAAGTTCCTTACAAATTGTAAATGGAATGAAGGAAAGATATTCTTTTTGCCAGAAAAAAAGTTTAAATAGTTTCCAAAATAGATTGAAAATAGGTCAAGATCTCAATACTTCTATATCCATTCAGAAGAAAACTCTTTTCTTCATTTTCAAATGCCAACACTTTTAGCTCGTGTCCGCTGCAAGATCCATGGTATCCATGGATGTTCTCTCGCCGTTCGATAACCCGATCCCCAAAGGTGAAGCGCACATTCTTTGCCACATCCTTGCACAATGCACTTCTGGGGCTTCCCCATCATTGCGATCACGATCATCATGTTGGTGCCTTATCGGATTCCATGGGGATGATGAGCGTCGAGATGGTAATGATGATGATGGGTCAGGCCGCGTTGGAATATGCGTAAATTGATATCAATAATTGTTATTGATATCAACGCACGAGTCGTTCCCCTTATTTACCATCTCTTATTTTTTACCCACTGCCCGTTGAACTTTCCTCCTGATATCGATGATATCAATGACCCAGAGCGAAAGCTGCTAATGAAATCTCAGCTCAACGCTCCCCTCAGTCAGAAAGCCAAAACTGATCGGATAATTAGCCGGGGAACTTATAAACTGGTTCCCCATTCGCTATATATGACTTTTTTGTTTTTTTTTTGATTTTTGGATCCTTTCATAACTTGTGCTCAATGAAGACGGCGCTGAATGAGCTGCCTTGGTATCGGATTGCAAGGCTCAGGACTCTGTCGGGAAAGGGGATCTCAAAGGGGGTTTATCGGCTGAGAAATCTGCGAGAAGGGACTATCTTAAAGGGACTATCAAGATTGTTCTGTGGCTATTGAGATCTTTCCGGTTTTTGTAGAAAAAGATGATTCAGTTTTGGGACTTTTAAGTAGATATTAACTTAAGTTATAAATCAGACATCAGCGAGTATTACAAAAAGACTGCAAATGGAAGAAATCAGGACTGTACATCAGTTGGATCTTCTTTCAGATGTTATTACATGAACTATGTTAAGGACTCCCTTATCAATGCAAAGAAACTTCAAGCTTAAAGGTCCTTAAACGTCCTTGTTTCGATTTTGCACCTGTGCCACAAATTGAGTTTAATAATTATCGCAATTAGATTCGATATTTGGTGCTCTTTTCGCCGGCAGACAGTGGAGTAGAGTAAATAAATCATTCATTTGTCCCTGGGCTGCAGGCTATCCACTTTCCACACTTTGCTCCACTTTCGACACCAGGTCAACTGTCAAACGTCATCCTCCGGATGGATAACCCCTTCCGGTCCGGTCCGGCGGCTGACATTCCCTCTCGCTCATTAATTAATTATGCACCGCCGGATGGCGGGCAGCGGTCGCAGGACCCTTGATGGACGCAATGATTGATATTTATGGACCGACGCTAAACTATAAATAATTGAATGTTTTTTGCACATTTTGATAGCCCTGAAAATGTGATTTAAATCAGAGGGGCGCGGCTCTCTTGGCTAATTAAAAACCACCTCCTAAAACCGAATCATTGTTTTTGGATTTTTCCTATTTGTCTGACTTTTTGCGTTTTTTTTTTTTCTTTTGCAGTGCGCACGAGCAATCCGTATTTCCTGTGCTCCGCCCTGCCCGCCCATTGGCGCTCCAATAAGACGCTGCCGATGGCCTTCAAGGTCGTCGCCCTGGCGGAAGTGGGCGATGGCACCTATGTCACCATCCGGGCGGGAAACGACGAGAACTGCTGCGCGGAGCTGCGCAACTTCACCACCCAAATGAAGAACGACGTGGCCAAGTTTAACGATCTGCGGTTCGTGGGTCGCAGTGGCAGAGGTGAGTCTAGGAATAAGCACTTGGGAATTATAAGCCAGATGGCTAGCTAGGAAATGGATGCTAAGGAAGGAAGTTGGGAGTTTGGAGATCACGCTTAAGACATGGGGATCTATCTACATTTTTATATGAGAGTTGAACGAAAAACAACTTGGGAATTTTAAGCTAAAAGTGTCGTGTCGTGTGAAATGTAAGTTCAGGATGGGTTTTACTTTTAACAGAAACAGAAATAGAAACAGTTCATTGCGGGGTTTGCTGACATATTTCTATTTCTTTGAAATCATAAAAAAGATTATTCTAAAGTTGGTATAACCTTATATAGCACTATAAAGAATGTTTGTGGTTTAGTTTAGTTTAGCAAGGCGGAAATTAGTTACTTCCTCCAGCAATGTAATCGGCAGGCATTTCCTTTGCCAAATGTCGATTATTGATTGCCCAAAGAAGGCTTCCCACAATTTCCTAAACGTTTTCCAATGAGCGGAAGCTGCAGGTTTATCCTTTGAAATTTGCCTTCAACTACACTGAAAGGATTGAAGTAGTCTTAGGTACTAATGGGAAACATAAACTTAACTCCTTTGAGATGTTTGGTGATCCTTTGATAAGTTGTAATTATTTAGGAGTTCTTGGCAGATGATCCTATGATCATTTTAAAGATCTTTTTATACAAAAAACACTTAGTATCATTTTTCCTAGTGTATTACCAAAAAATACTGAGAAGATCGGAAGTGCATTGATTGAGTGACAAGGCAGAAGTTCTTAAGGAGTTGGACCAACTCCAGCCAGTGACTAATGCCTCCTGTGAAAAGGATCAATGGTACAGCAGTCGTCACATTAGGCTGCAAGTTGGCGCTGTCCTCGGGGCAACATGCAACATGCAATGTGCGATATGCGATGTGCAACACGAGGTTCCCAGATCACTTCAGTTCCAGAGCTCTCCCGTTCCTTACTACATATGATATGGAAATATGCTCGACGGGATCAACTGAGCAGGGTGATCACGCAATGGTTGTGGACCTTTTGGTTCTGGTAATCGATTTGAACCCACAATTAATGCCGCATTGCAGGCGATATCTATGTGTGTGTGTGTGTGTGTGTGTGTTGCATAGAATTGGCAGCAGCAGTTGGCTAATTAGCTGCAACTGTTGCCGCCGCTTTTGACCCTAAGTCTCAACCTCTAGCCCACTACTGTTCCTACTCCTCACTTCTACCCGCTTGCAAATTGACGGCTCGTGCCGCAAAAGGGCCAAGAAATATGGAAAACAGAAACAGAAACAGAAATACACACAAAATAATTACAGCAACGGCAAAGGGCATGCAAATAACAAGCTAATGATGTAAGAACATAAACGCTGACCAAATTGTCAACGGCAGGCAGCAACAGTTCACTTCACTTAACGGTCACGCCCCTACGCGCCCACATCCCCCATGCGACACCCACTACACTGACCTTTTGGGCGGGCATGAAAATCGCGGACATCATGCAGCGATTTCTGATTAGATGACAAAGCGAACGAAAACAGATGGAAGCGAAACCATCAGCATGTCAAGGGGGCCATGAAGTGGAGAGAGAAGCATAGGAAAAGGTGGATAGACGAGGGTATACCCTGGGTTATCTAATAAAGCAACTAAGAAACTTATTAATGGCTACTTCTTTGATACAATTTTCAGCCAGAGATTCCAAATTCATCATAAAAACTTTAAACTTTTGATAAAATTTATAAAGAGTTAAAAAATAAAAAGAAAAATAAATCCTAAGAAAAATCCATTTGCTTTCCCTTAACTTTGCAGTGTTAGAAAGTCATTAAGGAGAAGTTCCAAATATTTCTTACTTAAAAAAAAAACGAAATTTATGTTAATTTAAGCCACTTCCCCACAGAAGGCTAGTTTCCAGAAATATTCCCTAAAGGGTATCAGCCAATACCCCATTCTCTCCCACTTCTTCCATTTTTTTCTTCTTCTTTTTTTCGGCCTGCCCAAGTAAACTGAGGGATTAATGGTTGGACAATCGTTATTTTCAGTAGATGGGGGCGTGGCAGTTTATCGCCTTTTTTTATCCTGGTCATGGCATACGTCGACATGTTTTTAATTTGCCCCCAAAGTTGGCAGTGAAAACACAATCTAAATACAGATCGCCATCTGATTCGGACATCCACGGATTTATCCTTATATTCGAGTTCGCTTAATTACCAACATCATTACAACAGACAAACACCGACATCGACATTATAATCATCATCTATCATATCAAAGGACTTGACTTTTGCCAGCGATGGGATTAAAATGTGAAAAACAAAGCAAATGAAGGACACGCGCCACCAGGAATTCATAAGTCGCATCAGGATTTGTTATGGGAAAAGGGTTGGTGTTCCGGTGTCCTGGTGGACTTTTCAGATGCCACCGATAAACTTGAACAGGTCTCTGATCCGACTTAGTGGTTGGATGGGCGGTTTACCAGGCGGAAAGGTTAATAGGATGAATATTTCGAATATTTAGACAACTTTTCCAGGGGAGTGTGTATGCTTATTTAAGTGATAGTTATGCAGCGGAAAATATTTATTAAATATTAATTAAACATCTTTTTGAAGGGGGGATATAATGGAGTTAATAAGAGAAATGCTTAAATTAAGTTTTTGTTTGACTTAAAAAGGATTTTAGTTAAGGTAAGTTGGAAAGCAGCTTAAGGATGGTTACAAATCCTCACTACTAATAGAATATTCTCTAACTATATCTTGAATCTAAGCAGTCTAAAAGCTAAACCCCAAACTAACCACTTCCCTTAATCAAGTTTGTGACCTCTTCCTAGTAAAGCTTCGTTCAGGTTCCTTTGAATTCCCTCCGATAAGCAACTTTTTCCAAACACCCAGCACCCAGTCTTTACTATTCAAGAACATTCACGTTCACATACGACTTTATACACCCGATATATTCTATAGCTTATCAGTCTGGGAACTCTTTCTTATAAATATTTTTTCCTTCGCCCTATCCAGGGAAAGATCTCGAACTTCCCTCACAGAAGTTCCCACCCAAAAAAAAAAAAGCTTGACCAGTAGGTCTGATGTAACCCATAAGCATACGATATACACCATAATAACTCTGGACATATGTGGCCATGATATCCGCAAGGGTTTTATCGCAGAAAAGCTCGTCGTACGAGGTTCCCACAGAGTTGTCGTGTAGCTTCTTGCCTAGTCTTATCGGGGCCACAGAGGCGGTGGATGGCTCATGGATGTTCTCTGGCCCTCTCTGGGATATATTTTCAGATATATATATATATATATATATATATAGGAGAAGATTATGACTGACTGGGCAAGTGCGTGCGCCGCTTCCAATGGTCATTGTTCATTGATGATGACTAATTTGTAGAGATCCCAATCGCGGGATCCCTTCAACTCGAAACTCTTAGCTCCATTATGGCCATTATCGCTACCATTTCGGGGTCTTTAGTGGGTTAGCCTGTAGTCCGATTTGTTTTACCAATGCGCCAAAGACAATGGGGCAGGGCAATAACATTTTCCAATTACTCTAACGAACTTTTACATACGCTGCTCCATGCTCGATGCTCCAGTTTCTGCGGCCATTTGAGAAATTGCCCCGAAAAGGAGCCAGGCCAGGCCTATTTAACAGTTTCTCCCTCTCTGTGCCCAGCTTCTGCGGCACTTGATTAATTTGAGTCTCAGCGCTCACCTTTCCATAGATCTTTCTTTCCATGGGTTTCCCTGTATATATAATACGAAGTATATATAATACGAAATATGTCGAACACGCACGGCTTTTGGCTTTTAAGAGGGGGGAGACTATAATGAAGACATTTCAAGATTGAGATTCGGGGGACTGGGATTTCGAGGGCTCAGAAAACGCTTTCTAACTGATGGCCATTCGTGGTTTCGGTTAATGAACCCATCAAATCTTCAATTATCTTGGTTCGGTCCTTCATTGTGTCTAGTTTGAAGGTTTTTTTGGATGGATGCTGCATTTCTATTATATAATATATGGCATATATGGTACCTTCCAAGGGCTGCCTGCTCCCTCTGACCTCTTCAGGCTGAAGAAATACACAACAATAACATGTTTTTCTTTTCTTCTTTTTTTTTTCCTACTAAACAATAACATATTTGTAATCTATTTTTGCATATTTCAATAACAAAGAGGCGACTTATTCACGATCATAATATTCTAGAAAATATCCACAAAATTATAACTCATACTCGGGAACTTCCTGCGGAGATAACTTATTACTTAGAAATCGAAATATGCTAAAGAAAGAATAATATTTGTTCTTCTTAGTCTCATGATATTAACTACCCTTAACCCCTTACCAAAATCTCCAATTTCTTCCTCATTCCCCATCAAAGGAAAGCCCTTTCTCCTGACTCGGAGTCATCCTTAATTAAAAGTTAAATGCAATTTCCATCAAGTAGGACTCGCTCCGAAATGTCTGGTCATAAGGACACTGGCCACCCCAGCTTTGTCGACCATTCAGAGTTGGTAGATAGAAGACTGAACTCCATAGACTGGGTTTGGGGATGCGACTGAGGTTTCTGCGGTCAGCTTGGATGGGTATCCCTCTGTCTCCGGTTTGGTGCCTCGGCTTCTGATTCTGCTTCTGCTCCGCCAACAACAATGTCGCTTTTGTGGGTGTTTAATTATATGTACATATGCATTGGCTGTTTCCCTGTTTTCCTGTTTTCCTGTTTCCCTGACCAGCCAGCCAGACAGGCAGTCTGCTAACTGCTAAAATATCAAAATAGAAACAAAAAAAAAAAGAAGAGAAAAACGAAATTCATTTCACATTTCCCCCAATCGATAAAAGCTGACGATGGCTTTCAGTTTTATTTTGCAGCCCCTTCAAACGGTGCTAGTTTAATGGCCATAAATAGTGTAAATATTCGGTCAAGCCCAGCAAGGAAATAACTCTTTCTGGCCACAATGTTGCCGCTGCCACTGCCGCTGCCGCTGCTTTCAAGCCATTAGGGGGCGGGTGGCAGTGAAATGAGGGGCGTGGCCGGGCGAAAGACAGGTTGCAAGTTGCAACATTTCCTCGTTTTATGTGCACTTCGAAAACGACTTTGGCGGCAGTCATTAAGGCGGGATAAACCAAATTTATGTCAAGAGTTCGAACAAATTGCACCGCCGCCGAAACGGGCTTTTATAAGGTTAACTCGAAGTGGGTAATACCCTAGGTGGTTAGGCTCCTAAACGATTGAAGGCCAAAAAACCTCAAAAAAAAAGCATTTAACTTAACCAATAAAATCCTTTTTTTTTTGGTTTCTACTCATCGTATAGGGTTCTACCCTATATATGATAAATATAGACATGCAACGAGTCCGTATACCAAAATTCATAATAATAGCTCAAAGGGTTGCCGAGTTCACTAAGACCACAAACGTAACACTTTCGCCCAAAAAAGGGGTAGTCCCGCCGACACACGAACGAGGAACGACGACGCGTGTTCCTTCTGCTGGGCTCTTTTTCTTTTGGTAATTTTCGACTGGTAAATTGATTCGGTAGCCCACTGAGGTCGTCGCATAAATCCTCGCCCGACATTTACGACTCAATTCTCGCCTTTGCACCGTTCTCTAATGCCAAGCCGTTTCTGATTTTCCATTTATATTTTTTTTCCCTTCTGATCTTTGCAGGGAAGAGCTTCACGCTGACCATCACGGTGGCCACGAGTCCGCCACAGGTGGCAACCTACGCCAAAGCCATCAAGGTGACCGTCGACGGACCCCGAGAGCCGCGATCCAAGACAAGTAAGTGCCACAGATCGTATAATATTGGGAATTAGGGTAGTTATTAGGTGGGGGTTGGATTTGGAAGGGAAAGGGGGATACTGGGAGGGTTTTAGTTCCCCTAACACTTATGGCTATGATCATAAAAGTAACAAGAATTATAAGGATCTTCAGGAGAACTTAATTCTTCTTTAAAATATTCTTAATTTCTTCTCTTTTTTTTCTAAGTTCTGAAAATAAACTTTCCATATAGTTATTTCTCTCAGTGTATAACCTTCTTCAAACAAGGAACACAACAAACAGACATAATTTTCTACAATGTTTTGCCAATTTGTAATTATCACTTCCCACAACAACTATGGACAACAAAGGTAGAACGGGGAAAGTAGTGAAAAGCCGTCCCGCTGCGTTTTGGGTTTCGTATTGCAACATGTGGCATAGCCTTATCCATATCCATGTCCGCTTTTCCTGTAACCTTATTTCGGAGTCACTGGGCCAGCACTTAGACAAGTGTTTAAGCCGGGCTAATAGTTAAGCCGATCTGCTCAATTGCCCATTATCCTCTTTAAACCCTAATCCCCACTTTCGAGTCGAACAGACGGTTACTTGGCCACCTCTAGAGTTGCCTTCTATTTAGACTATCCATAGGGATGGGAAAGGCAGATTATATGATATCTATTATTGGATTAGATATTAGATATTAGTGATCAATTTACTAGCTTAGTAAGGAGAGCCCATTTAAAAGTACTTCTTAAAATGAATTCCAAAGTTGTAACTTTTATAATATGATTTATCATATCATCACAGTTCTATATTCCATATTTAGTCAAGGGAAGGTGATACTTTAAGATACTTCTTTATGCTATTTCTAATCAAAAACTCTTCTCCATACCCTTAAATATCTCAAGAAAACCCAAAACCATCTCCAAAATTCTTCTCTGTGCATTAATTTACCTTCTCCTCGTTGGAGATCCTTTCTCCTCCTGTCAAGGATCATTCATGACATCCGATGGACGCCATCACTCGATGTTCTGTCATTCGGGAAGGTGTTTGAAAAGTGCAGCCGGTTTTAACAGACTTTTTGATTGGGGTTGTGGAAGGGGAAGGGGAAAGGGGCAGAAGCAGGGGCAGGGGAAGGGGAAATGCTTCTGCTTCTTACGGTTTCTGAAAATTTTGCGGTTTGCAAAGAAAACCTTTTTTCTCTTTTGTTTTTCTTGGTTTTTGCAACGAGTTTTTAGTTCGTGTAATGCATATATGAATTAATTTTTTCCTCTTGATATTTCGTTAATGCATTTTTAAGTCTTCGCTGCTGCCTTAATCGCATGCAGGGAAGGTAACACTATATATGTATCGGTATATATATATATATTTATATATATCTTTGAGTATATAAAGTGCAACTTGAGTTTGCCTTGAGTTAAATTAAGGTTGGAATAATAAAGGGAACTGGGCAAAATGGAGTCACCAGTTTAACAGGACTGGTCCTGGGAATAGGTTTTATCTTTGGTGTAAAAAATTACAAAATAATACGCAATATGTGTAATTAAATATATAAAAACACAAAATAAATGTTCTTCTCTTTCCTTTAATTAATTATTTTCGTTCCAACTTTTTAATATGTTTTCTAATGTTTTTTTCGTAACAATTTACTGCTGTTAAACCATTTTTGACTTTTTAAATATTTTTGATAAGGAATACTACATTATGTCTATGTATATACATAGTTAATGGATTTTATATTCTGCTGTTCATATATGTATTTATTTGATATCAAATAATAAAATTATTAAGTAGCTAAACACCTAGCCCAGCTCCTAAGGGCTCCCAGGTTCAAAACCAATCCTGTTTAAAAACTGTGGTAGGAAACACTTACGACATCCACTGTAGCACAGATAAGCCCAAGTTAACTGTAAGCTTTTTATTGTTATCCCTTTCTACCATATGAATTAGCATAGGAGATCGAATGCATGAACATACATGAACATATTCCTATCTCGCTGACGGATGAGCGAGGATAAGGAAAGAGAAAAGTTGCGTCATTTGGTTTTTGGCGTTGAGGAAGAGCAGTTAGTTATCCGTATTGATAAAGAAGATATTATAAGAGCATGCTAAATCTGTTACATAAGTAAACCTGAAATATGTATAACTAAAGAGTAATCATCCTTTTAACCCCCTATAGGTCCGACGGGTGGACCCCACTACCGCGCCCTGGGTCTTGGCCAGCGGCCTTACATCGACGGCTTCCCCTCGACGAAGGCGCTTCACGAGCTGGATGCGCTGCGCCGCTCGGCCAAAGTGGGAGCAGTAACAACAGCAGCAGCAGCAGCGGCTGCCACGGCAGCATCAGCGGCCAATGCAGTGGCAGCAGCCGCAGCCGCAGTGGCGGTCACTCCCACAGGAGGCAGTGGAGTTGGTGCGGGCGTGGCCGGCGGAGCGGCCGCTGGCCTGGTGCAGCAATTGAGCAGCAATTACTCATCGCCGAATAGTACAATCAACTCGGACTGCCAGGTCTACAAGCCGAATGCCCCGCACATCCAAGGTAAGCACTGACTGCACTCAAAAACGGTCTTTACTATAGTTAAGATATAAAGGTTATCCCTGTATAAGTTAAGTTATTTGATAACCAATAGATTTCTCTCAGTGCACTCTAGCCAACCCCTTACCCAGCCCCCTATCCAGGCCCTTTCAATGAAGTTGTTAGCCGATGAAAGCCGGCCACGCTTGGGAATTTATGTGCGATGTCTGTGGAGCTTCGTTGACTGGCACCAGGCGGCCTAAACGTTTTAATTGAGTTAATCAACCTGCCTTACACCCTTCGCTCAGCCCTCGTCTTGATTTATTTTTGGTATTTTTATGGCTCGCTTTGTTTTTGGCAGTCGCTCGCTAATTTATTTATTTTCCCAAAGCCCAAAGCCCAAAGCCCCGGCTTAAAAATAGTTCAGCCCCGCCAAAGTCGCTGACAGCCTCAGACTTTTAGATATATTTATTATTTTCTTATGAAAATAGAGCTGGGAGTGAGAAATCGGGATGAGAAATTCCAGTGAAAATGTGCAAGGGCGCAGCACATTCTTTTAACTTTTGTAATTATTTGTTTATCAAAAAATAAGTAATTACATTATTGCAACGTCAGAGAGAGAGAGAGAGATATGTTTTCCGGAGATTATTTAAAAATATATTCACCAGTATTTATCTTAAGTTAATGCACAACTTTTTGAGTCACAATTCCTCTTGTTAAGTTTAAATTGCATTGAAAGACTTAATGTCATTCTTAATATAACTTCAACAGGTTGATATAACTCTTAAATTAATAAAATACATAATTCTAAAATCATAATAAAACTTAAAGCCAAGTCATATTCTATTCCCAACTAGCGACAGACCTCCAAAGTTCTTAATTTTTCAGGAAATCTTTTTCCAGACTTGGCTAATAAAGAATTCGCTTTGCACTCGGCTTTAACCGCATGCCACGCCCCTATTTGGCAACCGCATGCGATTGACTTATGTGGAATATCTATATATATATCTATATATATATGGTCGATCCTCCCCAGAGTTACCAAGTCACCAAGTTACCCCCGTTTCATACTCCTTTCCCCTTTTCTAAACTAATTTTAGCCGCTTCAGAGGCTTGGCCAAAACAGCACGCGCTTGAACGCGGCTCTAACCAGTTCACACCAAACCATCTGCACCATATAATCTATATATATTGTATATCTCCGATCTATTATCATGTGGATAATGGCTATTTTTGGGTTGCCATGAGCCCAAGTCGCCCCCAGACAATGGAAAATTTCATTTCGGTTTTCATTCAATTTGCATTGATTTCGTATGGATTGGGCCGTGTAAAATCTTATCAAAATTTCGGGGCTCTTTGCCAAATAGCGAGAGTGACCGCTGGAACCGGCTGACTGAGTCATGGATGGGGACATGGATGCCGATGGCGCTGTCACTGGTGCGGATGAGTCAGTGGCCAGTTTGGAACTAGACGAATCTGAGCCGCAAATCGCCGTGTTAAGACCAGACTTAAGCATTTTGCTTATGCTAATGAATTTATAAATGTTTCTTATGGGTTTTTCTCTTTGTTGTGAGGCGAGTCGCTTGGTTTTGTTAGTCATTTGGGATATGTGATTAAAGGGTTATGATTTGGTGTCAAAGTTCATGGGGTTTTGGGGGGAGTTTGAAGTAAATATGTGACATTTTCTTAATAATCTTGAAATTGAACTATAAACTTTTCTTACTTACTAAATTATAACAATTTTTCTCCTTGCTAAAACTACACTTAAATCATTCTAACAATTAAGTTACAAAAGTGAAAGATTTTAAGTTTATTTCCATTACTAAAATCGCCTTCTTAACTTAAACTTTTTGATTCTTTTTAAACATACTTTATAGGGTATCAAGCTTCTCCACTTTCTCTTATTTTCGGGTTTCCCGAATGCAGAGGCGGGGGCAGTTGAAGTTGAAATAAACGCGTAAACGTATTGTCAATGGGGAATGACACATCGTCGTCTTTCAATTAACCAAAAGCAAAAGCGGCCAAAACAGCAGCAACAATAATAGCAACAAATGCAATATTGTTTGTTTTGTTTTTGGTTTTTGCTTTTTGTTTTGCTTTTTTTTTCGACAGCTGGAACCGGAAATGCCCGAATCGAAGCGCGAAATCCACGTATGAGCCTCAATCTTAAACTGAATCTGAATCGGAATTGGAATTGGAATCGGAGTCGGAATCGAAGCCTCTATGGGGAAAACACTTTGTGTGGTGGCTGTTGTTGTTGTTGGTGTATTTGTTGCTGCTGTTGTTGTTATTGCTGTTAAGTCATAAATATTTAAATGTGGCGCTTAAGCTGTTAATTTACACAATATGAGCCAGCGACAAAAGGCAGACGGGCGGGAATTCAGCGGAGATCGTTGCAAAATTCAAAGAATTTGGGTTGAGATTATAAAAAAAAAACAACAACAACAAAATACTTTTTTAAAATAAAAAAACAAAAAACATTTGTAAGTTGAAGGGAAAAGTAGAGCAAAGGGTTGAGCAGGGAATGGCCAAGTAGTTAAGCCCATAATGATAATTGATGATAAGTGAGGGCCCAGACGGGAATGTAACTCTAAAGCTTTCAAGTTAACAAAGAAATTTCTAAAATATTAGGGTGTCTAATATGAACTTAAAACTTAGTTAGAACAAAGGGAAAACTATGATATTAAGGGAATTACTTTAAGTAATGAAGTAAAGTAAAGTAAAGATAAGATAGATACTATAATTTGGCATTTCCGATTAAATCATGTTGACTAAATAATAGAAATCCAAACTCAATGAAGTGATTCCCACAAACGAGTGCAGAAAACCCCAAGATTTGTTTTGTTATAACGAAAATTTGCATTGATAGAGTCATCCAAAGAGTTAATGAAAGGCTAATAGGGCTGTGTAAACAATTTATAAACTAATTTGTTAAATCAATAAGCAATCTTAATGATAAAACTGATAAATATGTAATGTATATGATCCTTATAGTAATTTATTCCAACTCAAAGTAGTTCTGGAACAAATTTAAAAGATTTTTGGGATTGTAAAGGACCTGAGATTCATAGGAAAAGCTTAGAAAATCCTTTATTACAAAGCCTTCTCCTTGGTCCTTCTAATTATTTGTGGTTCAAGCACCTGTGGCCATCAGGATGCTTGCAGCCAGAGCCATCATCATTATTATTCCGCATCTCAGTGCGTTTTGGGGCATTCGGACATTCGGGCATCTGGGCCAAGCCCAATTCCTTGGCCCCAGCTCACGCCTTCGTGTTTGGCTTCATTAAAAGGGGGGGGAAATATGCAAATTTTGGCCACAGAATCGGGGTTTGGGGTTAGTTTGGTATTGGTATTGGTATTGGTATTGGCATTTTTTGTTGCGGGTTCCCACTTTTGGCCACAAATCAATCCAAATGCGGTTGCGCAGCTGTTGCAGCTTCAGTTTGAGATGCAGATGCAGATGCAGGCAGCACGTTGCAAGATGCAAGATGCAGGGCACTCAGTGGGTTAAGCCAGCGGCGAGGGGGTACTGCAAGGGGGGCTTAATGGTGACAACAATGTCACACATATTGAAATGGAATCTTTTTGGCCCATAAAACGGCCAACTGTGGCGAGCCAACTATGGTTTGGTTTATATTTTTCTCTTTTTTTTCTTTTTTTTTTATTTTACTACCAATGGCCGCAGTCACTTACCTCCCCCCCCAGGCCCATCGTCACCCCCTTCGAAAAACCCAATCCCGAGACCCAAAAAACCGCAAACTCACTTCCGTTTCGCATCGTTGTTGTTGTTAATATACAAGTACTTGCCTTTTTTTTGTTGCTTTTGCCGCCATTTTGCAGGCCAAAAGAGGTAAAAAAAAAAGAGGGGAACACCTATAAAAAATGATGTAAAAAAGAACTTCATTCACACCAATGAGAGCAACTACCACGGCAACAACTTCAGTCAGACGCACTTTAATTAAAATTACTTCAAGACTGGAAAGCAATCTGCTGTGGCACTGAAAGAAAGTTCAGGGAGATTGGCATTTATATATAAGGGGAAAAATCAGGAATGTAGATGGCTAACTTATTTGGGTTATTAAATTGCAGTTTAACATAATTTATGAGTAATTTATTACTAAAAAACTAACAAAAATGGCATTGGAAAGTTGCCTTTTTCTCATCCATTCGCTTGTTCTGTTTAACATTTTGAAAATATCTTGAAAATTGCTTAATAATTATAATTTTTATATTATATTTTATTGAGTATTGTTAAAGAAACCACAACAAGGGGTTGTCATACAAAGATATAGTTAAGAAATCTCTTTTAAATTAAATAATTAACATTTTTCATAGAGGTATTTCCCAAAAATCAATGAAAACTTAGCCACTCTTTCGCATCTAACCAAATTCCCTCCCTCAGCTTTATCCTTTTTGTTACCAATTCTTAACCAGCTTTGGCAGAAGCCTCCTCTGTAAGACACTTGACTTATCCGCACAGTTTGTGGTTTCTGTCCGAATGGATTGATCAGGCTGCATCCGCACTCTGGCCCCCTCTTTGGCCCTTTATTTTTTTTTAGCATTTTTTTTTTGCTGAGCGGATATATGGCCAAAATCGAAGATATCCGGTTGAAGCCGTGGGATCGATTGGAAGTGCAGGAAGCTTGGAAATATTTATAGAGTAGGGGAAAAAAAGCTTATACTGCCAGGCTGGAATTTAGATATGTCCCCTTGAAGTCCCCCTACCTTCCACGATTCTTGTCCACATTGCGTATACGCAATTTCAGGGAAGCAAATTTTCGCATAATTCCACGTGCCCGCAGCAAATTACAAGTTATGACCAATGGTAGTGATGACCCCTCCTGCCCCCCCTTTACCTTCGCCTCTGTTACCCCCTTAAGGGGGTTTACTAACTTGGCTTTCATCCTGTTCGTTTCGCTTCATTGCAACCTCATTTGCCTAAGTTTGCGGTGGTCCACCCTACCGCACCGTATCGTAACCCCCCTTGAGCTGCCGCCCATGTCTTGGGCTTCAATTTGCCTTACTGTTGTTGTTGTTGTTGTTGCCGCTGCAACGCAATTTGCGCCTTAATTGAAACATTAAAATGTGATAAGTGCCGGGTGAAAAGTTGCATGCAACTTGCAATTTTCCTACCTTTCATTAGTCGCCGCCCCTGTTTTCAAAAAGGGGGCGGTGAGGGGGCGGGGTTTTAAATGAGTACGTGCGTAGTTGTCATATTTTCCAGTGAGTTTATTATTTATTACGATGCGTAACTAATTTGCCTCTCCTAAGAGTGGTAGTTTCATGGTCTTCGGATGGGTGACATGGAAATTATGGAGGTTTTTTGAAGTTAAAAAGAAAAGCTAAGAGCAGTTTAATGGCTTAAATGGGTATAAGTTAGTTTAAGTTAGTAACTTAGAAGTCTTTTTTATATACTAAAAAAATCAACAATAATAGCGAGTTTCTTGTTAACAAAAACTGAAAATATTTAAGATTGAGGATTTGTGATTTAAGGAATATAAAATAGGAAGAAGTTTGTTTCTTCTTCATGTTTCCTTTTTTTAAACTGCTTTTTAATGCATTTCTAGATTAATTTTTAAAGAATCTATATTTTAATCCTGTTTCTTTCAACTCCCCAGAAAATTTCTAAAGATTTATAAATTATTTTTTTTAAGTAATCCTTCTTAATTTAATTTTGCTACCTGCGTAAAGATTTCGCTCTCCTGAAATTAACCTTTCCCCTTGCTTTTTAACCCTTCAGATATTTCTTTTATCGTTTCTAATGAATTTGATTAATTAAGCGACATTTTTGTCGCTGCTTTTTTTGGCAGCTAAAAGAACAGAGTCGGGGGCGGGGTGGGGGGTGATGTTCGAGAATTGCGTAATTAATCAAAATATGCAAAATTATAAGAAAGGACCTGGGATATCCCGCTGGTTGCTTGGGAAACCCATTTTCAATGTCTTGGAATTCGTCTTTCGTCTTTTCGCTTAACCCATTGGCATGCGACTGCAGTCGCCAGCAGTAGCGTAAGGGGGTTGAAAAAAGGGGGGCTTATGGCTAGTGGGCGGTAGGCGGTGGTACTACACACATGCCTCCTTCTTTCCGTTGCCATGCATATGAAATGATGTTTTCAATTATCCCTTTCGGCCACGCCCACGTTTGTGACTGACAACTTGGCAAATTTCACTCGACGGGTTAATCGTAGATGGGGCGAATCAAGGGTTAATTGGGCTCCCAGCTGGCACTCATTTACCGGCTCCCTCGACTGTTGACTTCCACGCCGTAACAAGTTTATTAGATTCCCTTTCCTTGATTTCTTTTCTTAATTAAAGTCTTAATTTTAAAAAACATAAATATTTACTTAATATTTAAGCTCACTTACTAAGAGATAAGATATATATTAAACTAATTAACTTACATCTTCCAGGAGCCGATATGATGGGTGCCGGCGAGTGGACGGGTTCCTCGAGTTCGGCGGCTGCCTATTACCACAGCCATGCCCACCACACGCACGCCCACCACGCCCACGCGCACGCCCACCTGCAGCACCAGATGCCCTTGCCGCCGCCACCGCCTCCCCCGGCAGCTGCCCCTGTTTCGGTGGGTGTGGCTGGCAATGGAGCCACCATGGGCGTGGGCATGGGCATGGGCATGAGCATGAACCACTACGGAGGAGGCTATGACTCGGCCAATTCCCTAGAGGCAGGCCAATATGCCGCCCATCTGCCGACCGTGCTGCCCGAGATGCATGGGCATGGATTCGCCACTGATCCCTACCAAACTGCCGGCTATGGCAGTGGAAATACGGGCGGAGGCAGTGCCTCCAAGTCGGAACTGGACTACGGAGGTGGTTACAATCAGACATGGTCGAATGGCTATCAGAACTATCAGTATGGAAGTTGCTTGGCAACCGCCCAGTACGGCCCGCAGGCAGCTCCACCCCCACAGCCACCGCCTCCGCCGCCTGTGGTGCTGTGCCCGCAGCTGTACTCCACGGTCAACCAGAATCAGATCCACCTGCATCTGCACAGCAGCGAGAAACTGGAGCAGTATCTGGGTACGGCCAGTGGTGCGGAGCATCTGACCATTGGCACCTTAACGGGAAGCAGTCGATCTAGCATAGAGATTGGCCAGGATCAGTACCACCAGGCGCAGCAGGTGCACCACTCACAACAACAACAACAACAACAGCACCACCCACAACAGCAGCAGGTGGAATCCGCTGGCGAAGTGGGTGGCAGTGGGACCGGCGTAGTGGAGTCCTCGCGTGAGGAGGACGTGGGCGATCTCACGCAGGTGTGGCGACCCTATTGACCCAATCGGATACCCCATCGGCCAGCAGCACCCAGCCTACACCTTCACCCACATCCACACACCAATACCACCCACCCACCGCTGCACCTGCACATCGAACTGAACTAGGAGAGCAGCAGGATCACCACAAGAACTGTACAATTTTTTTCTTTTTTTTTTTTTGATAGATAATAACTAAATCTTAAGACACCCCAAGACATCTTGTACATAAAAGAATGATATGGATTAAGAGATAGAGATAATATATAAAGGCACTAGGAACTCGGAAAACCCTTTTTGTGGAAAACCCAGCCTTTGTACTTAACTTTCACCTCACCTTCAGCTTGATTGCAGATTTTAAGGCCCGATATTAAGGCTTCCAAAATGTTGAGTTCAGAGTGCAGCTTAATGAGAAAATGCTAAATCAAAAGACACTAGTAAATCACTTACTACTGTAAGCACATAATAACACTAACTAAACGAGGTGTAAATAATAGAGGGACTAAAGCTAAGATCGTAAAACTGATTATAGAGATGAGATAATCCATGGCCCATGTAGAGAGCACCCAATCCCCTACAAACCGTAGAAAAGCAGATTTTTTTTTACTAGAACTAAGACTAGATGGATATCCGATAAAGCCGCACAACTATCTATAATTATATAATTACCTATGTATACATTTTTTTTCTGTTACTTTGTGTGTGAATCCCGCAAGGGATTCGAGAGGAAAGCGATAAGCCGACGATAAGCGACGATGAGAAGACTATAAATAAAGTTATCGTATTTATTTAAAATGGATTTTATAAGTGGTTCTAAGGTAAGGTTAATGCCTACAAATACCTCTATTTTTTGGTTTGTTTAACTTATTTTAGTTTTATTTAAACTATTACCTCTACAGCTAAACCAACTGCAATCCTAACACTCGTGTTTATGTGCATTTTCCAAGAGAGGAAACAGAAAACTGGGCAAAAAAAACCATTTGCTGACCACAAGCAAAATGCAGAAACGCCAGCAGCAGCGGCGGATACTTAATTATGCGCATATTTTAGATTAGAAGCAACAATGGCGGTGGAGAAGAAAAAAAATGAAAAATGTTTGCAACAATTGCGAAAAATCGTGAATTTTTGAGTGCGAAGCCTTAAAAATGCGCGTGTAAATAATAAATTAAAAATTATTGCCAAACAGAACCACAAAGTGTGCACAGGCCATCGGCCCGTCTCGTTCCCCGGGAAGATCGCCGATCTCCGATCTCCAATCTCCGGCAGCTCTAGTTCCATTTTCATATTTTCGCCTCTTCTGCGGTTGCTCCATGGCATACATAAATTGGAGAAGCGTCAGCCGTGGGTTAGCCTAGCCCGTCTTACCCCTCTCTACACACATAACATGCTTGCCCCCCCGCCACCCCTTAAGCACCGCCTTTGGGTGCCGCCATTGTTGCTTTGGCAGGCAAATCAAGACGGGGCAGTCAAGTGTTAAATTGCAAAAGACATTTCCATTGTCGGCAATTGCGAAACGGAAACCCTAGACAAGAGACCCGAGCCGAGGTGGGGTCTACCGATGATCCATACTATGGCCTATGGCCTTTCCACTGCAACTAATCGATTGATCTTTCTACTTTATCGGAACTGAAAACTTTTCATGGCCAAATAACTGGAGGTTCGTAGGCTGCGAGAGAAAGGGAGAGACGTACTACAGAAGTCTGAAGAGATTTCAAATCTATAATTATTACATATCATTAAGTCGATAGCTAGTATTTCAGTGTAGAAGCCAGATCCAGGCAAGCGTTAAAGATATCCTCTTCGTCGCCCCTTGATCTGTAATTCCCTTCTACTCCTTCGATTACCTCCAGCTTTCTTCAGGCAGAAGCCCGACACACGTCTCATCTTCGAACAGCCCCTGCCCCCCCGCGCGATGCCCTATCCTTCGACTATATAGTAAGTGATCCACGCTAAGATCTTGCGGTGGCCCAGAACAAAGGGGACCAGAAGGCAAGGCTAGTAACTTTGTCAGCAGTTTATGATGGGCGACTTGAATTACCACTGCGAGAAGGAGGAAGATGAAGCTGAAGCTAAAGCCTGACCCGATCCATGGGCTAATTAACTCCGAGTTCCAGCACCAAAACATCCAGCAGATGTAGAGCCCAGCTTACAGGCTACCGTATGGATGTGTGGATGGTGATCTTGGGTGGTCCTGTCCAGCGGTTCGAGGGCGGAAAGTGAAGCCTGTTCATGAATGGATCAGCTTATGAATCAAACTGAATTACAGAAGAAGAGCCAAGTGAGCTAAAGATAGAACACGATGTAGGCAAAGTATGGATGACCCACTTAGAGAATAATTAAAATAAACGAAATAAAACTTAATATCTTTATCTGCTATATACTCTGTAGTAAGCATGTGTTCCTAAAAGCTGGAAAACCCAAATGCGTTATGAATGGACCTTGCGTAACATTCCATGGAAATTGTGTTTTATCATTGCTAAATGATATCATCAACCAGATTTCGTTAATCTCAACTCATTTAACCTTTAAATTAGCAAATCAAATCGATTGTGATTCATCTTTCCGAGCATTACGCATAAAGATTACAAAAATCAATGGGAGCACAGAGCTACTTTTTGTGAGAATCGCCGAGAAAGGCGGTGCTTTTCGCCATCGCTCTGCCTCTTCCTCCCTCTTTCCTTCTTCGCATCCTTTTTGTGACTTTATTCATTAGCTTTGACATGACCGAAAAAAAAAAGGAACAAAGGCAACTAAAAAGCTGTTCTCTCTCACCCTCTCCCTCACTCCACTGCACATAAGCTCAAATAATGGCAAAAAAATTAACAAAACAACAACGATTGCCATCTTGCTCTGACACGCGTTAAGCTAGTAACGGTAAATGTAAATGTAAGCGTAACGGTAACTGTGCTACTTTCAATGCGAATTTCACTACGCTGCAAAGCGAGCTAAAATTAAGTTGAGCTTTTTTGTTTGTTTTCAGCTGTTTGGGGTGCGTGCTTTCCGCAAATAAACCAAAATGAAATCCGCAACAACAAAAGCAAACCAAGCGTAACGTACGGCAACAACTACAACACAAGCAAACGAGCTGTTAAGCGCCACCCACAAGTGTGCGCAAAGCACACAAAAATCGAAAAAGAAAAAACCCAACAACTGAACTGAACTCAAAAAAAAGGAAAACACAAGTGAAAAGCAAGAACAAAAAGCATTAAGCAAAGACAGAGCAATGTAACCACCCACAAAAAAGAGAGCAAGAGAGTAGCAGCATCAATGAAAGAGAATCGGTGGAGTAAAAAATAAGAGCGAATTCGTGCTGACAAAAAAGAGAATGAAAAACGACGTTTTTACACTTATTTGAGGTTTTCGAAGTAAATTAAATGTAAAATCAAACAAATTTGTATATTCTTATAAAAAGTTCTATATTTTTAAAGTGAAATTTTTGTTTTTAATGCTTTTGTTATTTTTAAAGAAGGTTAATCTTCATATTAAAGCACTTTTCTTTCCAAGTGATGTTCCTTTTATATTATATTAACTGTAATTTAGAACGGCACATTTTGTATGGCTTTCTTAATAAATATTAAAGTACTAAAACTAAAAAACAAAAGATTAAAATAGTGTTTGAATAAACTTAAACTTAACTATCTGTTTTATATAGAAACAAAAATCAACTTCTGCTTAAGTCGACTTCAGCATATTCAAAACATCAGATTCAGCCGGTACTTACTCTCTTCTCAGCTATCTCTCTTTCGTCACATTCAGCGTTTCTCTTTTGGCCGCTTGATTTTCGTTTTCGTCAACGGAACTGCGTCGAAAGGCCCGAAGTGATTCATTGGATCTTTGGGTTTTTGGCCGTTAAGAAGTGCGATATTAAAGGTTTGTATGAATGGTCTCGAAAATACGGTGACCCTGCAGACCCATCATAAAAATATCGAACAGTTTGTGCCTGCAAACTGGTCTTTGTTAGCCCAGTTAGTATTTATGATTAGATCTTATAAGCCGAGTTGCGATTTCGATTTGGATTAAACCCAGATAAGGCAGGGCTTTCCCCTAGCGACGTCACTCTGACGTAGCCGGCACACGCCGCGTATGAGTAATGTTAATTTCTTGGATCGGGGGTCTCTAACCCATATAGATATGGGTTATACTTAGATCGTTAGAGTGTCGAAGGGGGCGGGGGTGGGGTATCATTAAGTTGTCAGAGCTGGCGGCACGCACGCCACACGCTGCTGCATTTGGCCAAAAGTTGATTTTTTGCACGGCCACTGGCAAATCACAGCGCCCAATTGTGGAACACACCTGGTCCTCAGCCTAAGTACCTCGCCAAATCCCATGAGTACACTAAGAAAAACCTTGAATTTTATTATAAGTTTAAGCTAAAAATTGATTAAATTAATAATTACTTTCGATTTCCTCTAAAATTAATTGCCGAAGTCGGTACAAAAAATATTTTACAAACTCGGACTTAAAAAGTTAGAAACATCCCCCTAAAAAACATTATCTAAGCAAGAAAGAACCTTCAACTTAATAACCCAAATATTTCTCTCAGTGCAGCCCCATGCCGATCTGTGCCTTCGATTTCGTATGTAAATTTCAAGCTTTGCCTAATTTGCCTTTTTCGACTTTTTGCTGGGCACCAAATGAAATTAGTTGCGCTGGCCAACCAAAAACAAGAAAAAAAAGGAAACACAACATAGAGGAGTTTTGAAGGCAGTGGCGGTACGGGGGGCGTGGCTGGGCGGTTGGCGACTAATGTGTTGGCATGTGTCAGACACGCATCAAACGCAGCGACAGCCGGCAGGGCAAAAAACGGGGACAGGATGAGGTCAAATGAGATGAAATGAGATGAGATGAGATGGGTTTATGGGGTTATTAGAGATGAAATGCCGAAAGGCATTTATGTGGTATTATATTATATAAAACTAACACAGAACTAATTAAATATTGTTTACAAAAAGTTTACAAAAATCCAAGAAAAATTCAGCAATGCTAAATGAGTTTAAGGATTGTATTGAATTCATTTTGTTAATTAAGGATTATTAATAAGGAGTAATCAATGAACTCAAATTAGGTTAAAAAGAGTGCAAAAAGAGCTTTAAAAAAAAATAAATCCACTCTTATAAATATAAATATTTTTATAAAATTCATTATTGAATATTTTTATCGTGAAACTTTTTGAACAGAAATACCACGGATAAACCCAAACTTTTCAATGTTTTGATTAATTTTTCCAAGCTTTCGGTCTGTCAATGGTCTGGAATTTCTCGGAAAGCTGTGACTATCTAAATTATATATTAAAATAGTGCAATCGATGAGTAAATAATATTTTAATAACTTCTGACTCAAATCGAATGAGCTCTTCGACTGGCGTAGATGATGAATCCATTTACCCTTTGTCGAATGGCCAAGATGACTATGATCTTTGGCCCGATGAATCAATGGTAGTCATGATATCTCATGCAAGGCAACATAATGCAAATGTCCCTTTGATTCACGGATTATTCACGAACATATCGATAACCCTTAACATGCAGACCTATTTATAGATGGCTCTACTTCGGGCTGATAGCAGTTCGTGACACGACAGGGCAAAAAGCGGTCATCTCTTGGTTTTTATGTTAATGCACAGTGAGAAATTGTGGCTTATATATTAAAATATATTCTTCGTTGCAGAAAAACAACTCATTCTTTTCAGCAAAAGACTTTTCTCTCAGTGTACTACTGACTAAGAGTACTGACTAAAGGAAAATTAGGAATTTAGAAACTTTGAAAACTAAAGAATCCTCCTTTTACTTATTGAAATTCTTATAAAATCAGTTTTAAAGTCAAAAAATATAAACATTTTCTTTCAGTGCACGCGTTGCACTCATTCTATGAAGGTCATGAGGTGGCCACCGGTGGG